GCTTATAGGGTGTCAATGACCGAATCAATTAAATATAGCCTCTGGAGATGAATCATTTCCGTGAGTAACGTTTAAAGATAACGGAGTGGATGCTGGAGAGATGGCTTAGAGGTCCTGAGTTCAACTCCCAGCACCTACATGGCAGTTCACAACTGTAACTCCAGGTCCAGGGGATCGGGCAACCTTCACAAATACATTCAGGCAAAACACACATAAAAATAATAAATCTTTAAAAAAAAAAAAAAAAAAAGCCGGGCGGTGGTGGCGCACGCCTTTAATCCCAGCACTCGGGAGGTAGAGTCAGGCGGATCTCTGTGAGTTCGAGGCCAGCCTGGTCTACAAAGCGAGTTCCAGCAAAGTCGAAAAGCTACACAGAGAAACCCTGTCTCGAAAAACCAAAAATAAAAAAAAGAATGGGGGCCAGAGTTGGGCGGTGGCACACGCCTTTAGTCCCATCACTCCAGAGGCAGAGGCAGGCGAATCTCTCTGTTAAGTTTGAGGCCACTCTGCTCTACAGAGTGAGTTCCAGGACAGCCAGGACGACACAGAGAAACCCTGTCTTGGAAAGTAAATTAATATATAATAATAATAATAATAATGATATCTATATTCTTGCTTTGAATTTCAAGTCAGTAAGAAGTCTGTGGTAGGGAAACTTTTTGTTTTCTGGCAATGCATTAAGATAAACTATCTCCTAGGCTCAAAGAGACCGGAACTTTTGCTGGACCTCACACCAGAGTTAACCATCTGATGGCCTCTTCTACTCGCTGAGGGCACGAGGCCACTCGTGGTCTATGGACATACATGTGTCAGGCTGCACCATGTAGAAAGAAGAAAGAAGGCACTCCCAAGATGAAATTTTAAGGCCTAGGTGGCAGCAGGGAGGTCCAGCTTCTCTGATGGACTGAAACCGGAACAGGACAAAGGCGTATTTATTGTTTGTTACACGAAGTATTTCCTCATACCAAGGTCCCTAATCTAGTTTACTGTCTTAGTGAAGGAGAGCATCACGTGCTCCCATGACTCTAGTCCTTATGATGGTATTGTTGCAATACACAATAATCCAAGAGCCTCAGGGATACAGTGACTCTGCTAAATTCCTACAGCACACATGCAAGTAAAATATCCCCACACATAAAATGAAAGGGGGTAGGCCGGGCGGTGATGGCACACGCCTTTAATCCCAGCACTTGGGAGGCAGAGGTAGGCGGATCTCTGTGAGTTTGAGACCAGCCTGGTCTACAGAGTGAGTTCCAGGACAGGCTCTGAAGCTACACAGAGAAACCCTGTCTCAAAAAAAGAAAAGAAAAGAAAGAAAGAAAGAGGGTGCAACTGTCAAATCCAGAATGTGAACTTTCCAACGGGGCAGTTAACATTGTTTCTTCACATCTCAGGGCAAAAACCGAAAGAGACATGCAGATTTATAAAAACATACAAGCATGCTTATTTATTTACTTGTTTGCTTTTGAGACAGGGTCTTGCTATGTAGTTCAAACTGGCTGGGAACAACTTACTTCATAGCCTAAACTCATGGTGATCCTCCTCTTTTAGTTTCCAAGTGCTAGGATTACAGGTGTGCACCACTGTGCCTTATCTTCCCTTGGGGTGTTTAATGTGTAAATAACTTTATATATGTCTTAGAAAGATGACACTCTAATGAAACAGTATGAGCACTACAGATGAATTTCATGATTTTTATTTATTATTATTATTGCGTGTATGGCCACGGTATTTGTGAAGACTCAGGATGGCTTTGTGTATCACTTCCTTAGTTCCAGCTGCATGTGGGTTCTGGAGACTGAACTTAAGTCTTGCATGGTAAATATGGTAAGTGCCTTTACTCATCCATCCATTCATCCATCCCCAAATCTTCAGCCAGGGAAGAGCCAAAGCCTCGCTTCCACAGCATACTCCTATTGCACCCGAGTGCTGATGGCTCCACCCCCTGAATATGTCTCCCCCTGTCCTAATAATAACAGCTTCCCTATCTTGGGGACTCGTGACTTTGGAAGTGCTTCCTGCTTCCTTATTTGCATAATTGTTCTTGGTGCTTTGTTCTTCTCAGATTCCCAGTAAAAGGAGTCTCTCTGCCATGACAGGCTAGTCCAGTAGAAATCACTGGGAAAGGAGGCAAGAGTTGTGCAGTGGGAACAGAAATCCTGAACTGCATGAATGAGAGACAGTCCCAGGCTTTAGGTAAATATTGATGAAGAGAACGAGAAATCTGAATACCCACAAGACTGGATTTATTTTTTAAGTGTTTACACAGGGGCTTTATGCAAAGACCTCGCCGAGGAATGCCTGGAGTGGAAATGCTAACTTTTCCCTGGCTATGAGAAATACCTTAGGGAAACTAGTAAAAGAAAAAAAGGTTTTAGTTTTGACCCATTGTTTAAGCCATTTCCAATTACTTATAGTAACTTCTCTTTTGTAATTCTTACACCTTTTAGGCCCTTTCCAACTAAAGCGAGACAGTCAAACTTCTGTGCTTCAACTTACTTAAATGATTACTATGTGGTGATTCAGCCATCACCTTGATACTCAGATCTGTCCCAGCTTGTTTTCTGTTTTATCTATTTTCTATTTAAAGTGATGGTTTACTTTGTGTTGTTGGTTTTTTTTTTTACTCTTTTGGGGGGCCCGCCACCCAGCTCCCAAAATAAATCACACACGGAGGCTTATTCTTAATTATAAATGCCCGGTCTTAGCGTGGCTTGTTTCTTGCGAATTTTCCTTAATTTAAATTAATCGGACTACCCAAAACCCAAGCTCCTCCCCCTAAGCTCAAGACCATGCCTACAGAGCCTACAGAGTATTTAAGCCCCGGGTCCCTACAGGGTATGTGGTTACTCTCCTGCTTCCTTTCCTGAGTTACCTGGGAGTGCTTTGTTCAGATTAAACCTGGTCCTTTACTTTTGAATTCAGCTCGATTTGTCTTACTGAGTTGGAGGAGAAACCCACTACCGGGGATATAAAAATACCTATCAGAAAGCATGTGGCAGAGGTAAAGTGGCTTTACCTCATGGCAGACAGGAAGTGGAGAGTGAGAGCAAGAATGAGAGATGATGCATCCTTCAAAGGTACACCTCCATCAGTCTACTTCTTTCAACCAGGCCCTACCTCTTGCTTCCCAGCATTTTCCAACAAGGGCATCATATGAGAAATCCATCAAGGGATTTCTCCAGTGATTAGGTCAGAGCCCCCAGAATGCAATCACTTCCCAAAGGCTCATCTGTTGACAACCAAGCTCCCAGTATGTGAGCCTGAGAGCCAAAGTTACATTTTAATTACTATGCCATAGAGATCCATAAAATAAAAATGCCTCTGATCTGCAAGCCCCTTGCCCAAGGGCAGATAATTCCTGAAATGCTGGAGTGTTGTAGAATATTACTTTAAGGTGTGTTACTTTTGTTTATGCTCTGGAACATTTGTTTAATGATTCAAAGATGTGTTTGATTAAATAAAATTCACCTGCAGTCAGGAGGCTGAGTCAGCAACTAGCTGACAGGAAGTGGGAGGAGCCAGGTGGAGAAGGGTTTGTAAGGAGGGGTGAGGAGAAGCATGAGGGCTTTTTGGAGGAGGAGAGCAAGGAAAGGAGGGGAGCTACTTGCTATTCAGCCTCTCTGAAGAACAGGTTCCACCTTAACCTTTGAATCTTGAGGGACAGAGATTTAATTAAGTTCCCTTCATAGCTTTGCAAGAGGGAACAGATTTCTCTTCAGCTACAGCCCTTGGGCCTAACTCCTGCTGGTAGCAGTGGAGTTGCAGTTGCTGATTCGGACAGCCATGGCTTAAAAGGCAGCAAAGATCAAATAAAAAGACAGCACTGGAGGCTATTGTTTATGGGAGATAACAAGCCACATGTTTTCACTCCCCTAAACAAGTTGTCTGACCCATCTGCACCGATGTGCTTGACCACATGTGAGCAGGAGGTACATAAGCAGGAAATGTGTCAGGATGTATGCTTGCCCCTGATTGGACCTGATGGGAAATGCAGTGACTTATGGGTTTTCCTTCTTAAGTTCTAGGCCATTTCCTGGGAACCTGGATATGGACTTGGCTGGAGCCCATTCACCTGACCAGTATTTAATTAAAGCTTGCTTCAAATTTGGCTTTAAACTGTGGTAGTGATCTTATTCTTGATCAGTGGGATTAACAAGCCTATGAGGGACATTTCATAGTCAATCCAAATGTAACAATAAAAAAATGTAACTCAATGTGGATCATAATCCTAAAGTAAAATTCAAGACCTAGAAAATGTTTAGAAGGTGAAATAGCAGAAACTTTAGATGACCTTTGGCTTGTTGATTTTTAGAATGTGATAACAAACCAAGATCCATGGAAGAATTGCTTGTGACGCCAAGTAACAAGCAGTATATCAGAGCCATAAGAGGAAACATGTGCACCAAGTTGTATTGGCTGGTGACCAGTGTTGGAATTCCTGGCCACTCCCCCAGTTACGTGATCGCACATGCGCTGTCCAGTAGCCAGGCAAGCTGTTTAGTCATTCTAGGGCTTTACGTCCTATGGAATCCGTGGGCTGCGTGATCACATAATCTATGAGCATATGTAACTACGTAAGCCCATATGCATATGTGCAGGGGGAATCCATAAAAATCGGGTCACAGACTCCTCCCCACTCTTCTTCCTCTCTCTCCCTGCACAGTCTTACATAGGCTAAGTTGTCTTTCCCCTAATAAACCTTTTGTTTGTTTTTGTTTTTTCAAGACAGGGTTTTTCTGTGTAGCTTTGGTTAATAAACTCTTATAACGGTCTTGTTGTACCTTATGGCTTTTCTTGCACAGTAAACAGCACCACTTAATGAATAACACAGCACCACATAGTAACTAACAACCAGGACCCCTGAAACAGGCACCAGCCTAGAATACAACTACTAACCAACGACCAACTCCTTCCTATACTGCTCGATCTGTTAGCCTCCCACTGGACTCCTGGGGGAAGACCCAGCGAGCCCCTCCCAAGGACATTGAGACAGTCTCTAATGTTACAATTTTTATTGTTAAATGATTCATCAATCCTGCTTCCATTTATTGTATTTTAAAGGGGCTGATAGCTACACTCAAAAACAACAACAACAAAAAAAAAAACCAACTACATGTCATTATCAGTATCTTTTACTATTTGATTATTTTCTACATAGAAATATGAGAAAGGTAGCCAGGGGGTAGTAGCACATGCCTTTAATCCCAGCACTCGGGAGGCAGAGGCAGAAGAATCTCTGTGAGTTTGAGGCCAGCCTGGTCTACAGAGGGAGTTCCAGGACAGTCAGGCTACACAGAGAAACGTGTCTTGAAAAACAAAACAACAAAAAGAAATATGAGATGTGGTATTGTGTTCCCCAAAATATTGTGTATCCTAATAAATTTATCTGGGGTCAGAGAACAGACAGCCACTAGATACAGAGGCTAGAAAATGGTGGCACTCACGCCTTTAATCCTAGCATTCCAGAGATAGAAATCCCTCTGGATCTCTGTGAGTTCAAGGCCACATTGGAAACAGCCAAGTATGGTGACACATGCCTTTAATCCCAGGGAGTGGTGGTAGAAAGCAGAAAGATATATGAGGTGTGAGGACCAGAAACTAGAGGCATTTGGCTGGTTAAGCTTTCAGGCTTTGGAGCAACACAGTTCAGCTGAGATTCATGCTGGATGAGGACTCAGAGGCTTCCAGTCTGAGGAAACAGGACCAGCTGAGGAACTGGCAAGGTGAGATAGCTGTGGCTTGTTCTGTCTCTCTGATCTACCAGCATTGACCCCAATAACTGGCATCGGGTTTGATCTTATTAATAAGAACTGTTAAGATTCATGCTACAATGAGAAATGTTTAAAATGCAGTTTCACTGGGTTCAGCCTTGATTGCAGTGTAGAATCTGGTGAAGAGAACGGTTGGCTTGGGGCTGAATCCCCAGTAGTTGCTTTGTGGCTGACTCCCAGTCTTTACCCAGCTCGAGCCGTTGGCAGATGGATGGGTACTGCCCGTCTGTTCTTCTGGCCCATTCACTTGCTTTCTTAATGTTCTCAGAAGCCCACGGAATATTCCTAGATTAAAAAAAAAAGTTTCTATTGGTTCAGAATATGTGAAAGGCAATGTGGTACCAAATCTGTAACATTGTATCAGATGAAATGATTCTGTCAAAAAGGAAGATATTTAATAAAGGCAATTCTTGAAATCTGAATAAAGCTCTCTCCCTCTAGCATGGGGCTTTTGAATGTACTCAGTACACTTCTATATGACTCACTTGCCTCACTTCCCAGCTCCCACTGTGCACAGCCCCCCCCCCCCCCCAGACAGTTACAGCCTTTCCCTGCCTCTTTGTTTCCTGTTGTTCCTTTTCAGTGTCCCCGAGGCCCCTGTTTCAATGTCCACTCACTGTCTGGGAGTTTTCAACTTGTCCCAGATACTTGGAGAACACCCAAGAGTCAGCTGTAAAGAGCTACGTCTCCAGTCTTTACACCAAAGTTTTCAAATGTAATTTAATTTATTATGGTGTGTTGGGAGAAGCCTGTGTAAGAAAGCTGTGAACTTACTGTGAACTGTGTATTGGGCAGCATGAAGAATGTTCTTACCACAAGGTGGCTACGCTGAATAGTTTAATGTCAACTTGACACAAGCTAAAGTCATCTGAGAGGAAGGAATGGTAATTAAGAAAATGCCTCCATAAAATCAGGGTATAGGGAAAGAGTTGAATAAATTATGATAAGCTTGAAAACAAGGACATGAAAAGAATACCCTGGTATGTATGTCCATATTATCTCTGTGGGAAAGGCAAAGGCCTGGGAGGAATATTCTTGTCTCTTTCACATGACCAAAGATGATAAGACGTAACACCAGGTATGTTCCCTACTGTACTTGTCTTTGCTTAAACTAATTTGCAACATTACCTCGTGTTTTGTTTGCTTTAATAATAAAAACAAGATAAAAATGAGAAGTGCCTTATTTGCACTTTTTTTTTTTTTTTTGGTTTGTTTGTAGCCTTGACTGTCCTGGAACTCACTCTGTAGACCAGGCTGGCCTTGAACTCACAGCGATCCACTTGCTTCAGCCTCCCATGCACTGGGATTAAAAACATGCACCATCACCACCTGGCTTGTTTATTACATTACTCTGGAATCCCGCTGGGCGGTGCTGGCACACTCCTTTAATCCCAGCACTCAGGAGGCAGAGGCAGGCAGATCTCTATGAGTTCAAGGCCAGCCTGGACAAAAGAGTGAGTTCCAGGAAAGGCACAAAGCTACACAGAGAAACCCTGTCTCGAAAAAACAAAAACAAACAAAAAAGCATGTACCACCACCACCCGGCTTGTTTATTACATTACTCTGGACCCCCAATGCCTGGTACCCTACACAGGTCTTGGAATATTCTTCAATCCTCAGAGACTTAGTCTTGCTGACCATGGGGCAAGCTGACTGTGTGTGTGTGTGTGTTAGTCTTAGAAGTGCACACCTGGCCATGGCGTGAGTATGGAGGTCCAAGGACAACTTTGGAGATTTGGTTCTCTCCTTCCACTGTGTGGATCTGGGGATTGAACTCAGGCTGCCAGGCTTATACAGTAAGCACCTTTACTCACTAAGCCTACCTTTCAACAAAGTTCTTACAAAAAATTCTATTTGGGTGTGGCTCAGTTGGTAGAGACAGGAAGATTAGAAGTTTAAAGTCATCCTCAGCTACATAGTGAGTTCAAGGCCAATTTGAGATACCTAAGACCCGGTCTTAAAAACAAAAATCTTAGGCCGGGCGGTGGTGGCACACGCCTTTAATCCCAGCACTCGGGAGGCAGAGCCAGGCGGATCTCTGTGAGTTCGAGGCCAGCCTGGACTACCAAGTGAGTTCCAGGAAAGGCGCAAAGCTACACAGAGAAACCCTGTCTCGAAAAACCAAAAAAAAAAAAAAAAAAAAACAAAAAAAAAAAAAAAAAAAAACAAAAATCTTAGGCCGGGCGGTGGTGGCACACGCCTTTAATCCCAGCACTCGGGAGGCAGAGCCAGGTGGATCTCTGTGAGTTCGAGGCCAGCCTGGGCTACCAAGTGAGTTCCAGGAAAGGCGCAAAGCTACACAGAGAAACCCTGTCTTGAAAAACCAAAAAAAAAAAAAAAAAACAAAAACAAAAAACAAAAATCTTAGCTGGCATAGTGGTGCACACCTTCAATCCCAGAATTTGGGAGACAGAGGCAGGCAGAGCTCTGTGAGTTCAAGGTCAGCCTGGCCTACATAGTGAATTCCAGACAGCCAAAGTGACAAAGTGAGACCCTGTCTTGAAGAAACATTTATTTTAGCTAGTGAGAAGGTTCATCAGGTAAAGGTACTTATTGACGAGTTTAATGACCTAAATTCAATCCCAAAAGCTGTTCTCAGATTTCCACATGTATGGTATGTTGCACACTCCTAAACACACACACACACACACACACACACACACACACACACACACACACACACAAAATATAAAAGAAATTTGTTGGTTCTATGGGGCAAACTTAGAGATTTTAGATCTTTTCCATCTTCCTGATTTTTTTCTTTGGGGAAAAGGCCATCATGATGTGCTGTGTGGGGTGAGGAGCTGGGTTCATATCTCACTTGACTATGAGATACTGTACAGTGAGGAGCTGGGTCCATGTCTTCACATGACTGTGAGATATTGCACAGCTTTTACTCAGGAGTCAACCAAAGCTAAGTTGAATCTGCTTTGTTCAGTTGGAGCCTCCGACCCACCCCTGCATGGTCCAGAAAGCCCATCTTACCCCATTCCTCCCCGCTCCCTCCCTCCCTCTCTTTCCAAACCCCACCCACTCATAGAGTCTCTGAACAAAGGACAGGTGACAAAAGCCCAGTTCTACATTCTTGGCGACTACTACAGCCCTCCCCCGCCCCATGCCACCAGCCACCCAAGTCCCCACCTAGGCGCTCAGCTTTTGACCATACTGGAGCACAGAACCAGCTTCACCCCTCACCTACAATCTATCAAGTCTCACAGCCTTACTCCGGGTGTTCAGCTTCTCTGGCCTCAATCTCTGGGACCAGTGAACTCGCCCGGATTACTGCTTCAGCAGAGAAACTTACCATTGTGTGGGCAGAAAACCTAAAAATAAAAGATTCTTGTTTTGTTGAGACAGAGTCTCTTTGTTATGTAGCTCTGGCTGTCCCAAACTTGCTATGTAGACCAGGCTGGCCTCAAACTCATAGAGATTCACCTGTCTCTGCCTCCTCAGTGCTGAAATTAAAGGCATGTACCACTATGCCAGGCAGAATATTCTAATATATTTTATTTAATAGTTTGATAGTTTTTCTGTTTGTTTTGGGACAAGGTCCTACTATGTAGCCTGGGCTGGCTTGTAAATCATGACTTCCATCTGTAACCTCTTCAGTGGTGGGATTACAGGAATGTGCCACCATGAGCTGGCTGATACTTTGATATACAGTGTGTGTTTGATATACAGAGTTGCTCAGGACGGCAGGACTGAGCCCAGGTCCCTGTGCACTAGGTGAGTGCTCTGCTGAGCTACATTCCCAGCTTTGCTTCATGTCTTTAAATACTCAGACACAGGCACATAGCTTCTATTTGTATTCTTGCGCCAGGCTGTGCAGTTGTTTGGAACAGACCAACAATTATATTGTAGCTCTTTGAAAAGTTTCTTATTATGGGATTGGGGATTTAGCTCAGTGGTAGAGCACTTGCCTAGCAAGCGCAAGGCCCTCAGCTGGGGGGGGGGGGGGGCGCGGGTTTCTTATTAAAACATTAAAGCACCTGGAGATGAAGGTGTCATCCATCTTTATCAGTGATTTGGCAACCATTCCTTCTTGTTCCAACTTGGAACGAAGAAACTGCAGTACCAGCAATGTGGCAATCAGGTCCAGGAGACAGTCTCTTCCTTTTGTACCTAAAAAAGCAAAGATCTCCTTTACTTCACGTGGTGGTTTGAATGAGAAATGTCCCCCTAGGCTCATTCACATATTTGAACACTTAGTCACCAGATGGTGTTGCTGTTTGGGAGGTTTGGGATGGTTTAGGACAAGGAGTCTCACTGGAGGACTTTGAACACTCTGGAACCATGAGCCAAGACAAACTTCTTAAGTTGCTTCTGGTATTTTAAGCACAGCAACAAAGAAGTAATTAATACACCCTGTGCCTCACATTGTGCCAGTGTAAAGTTCTATTAAAGAATTACACTTCTATTAAGCCAGGTGTGCTTCCTCATGCCTCTAATCCCAGCACCTGGGACGCTAAGGCAGGAGGATTGCCATGACTTCAAGGCCAGCCTGGGTAACATAGTGCTTTCTGGACCAACAGAATTATACTACAATTGAATCATGATATATTAATAGATCATAAAACTCTATACTATTCCAGAATTATGAGACAATACATTTAGGTTGTCAAGCCAATAAAACTAACTCCATATATTCTAAAGGTCCTTAATTAGCGTTTTATTTCAGTAGAAATTGTGAACAATCAGAACATGTATGCCTATCACATTATCTTGATGGCTCTTTGGAGACTGAGCTGCACCCCGAATCTCTCTCCACCACTTGCTGTCTTCAGTAACCAGAGAGGCATGGAGTACGACGAAGAACTTAGTTTCTAGGTTCTTGCTATAAATATCTTGGAGGAAACCTAAACACAGCAGTTAAACGACAGACATACCTGACTATACCAGTGCAGTAAACTCATTCTGACTGTCAGTAACAGACAAATCCAAACCATAGTATAAGTTAGGCATAAGTGGAACTGGTCACTGAGCAGGGGTTACATGCTGTTGTGAGCCACCATGTGGATGCTGGGACCTGAACTTAGGTCCTCTGCAAGAGTAGTAAGTACTTTTTTTTGTTGTTTTGTTTTGTTTTTTGTTTGTTTTTTTTCGAGACAGGGTTTCTCTGTGTAGCTTTGTGCCTGTCCTGGAACTCACTCTGTAGCCCAGGCTGGCCTCAGACTCACAGAAATCCACCTGCCTTTGCCTCCTAAGTGCTGAGATTAAAGGCACGTGCCACCACTATCACTCTGGCAAAATGAGTACTCTTTAATGAGTCTTCTGAAAATGATTTTCAAAATATAACATATGGGTTAGCAGGATGGCTCAGTGGCTAAAGGTACTTAATGCTCAAGCCTGACATGCTTCCTGGAGCCCATTAAAGGTGGAAGGAAAGAACTGACTATAATAGTTGTCCTCTGATGGCCACATGCACACTGTGACATACATGTGACTCTCCCCACATACTGTATATATACAATTAAAAAATAAGTGAACAGAGCTGGAGAGATGGGTCACTGGTCTACAGAGCAAGTTCAAGGATAGCCAGGGCTATACAGAGAAACCTTGTCTTGAAAAATTAAGAAAAAAAATGCTTATTTCATTTTAGGGCTGGGAATATAACTCAAGTGGTAGACTGCGTGGCTACTATACATGAGACCCTCTCCGGTACTTTCAACAAAACAAACTAAAACACTAGATTTAGTCAATTGTGATGGTGCACATCTGTAATCCCTATGTGTAGGAGGCTTCAGTAGTAGATTCTAAGTAGCCAGCCTGGGCTGTATAACGAGACTCTATCACAAAGAAAGAATGTTTAAAATCTTTAATAAAACCCCATTTGCTTTAATATATACTATATACATACATAAACACATAGAAGGGCTGGAGAGATGGCTCAGAGGTTAAGAGCACTGACTGCTCTTCCAGAGGTCCTGAGTTCAATTCCCAGCAACCACATAGTGGCTCACAACCATCTGTAATGAGATCTGGTGCCCTCTTCTGGCCTGCAGGCATACATGCAGACAGAACACTGTATATATAATAAAAAATCTTAAAAAAAATTTTTTTTAAAAAGTTAAAAACAAAACAAAACAAAAACACATACAAGTGTGCACACACATAACTCAGTTAATCCAAAACATCTCAGTCCAGTGTATGAAGACTGGCCTCAAGGTACCATGAAACCAAAGAAAGAGAGGCAGACAGATCCAAGACTACAGAGACTATAATTCATTGGAATTTGATGACCAGGAGACAAGACTAGTTGGATTTCCCCAACCTGAGTCTGAAAGAGAAGTGTCTTTACAGCCTAGAACAAAAGTGACTTTACCTAGCCGAGTAGTGGTGGCACACGCCTTTGATCCCAGCCCTTGGCAGGCAGATCTCTGTGAGTTTGAGGCCAACCTGGTCTACAGAGCGAGATCCAGGACAGGCACCAAAACTACACAAAGAAACCCTGTATCGAAAAACAAAACAAAACAAACAAACAAAAAAAAAAAAAGAAAAGTGACTTTACCTAGATAGATGTATTTGATTTAGCTTAAGCTATGGTAAAGAGGCAGACTCATTTCAGGAGCTAGGATTTGGCTTCAAAACTCAGCAAATCAGTGTCATGGGTTTGCATATTTTTAGTATGTTGGAAAATTATGCGAGAACAACAAAACAAAATCAACAAAGGACTATTCTTGGGTCGTCTTTGGGGCTTTAACTGGGAGACAGCAGAAGGGATGTCACACTCAATCTATATATTGTTGCCTTTTAGCTGTCTTTGTTTTTTTTATTTTTTAAATTTTTTTTATTTTTTGGTTTTTTCAAGACAGGGTTTCTCTGTGTAGCTTTGTGCCTTTCCTGGTACTCGCTTTGGAGACCAGGCTGGCCTCGAACTCACAGAGATCCACCTGCCTCTGCCTCCCAAGTGCTGGGATTAAAGATGTGCGCCACCACTGCCCGGCCTATTTTTAAAATTTTTTTTAAAAAAGATTTATTTATAAATTATCCACCATGACAGAGTAGGTTTCATCCCAGGGATGCAAGGATGGTTTAACATATGAAAATCTGTCAATGTAATACACCATATAAACAAACTGAAAGAAAAAAACCACATGATCATCTCATTAGATGCTGAAAAAGCCTTTGACAAAATACAACACCCCTTTCATGATAAAGGTCTTAGATCAGGAATACAAGGAACATTCCTAAACATAATAAAGGCAATTTACAGCAAGCCAACAGCCACCATCAAATTAAACGGAGAGAAACTCAAAGAGATACCACTAAAATCAGGAACAAGACAAGGCTGTCCACTCTCCCCATATTTTTTCAATATAGTACTTGAAGTTCTAGCTAGAGCAATAAGACAACAAAAGGAGATCAAAAGAATACAAATTGGAAAGGAAGAAGTCAAACTTTCATTATTTGCAGATGACATGATAGTATACATAAGTGACCCCAAAAATTCTACCAGGGAACTCCTATAGCTGATAAACTCCTTCAGTAAAGTGGCAGGATACAAGATCAACTAAAAAAAATCAGTAGCCCTCCTATACACAAATGATAAAAGGGCGAGTAAGAAATCGGAGAAACATCACCCTTTACAATAGCCACAAATAATATAAAATACCTTGGGATAACACTAACTAAACAAGTGAAGGACCTTTTTGATAAGAACTTTAAGTCTCTAAAGAAAGAAATTGAAGAAGATATCAGAAAATGGAAGCATCTCCCATGCTCATGGATAGGTAGGATTAACATAGTAAAAATGGCAATCTTACCAAAAGCAATCTACAGATTTAATGCAATCCCCATCAAAATCCCAACACAATTCTTCACAGACTTGGAAAGAACAATACTCAACTTCATATGGAAAAACAAAAGACCCAGGATAGCTAAAAGAATCCTGTATAATAAAGCAACCTCTGGAGGCATCACCATCCCTAACATCAAGCTCTACTATAGAGCTATAGTAATAAAAACAGCTTGGTACTGGTATAAAAACCAACAAACAGACCAATGGAATCAAATTGAAGACCCTGACATAAATCCACGCACATATGAACACCTGATTTTTGACAAAGAAGCCAAAACTATACAATGGAAAAAAAGAAGCATCTTCAATAAATGGTGCTGGCATAACTGGATGTCAATATGTAAAAGATTACAAATAGATCCATACCTGTCACCATGCACAAAACTCAAGTCCAAGTGGATCAAAGACCTCAACATAAATCCAGTTACACTAAACTTAATAGAAGAGAAAGTAGGAAGTACTCTTGAGTGCATTGGCACAGGAGATCATTTCCTAAATATAACACCAGCAGCACAGACACTGAGCACAACAATTAATAAATGGGACCTCTTGAAACTGAGAAGCTTTTGTAGGGCAAAAGACATGGTCAATAAAACAAAAAGACAGCCTACAGAATGGGAAAAGACTTTCACCAACCCCACATCTGACAGAGGACTGATCTCCAAAGTATATAAAGAACTCAAGAAACTAGACATCAAAATACTGAACAATCCAATTAAAAAATGGGCTAAAGAGCTAAACAGAAAATTCTCAAAAGGAGAATCACAAATGGCTGAAAGACATTTAAGGAAATATCCAACATCCTTAGCCGTTAGAGAAATGCAAATCAAAACGACTCTGAGATACCACCTTACACCTGTCAGAATGGCTATGATCAAAAAACACCAATGACAGTCAATGTTGAAGAGGATGTGGAGCAAAGGGAACACTCCTCCACTGTTGGTGGGAGTGCAAACTTGTACAACCACTGTGGAAATCAGTATGGTGGTTTCTCAGAAAACTGGGAATCGATCTATCTCAAGACCCAGCCATACCACTCTTGGGCATATACCCAAAGAATTTTCAATCATACCACAAAGATACATGCTCAACTATGTTTATAGCAGCACTATTTGTAATAGCCAGAACCTGGAAATAACCTAGATGTCCGTCAACCGAAGAATGGATTAAGAAAATGTTATACATATACACAATGGAGAACTACTCAGTAGAGAAAAACAATGACAGCATGAAATTTCCAGGCAAATGGATGGAACTAGAAAATATCATCCTGAGTGAGATAACCCAAACCCAGAAGGACAAACATGGTATGTACTTACTCATAAGTGGATTCAAGATATAAAGCAAAGAACAATCAGACCGCAACCCACAGAACCAGGGAGGCTATATAGCAGGGGGCACCCTAGGATGACTGTGGCTTATAATAACTTTTGGTTTGACTCAATTACTGGGCAAGCCTCAATCAAACATTTCACTATTAGGATAAGGTTTTATACTATATTAAGCTGATAATAGAAAAATAAATAAATTAAAAAAATTTATTTATTTATTATGTACACAGAAGAGGGTGCCAGATCTCATTACAGATGATTGTAAGCCACCGTGTGGGTGCTGTGAATTGAACTCAGGACCTCTGGAAGAGCAGTCAGTGCTCTTAACCTCTGAGCCATCTCTCCAGCCCCTGTTTTGTTTTTAAAGATTTACTTATTTTTATTTTATGTGTATGAATGTTTTGCCCATATGTATATATGTGTACTATATGTGTGAAATGTTTTTGGAGGCCAGAAGAGGTCATTGAATCCCCTGGAACTGGAGTTATAGACAGTTATAAGATGCTTGTGGGAGCTGGGGGAAAAAACCCATGTCCTTGGCAAAAGCAGCAAGAGTTTTTAACTGCTGCATTATCTCTCCATCCTTGTTTTAATATGGTCTTACTCTGCAGCTCAGGGTGTCTCAAACTCATGGCAATCCTCCTGCCTCAATCACCCCAAGTGCTGGGATACAGGCATGAGCCACCATGCCTGGTTTATTCTTCTTTATGTCTGAATAAAATTTTATTGTGTAGAGTACCGAATTTTTTTTTTTTAACTTTTCAAGACAGGGTTTCTCTGTGTAGTCTTGGCTATCCTAGAACTCACTGTGTAGACCAGGCTGGGATCAATTCAGATCTGACTGCTTCTGCCCCCCAAGTGCTGAGATTAAAGTTGTGTGACACCACTGCCTGGCTGAATTGTCTTTATTCCTGGGCATCTAGGTCAGTTTCATATCTTGGATATTATGAACTGTGCCACAGTAAACACAAAGAGGAAAGCATCTCTGTGGTATGCTGACTTAGCTTCCCTCAGACATACGCCCAGGAGTGGTACAACTAGATTACATAATAATTCTATTTTTAGTTTTTTTTTTTTCAGGAACCATCATATTGATTTCTACAGTGACTCACCAACAGCATATGAGGGTCTGGCCCTGCCTCCATCCTCAATATTTGTTGTTTTCTTTCTTCCTTTTAAAAAACATTTATTTATTTAAATCGAGTATATATGTGTGTGTGTGTGTGTGTGTGTGTGTGTGTGTGTGTCTGTGTGTGTGTGTATGTGTGTGTGTGTTTGTGCATGTGAATGCTGGTGTTGTTGGATGCCTTAGAGCTGGAGTTAAAGCCAGAATTGGTGGCATACACCTTTAATTCCAGCCCTCGGGAGGATCTCTGTGACTTTGGGGCCAGCCTGGTTTATACAGTGAGTTCCAGGGTAGCTGGGATTACAATGGAGAGCTTGTATCAAAACATTAAAAAACAAAATAAAATTAAGAACAGGAGTTAAAGGTAGTCGTCAGCCAGTTGACAAGGGTGCTGGGAATCCAACTGGTGTCCTCTGCAAGAGCTGTTTGTGCTCTTAACCCTTGAACCATCTCTTCAGCTCCTGTTTCTTGATGGAGTGAGGTAAAAAAATCTGCATGTAGTTTTGATTTGTCTTTCCCTGATGCTAAGGCCACATGTTACAGATGGAAGAGCCGTAACGTAGAAAGTGCCAAGGTCTCAAAGTAAATCACTATGTGGAAGAGAATGTCCCTGTTGGCCAATAGGGACATATGTTGTGGTAAAGAAAGTAATTACTAAGCGTGTTAAATTGAGCTTTTGGATAGTGTTATTACTGGCAGGATCTTGTTATGCAGCCCAGACTAGCCTCAAACTCACAGTCCACCTGGCTCAGCTTACCAAACTGCAGGATTACAGGTGTGTGTTACTATTTCCATATTTGGGGTTCTGCAGTAGTTGGTACCATGTCCTCTAATAAAATTGCCTAAATAATACTCTCATCATTGGTAAAGGTATGAGTTTCCTTTGATTGTTAATAAATCTAATTCTAGTAACTGAGTGTGTGGTGCACACCTTTGATCCCAGCACTTGGTAAGCAGAGACAAGCAGATCTCTGTGAGTTCAAAGCCAGCCTGGTCTACATAGAGAGTTCCACAATAGTCAGGGCTTAAAAAAAAACCTAATTCTATTCACATGTAACTTACTATTAAATGAATGCACTAGTTTACAAAATAATTTATTACAATTAGGAGTTTGCCTATAAATGACTGGAAAAATGAAGGAGCATAATAACTTAATTAACTGAAAAAACAGTGACTTACCTAGAGATCGAATGCCTTTTTCTTCAAGAAAATTGCGTAGAACATTTACATTAAGTTTTAATATAAGTCCTAGTTCTGGTGTCAATTTCCAAAAACCATCCTGTAAAATTAAGAAAAAAATTACATTGTTAATCATAGTTCTATATCATACAGTATTTTTCTTTTTCTTTTCTTTCTTTTGGTTTTTTCAAGACAGGGTTTCTCTGTGTAGTTTTGATGCCTGTCCTGGAGCTTGCTCTGTAGACCAGGCTGGCCTCGAACTCACAGAGATCCGCCTGCCTCTGCCTCCAGAGTGCTGGGATTAAAGGTGTGCGCCACCACTACCCAGCCAAGACCATTCTTTTCTACATCGTGCATTCTGGGCCAGTCAGAGATATAGTATGAGACCTTGTCTCAAAAACAACACAGATGGGGTTGGAGAGATGGTTCAGCGGTTAGGAGCACGGGCTGCTTTCCCAGAGGATCTGGGTTCAATTCCCAGCAACTACATGGCAGCTCACAACCATCTACAACTCCAATTCCAGGAGACCTAGTGTCCTCTTCTGTCATCCTCAGGTACCGGGCATGCACATAAATAATTTAACATTTTTATTAGTGTGTGTGTGTGTGTGTGTGTGTGTGTGTGTGTGTGTGTGTGTGTGTGTTTGAAGGAGATCATATGCAGGCATGCATACAGTGTAGTGGAATACGCGGGTGCACATGTATATAGTGTAGAGGTCGGAGAAAAGCTTTTGGAAGTGAGTTCTCTTTCCACGGTGGGTCCCAGGGATTGAACTCAGGTTGTTGGTTGGGCTCCTGTGTCAAGCACTTTTACCCACTGAGCCAGCTCACTGGCTCCTAAAACACATAAAATAGTTATAAAAAATAAATAATTATTTTTTCCCTGAGATGACAAGGTTTCTCTGTGTAACAGCCTTGGCTGACCTAGAACTCGCTCTGTAGACCAGGCTGGCCTTGAACTCACACAGATCTGCCTGTCTCTGCCTCCTGAGTGCTGGGATTCCACCACAATTGTCTATAAATAATTTTTTTTTAAAGTGGAAAGCAACTGAGGAAGACACCATCAACCTCTGGCCTCTACATGCACACGTACACAGTTACACTCACATCTGCACAAACACACACACAAACTTGGTACACACACACAACACACACAAAGAAAAAAAGTCAAAGGAAATGAGAAAGGGCTAGGGTTATAGCCCTGAGCCAGAATGCTTGCCTGCATGTGCAATGCCTCATATCAGTGCTGTAAAACAAAAACTACATCAAGCATGGCGGCTTATATTCGGAACCCAGCACTTGGGACCCTGAAGCAAGTGGACTGCTGCAAGCCTGACTGAGCCCAGCCCGGGCTACAGAGGGGTTCTAGACCAACCTGGGCTACATGATAAGATCCTATTTTAAAAAATACAAAAAAAAACCAGACAAACAAAAAGATGCATGCCAATAATCCCCGGTACTTGTCAGGCAGAGGTAGGTGGGTCTTAACTTCTAGCCAAACTGGACCACACAGAATGTTCCAACTTACCCTTGGCTATATTGCAATATTCTGCTTCAAAAAAAAAAAAATTAAAACTGGACCTAGCGAGATGGTTCAGTGGTTAGAGCATTTAATGTTCTTGCAGGGGACCTAGGTATAGTTAGTTCCCAGTACTCACATCAGGCAGTTCACAACCACCTGTAAATACAGTTTCAGGGATCCCATGCCTTTTGTCCTCTGCAGACATCTGCACGGACACGGTACACATAAACACATGCAGGCAAAACATGTATACATAGAAAACCCACCTTTATGTGGGTTCCAGAGATCAAACTCAGGCCATCAGGCTTGTGTGGCGAGCACTTTCACCACTGGGCCAGCTTGCCAGCTCTCCACTACACTTTTTTTTTTTTTATTATTTTTTATTAAGGTTTTTTTTTTTTTTTTTTTTTTTCCCCCGAGACAGGGTTTCTCTGTGTTTTGGTGCCTGTCCTGGAACTCACTCTGTAGACCAGGCTGGCCTTGAACTCACAGAGACCCATCTGCCTCTGCCTCCCGAGTGCTGGGGTTAAAGGTGTGCGCCACCACCGCCGGGCAAGATTTTATTTTATAAATACAAATAAATGCCTTTTAAAAACCCCCACTGTATGTGGTAATTATCATTATCACCCCTGTTACGCTGTTGAGACAACCGAAGGAATATCTGCCTCGCCCACAAACACAAAGTGGTAAAGCCAGGTCACTCTACACCAAATGAAGCCCTCTTTGCTTTACTAAGTGATTTCCCACTGAAGCCATTACATACGCGAGACTGGGTCTCAGAGCCAGTGCTAGACTTACAGGATGCTGACTGGCTTACGGGATGGAGTGCTGTTCCCCCCCCCCCCCCCCCCCCCCCCCCACTGCTACACACGAACTACTATCCATAGCTCCAAGACCCTACAGGAAAAGATTTAGAATACTCACCGCACCTATGTTTACTAGGCCATAGGAAATTTCCATCAACTTCAATTCCTGGTAGTAGAGCTTAAGAAGCAAGTCCACATGACCCCTTAGGGATGCTAATCTTCAACTGACAAATATTAACAGTCGCTAACAATGAATGATGAACAGCATCCACCACCATGCCCAGAGAGTTTTGTTCAGCTGACTATTCACTGAGAGACACATTCTTCCACGCTGACGCACACCCTGAGCCACTACGGACTGGCAATACACTGTTCTGTGATCAACTGCTTTGAGAGGCACTGTTGTAAACTGTGCAGCTAACTGACCACAGACTTGAGGAGAGATAGGACATATACCTCGGTTTGTAGAGCAAAGAGTGAAGTCCACGGTGCAGGACAGCTTTCTTCACCGACTACCCATTCCTCATCTTCCTCTGGGGAGGTGTCCCTTGTCACAGAAGATTTCTCAATCCTTCCTAAAATCTTTCTGTGGCATGGTCTATACCCTCTTGCTTCACCCATTTCAGCTTTGAAAGAACTTCCACCGGATGAGACAGGCAAACCCTCTTCTAGAATGGCATCTGGCGATGCAGCGCTGGTATAATCAGCTGATGGGTGAACTGATTCCAGTGAATCCATTCTGGTATCTGCAATTCTGTAATTAGAGCTCCGAGGGACTGAGAAACTTTGAAGATGAAGTGAACAGGGACTTAGCTCAGAGCTGGGAACACTGGTGGGAAGAGGATGGGCAGAAAGAGCCTTAGGAGGACTGCAAAGAGGCGACCTGAAGGAGGTGAGAAAACGTGACCCATGATGGGAATCCGACTCTGGGGCTTTGAGAGGGGATTGGGAAACTTTCCCTAGATCAAAATCCTTTGAACTAGAGTCACTATGTGAGAAAGTAGTGACCCCGCCAAAGCCTGCGAAGAGCTGCCCCGGAGAAGACCCTGAGGCCTGGAAGATGCTGGTACCTCCGACAGGCTTAAGGCTTTGGCTGAACTTAGGTGAGCAAAATATAGGTGGGATAAATTCTCTGGGGGGAGGAGGAAGATGGCTGCCGAAAAGGAGAGGGGGAGGGGGAGGGAGAGGGATGCCACCAGAGAGAGGGGGGAGCGGGAGGAAGATGGGGGCCACCAGAGAGAGGGGGAGGGGGAGGGATGCCACCAAAGAGAGGGGGAGGGGGAGGGAGAGGGATGCCACCATAGAGAGGGGGAGGAGGAAGGGGACGGGGAGGAAGATGGGGGCCACCAGCGAGAGGGGGACGTCCAGCCACGAGCACAGGAGCAGAAAAGCCCACAGAAGCAGGCACCGTTCTTCGTGGCTGAGCTGCCATCAGTCTCTTAAATCCCTGTCTTTTCATTGACTCCATGCGATTCCCATCCAAAGGCTGCTCCGCGTCTTCCCATTGCGAGTGGACCCTGGGAGACCTTGCTGTTGCATGCGACTGTGGCTCTGGGGTCAAGTCTTCAGGATAGTCATTAAGTGCTACATGACATATTTTTAGCTTTTTTTTAGATTTTTTAGCTAAATGTAGCAGTGGCTGTTTCTCATTCTCTTCAGAATGTAGCTGTGGCTGTTGCTCATTCTCTTCAGAGGAGACCGGGAAGGGCTGCCCAGGTGGCAAAGTTGCACGTGTGAAGAGAAAACAGAACAAAATAAATTAGCAAACATTCTTCCAAGTAGCTGGATGGCACCCAAACGTCTGGTGCCTACATCCACATAAGACCCGAAAAAGCTAAAAGAGGTTCTAAACACACAATATTGGAGTCAAACGCGGCTTGCTAGTCCTGTGTCTCTCGTGACAGCCCTGATACAGAGACGCATCTCCCAGTCACTGCCTATGGGCTTGAGCAGTCAATGTAGCGTCCCAGAGTGAGCCCGCCAGCACACCATGAACTAAGCCGTATGGTGGGTTTAAGTTTTGCTCATGCAGACAGAAAAGAATAGAGATATGCAGTAAAGACAGATCCAGATGGAAAAAAACCTCTAAACAGGTTAAAATGTGTTTAAAAGTGTACATAGGATTGGGACAGAAAAGAGAAATGGTATAGACAGTCAAAGAAAATAGTAGCTCAAAAATAATAGTCTTTAAAGAAAGAATAAAGTAATATAAAGGGAAAAAGCCACACAAATATGGGAAATACGTGAGGAGTCTGGATCCTGCATGTTATTGGGTCGTGAGGAGTCTGGATCCTGCATGTTATTGGGTTGTCTTTAAATTTTCTGATTACTGATGAAGGAATAACAGCTGCTAAGACACATTGGATTATGAAAATTGCTGGATTAAACCAAACTATATATTTAAAAAATATTTTGACTTCAAAATGGAAGTCAAAAGGTGTGTTGCTTTTGGGGAGAGGTTATGCTTTTATTTCCACAGAAAACAAAAGGCTGTGGATTCATTCAAGGTTAAAGATGATCAGGTTTGATTGAGGAGGACCCCCTGAAAATTCTGACTACAGACATAAAGAAATAAACCTAGAACTATAAGACATGTGATGTTTATTTTACATGTTCAAACATAAAAATCATCTTCAGCGAACTTGTGTACAACACACAGTCTATACTTGTATTAATACAGACATGTATGTTACCTTTAAAAGTTTATGTATTTTCAGAAAAAGGGGACCAGACACCAATGAAAATGGATTGACCATGTGGTCCAGCATCTCAAAATGCCTCTGTTACAGTCTCCTCAGATTTCTGCATCCAAAACAGCTTCAAGGCTGCTGGCTGAGATGATCCAGCCTCACAGAATACTCCAGTCAAGACTTAACAATTATTCTGATTTTCTTAAGGTTCCCCCAAGGATACCAGCACCCACAAACAACAGGAAGTAGTCTAGAACACGATGTCCACATTTCTAGGAGATGGGGTATGTGTGGGTTTTAGTTATTCAAGTGATAATGAATGTTTATCATTTAAGGGCGGGTTGGTTACAAGTTGTTATTGGTATTGGTCAGGAAAAATGATGAACAAAGGAGATTAGATTCAGCATTCTTGTTCTGAAAAGAAAAAGGGGAGGGGGTATAGAAATGATAGGATAAAAGGGTAGATTATTGGATCTACTTTTAAACCAAAAAAAAAACTACTAGTCTTAAATATTTTACATTGGTATGGATTTTGTTTCTTGATACAAATTTAATGTTATTTTTGTTATACTATATGTATGTTTTTACTCTTGTTTGGGGGTATTGTGCTTATATAGCTCATTTAAAAATATAATGTATAATTAAAAAAATACAGGTTAGTAGTCATCTATAATAAATTTACATAGATAGTCTTCAAATGCTTCAAAGATCTACAGAATATGGCATTTAATATGCTTAATACTGAAGCCTTTTAATGACAGTGAGACACATCTGCTCCTGACAACACCAATTTACTTCAGAGGATGATGGGCATAGAAGAAACTCCATATGGAGTTTGTTTTCTTTATGGCAAAAGCTAGCCATTTGGGCAAGGAAACTGCCCTTGCTTCAATTGCTGACAGTTACTGTCCAAATTGGACCAGCAGGATACAAAAAAAGTGACTGCCAAGCTTTGCCAAGACAAGGTAGGACAGTCCTTCAAAATTCTCTGCTTCTCAGAAATGTCTGTCAGATATACTAGACCTGTAGGCCAAAGTTGGATGCCCCAATGTTTTGGAAGAACTTTGAGTAGCTATCCAGGCAGTCAGATGTCCCTACTGTTAGGTAACATTTCACCCTTCTGAGGTGTTTGATAGACTTGAAGACTAAATAATTCCCACCTGCATTGGCCTATACACACACCTCTTTCTGGATAATATAACTAACAACAATCAAACTTAGACATTTTCTGTTCAAAATATCCCTAATGTATTTGGATAAGAGACCAGAAAGGCTAATCTGGTCTGATCTGGTTTTAGGTAAATGGGCAGTAAGGCAAACAGTGTTCTCAAAGTGAACTTGTAGAGAGAACCCTCTATTTACTATCTTATGCCTATGCATAACTGGATATGTTTATGATTAAAATCAGAAGGGATATGTGCAGTAGGAATATGATTAGATGACCTAATCTATCAATTAAAATAGACAACCACCTAAACTATGCCCCTTAGATACAAAACTCCTTTTTCTCTGGAAGGATGCCCCAGATAATAATTGGGGCCTTGAGCGTCTTTGCTTATGTGGCCTGCTATTCCCTCAAAGTGTATTCTCATATATTCTATAGCTCTGCCTGTTGGTCTTATTTATTATTATTATTATTATTATTATTATTATTATTATTGTTATTATTATTTTGAGATAGGATTTCACCCTGTAGCCCTGACCAGCCTGGAATTTGTTACATAGACCAGGCTGGCCTCAAACTCACAGAGATTTGCCTGTCTCTGCCTCCTGAGTACTGGGATTAAAGGCACACTTCACTATGCCTGACCCTATTGCTTTGCTTTAAACAAGTTATCTTGAAGCTGCCCTTCCAGAGAGCCCAGCACCTACCTTGGCTGAGTAAAAACTGTCTGATGTAACTCCAGCTGCAGGGTATTCCATGATTATTTCAGGCACCTGCATGCAAATGCACAAAAACATACATAATTAAAACTAAAAGAACACATAAATAACATTATCTTACATATGTTGCACATCTACATAAGTCCTTATTGTCAACTCTTAAACCCAGAAACACCTTACTTAGACCCAGACCTCTGGTAACAGGCTTATAATACCAGCATTTGGGAGGCTGAGGCAGGGGGATCTTGAGTTTGAGGCCAGCCTGGGCTATGTAGGGATTTCTTGTCAGCCTGGATTACAGTGAGACTCTGTCTCAAAGAACAACAACAAAGAGAAAGAGAAAAGGGAGGCGGGGAATTGTTTCTCATATTTTATTTAGGGCGCTAGGAATAGAACCCAGGACTTCTCACAGGGAAGCCTGCTGCCGGTGAACTACAACCTTAGGCCCTCTTTGTTTGAGAAAAGGCCTTTGAAATTTTGTTTCATTTGTTATCGTGTGTGTGTGTGTGTGTGTGTGTGTGTGTGTGTGTGTGTGTGCGCGTGGCACGCGCACACGTGCACATATGAGTGCCATAGTGCATGTGTGGAAGCCAGAGGACATTTGGGAGTTGGTGATCCCTTTCTACTGTGAGTGGCAAAGATCACATCCAGGCGGCCCGGCTTACAAGGCAAGCACTTTCACCTGTTCAGCCATCTTGCTGGCCCATGAGACCTTGTCTCACTTTGTAACCTAGGCTGACATAAAGCTGGAGAGGTAGGCCAGGCTGGTCTGGGATTTGCTATGATCTTCCTGCCTTAGTCTCCTGAGTTAGGATTATAGGCATGGGCCTTCATCCCTAGTGCTATGGTTTAAACGGGAAATGCCTCCCGTAGAACCATGAGTTTGAACTCCTTTGGTCCCCAGCTGTGGCACTGCTGGGAAGATCATGGGACTTGATGAAGTGGAGCCTTGATGAAGGTGATATGTCACTAGAGGTGGGCCTTGAGGTTTTACAGAATGTCTCATTCTTTTTCAGCTTCCAGACTGCTAATGTAATCTGTTAGGCTATCCTCATGCCCCATGCCTTTCCTATCGAAATGGATGGTGTGTCCTCTGGAGCTGTGAACCAAAATAAATACCCTCTCCCTTAAGCTGTGTTTGTCAAGGTATTTTATTACAACTGAATGAGACAGGGTCTCACTGTGGAGCTCAGGATGGCCTGGAACTCACTATGAGGCCACGTAGACCCCAAACTCATCACAATCTGCCTGTTTCTGCCTCCCAAGTGTTCCTAAGATTAAAGGCATTGTACCACTATGTATGGCTTTTATTTATTTATTTATTTTTTAGTTTTAATTTTGAAACAGTTTCAGTAAGTTGCCCAGGCTGGCCTTGAACTTGCTCTACAGCCTAGGCTGGCCACAGACTTGCTGTGATACTCTTGCCCTGGCCTCTTGTAGCAGGGATTATATGCCTGGGCCATCATGCCTGCTGAGAAACTGGAGTATTAAGAAAGATGAGTAACAACGAACTAGACCTCTCATATATTAAAGCCTTTGGTAACATTATAATAATTAGAATGGTATTGCAGAGTAGATAGTACAGTCATAGCTATTAAGGCGCAGGACCTTGTCAAGAATGCAAGTGGCATTTTGAGTCAAGTGCTGGGGGGATTAGGTGACTCTTTGGAAGAATAAGGTTGGCTTTACCCTTTTATCTTATAGCAGGATAAATTTCAGTGAGATGGAAATTTAAATGTAAACATAGGGGCTGGAGAGATGATGGCTCAGAGGTTAAGAGCACTGGCTGCTCCTTCAGAGGTCCTGAGTTCAAGCACCAGCAACCACATGATGGATCACAACCATCTGCAATGAGATCTGGTGCCCTCTTCTGTCGTGAAGATGTACATGCAGGCAGAACACTGCATACATAATAAATAAATAAATCTTAAAAAAATGTAAACATAGAACTAATGGGGTAAGGGAGGAAGCTCCGTGGCTAAGGGCCAGCCAAGCATGCAAGCCCAGGCTTCTCTCTTTAACACAGCAAAACCAAAATAAAACAGAATTCCTAAAAGAAATGAAGGGGGAAAATTGAAAGTATAACCTATGAATAGGAAAGGTATTTCTAGGCACATCAAAGCAAAACAACCTAAAGAAAAGCAAGAAACTGAGAGGGAGAGTTGGGGTGGATATGATCAAGATTCATTGTATAAACATATGAAACTGTTAAAGAACAAACAGAAGGAACCTAAAACACACACAAAGAAAGAAATTAAAAGAATTTTTAAATGTGACTGAGAGGCTGGAGAGATGGCTGTGAAATTGTTTGTTTTTCTTTCAGAGGACCCAAGTTCAGTTCCCAGCACCCATAGTCACCTGTAATTCCAGCTCCAGGGAATCCAAAACCCTCTTCTGGCCTCCATAGGTACCTATACACTTGAGTGCATGCACACACATGTGTACACACACACACACACACACACACAAGCATATGCACAGAAATAAAAATAAAATAAGTCTGTAATAAAAGTGTAATAGGTACCAGCTGCTTGGAAGGTTGAGACCCAAGTATCACAAACAAAAAACTCTACATGACCAAATGATAATAAATAAAATTACAAAACAAGGGGCTGCCAGTGGCCTATGCCAGCATCCTCATATTCAGGGGCTCAGGCTGGAGGATCAGGAGTTTGAGGGCTACCTAGTGAAACTCTGGCTTCAAAAAATATAAAATGGGGGGTGAGAGGGAAGCAGTGAGATGGGTTAGTGGGTAGAGGCACTCACTGATAAACCTGTCAACCTGACTTCAATCCCTGGGATCCATGTGGTGGCAAGAGAGATCTGACTCCCCCAAGTTGTTCTCTGACCTCCACACGCAGGCCCCGGCACATGCACAGGAGTACATGTACACACACACACTGTAGGCAGAGTTTTCCTGTCCTGACAGCCTGTTCCCAAATAACTGGAAGCTGTTTCCCAAATAACTGACTCAGAGACTTAATATAAATTATAAATGCTCGGCTGATAGCTCAGGCTTGTTACTAACTAGCTCTTACATTTAAATTAACCCATTTTTCTTACCTATGCTTTGCCATATGGCTCATGGCTTGTGTTGGTTTTAAATAATGATAAGCAGTTCTGTCACCATGCGAGGAAAGGTCATGAGCCATGACAAAACCCAGTATCAGAGCTTTCTTAGGAGGAGGGGGTAGACAGAAGAGAGTAACTAGGCCTGGAAAGAGGCACATGCAGAGAGAGAGAGAGAGAGTGGGGGGGGGGGTGAAGAGCAGAAGAGAAGGGAGGAGTCTGTGACCGGCTTTTTAAGGATTTCCCCGCACATGCGCAGGTGGGCTTATGGAGCTACGCCATGCATGTGCAGATCACGTGATTTGAGCAATCACACAGCACACTGATGACGTAATACACCTTGCTTGGCTATTGAACTGTGCATGTGTGGTCATATAACTGGAGTAGCAGAATCCTAACAGCTTATAACCTCATTTTCTACATGGCCTGCTTCCTCAGCGGCTCACTGGCATCTCTCTCTAACTCCACCCTTCCTCATCCCATCATTCTCAGTTTGGCTTTCCCGCCTAACTTTATCCTGTTCAGCTATTGGCCAGTCAGCTTGTTTATTAAACCAGTCATAGTGACATATTCACACAGTGTACAGAAGGGTTATTCCACAGCAACACACATACAGAGAAATGTTAAATAACTATAAATGGCAACCTGGAAAAACAAATTTTCTTTTTTTCCCTGAAAATTCACCATGCACAGCTCTGTTTATTGGTATACCTGTAACAGTCTGCTGCCACTGATGATTTCATCTTGCATTGGTCCTGAATACTCAATTTCGGCCTATGGTATAAAAGTAAAAGTATGCAAACGAATATGTTTTAACAAAGTAAATATTCTCTAACACCCCCTTTCCCCCACCCCGTGCCACCTAGCTGTCCTCCTGGGAGATGAATGTACTTTTAAGGGGCAGTATAGCCCTTCCTTAGCATATACAAGGTACTGGGTTCAGTCTCCAGCACCACTAAAAAAGGAAATGTATACAATAAATAAAAGCAAAACCAAGAAAATGAGCCAATAAGCAAATATATTCATGCTGCATTTCTCTTTATAGAAATAGTGGAAACCGTAGAAACGGTCCTCACAATGTTCTCCTTGCTTCTCTTGCTCACTCCACCTTAGGGAGTCTTTCCTGTACACAAAGGGTCTCACACCTAATTGCTACACAGATGTAGACACAGTGACCTAAACACATACATGCAAGAAAGCCAAACATTCACACACATAAAAAATGTCTTAAAAAAGTTTAAATGGCCTAGAACTTTCCATGTAGTTAAGGACAACTCTGAACTCTGTGTATACCACATTTAGCTCCTAGACTCTTTATAAACTGTCTTTTAAGAGTATGCTCCTTCTGTGGCCAGGTGTAGTGTCACACACCTTTATCTCAGCCTTTAGGAGGCAGAGGTAGGCCAATTTCTGTGAGTTACAGGACAGTCAGGGTTATGTAGAGAGACCTTGTCTCAAAAAAGAAAAAAGAAAAAAAAAGGAATGTATGCCTTCTATTCATTTACTTCAAACAAAGTTACTCCTTGAATTAACAGTCTGCCTTGCCCTAGCTTCATATGTCTGGTGTTCATTGTGTCTCTTGATTTCATGAAGGCCACGCATTCAGTAACTGCCCTGGACCACTGGGCCTGTGTGAGTTCACTCCAGGATATTCACACAGCCATGAAATTTCTTCTGACATACTTCTCAGAACACATCCCCACCATTAAGCAACGAATGGCTGAATTTGGTGATTGTACTTACCTGTGCCATGACGGCCTCTGGCTGCTTTTCCTGCCAACTCACATATGGCAGAAAGTCTACATCTTCTTTGGCAACAAGTTCCGAAATACTTGGGACATTAGCAAAAGGAATCTCATCACCGTCCTATATAGAATCACAATTGGTTTAAATTTTTTTAAAAAATATAATCAAATTAAATAATTAACACATTCTAAAGCCTTGTGGATGCTGGGTTTAGAATATCTGGGCATTTACTTGGATCATATGTCTCTCAATATGAGGGCCTTTCCATATCAATCAAGAAAATGCTTCATATGCTGTGGAATAATCGTTCTGTACACTGTGAATATGTATTACTCTCATTGGTTAATAAAAAACTGATTGGCCAATAGCAGGGCAAGAAGAGGTTTGGTGAGACAACCTGACACAGAGAGAGTGATGGGAGGAGGGAGGGTGGACTCAGGAGAGTCACAGGAGATACTAGCCAGCCACTGAGAAAGCAGGACATATAGAAAATGAGGTAATAAGCCATGAGCCACATGTCAAAGCATAACTAGAAATGTGGGTTAAGAAGAAAAATGAGATAACAAGTCATGAACCACGTTAATTTAAATGTAAGTGTTAGCTAGTAACAAACCTGAGCTATTGGCCAAGCATTTATAAATAATATTAAGTCTCTGTGTGGTAATTTGGAAGCAGCTGACGGGATGAAGATTGGGAGGTCAGGACAGGAAAACTTGCGACTACACCCATAACATAGGCTTTGCTTAAAGGCCAATCTGAAAAATAAACCTAGAAATTAAAAAAGTAATAAGATTATAGTATGTCTTTTTTTGTGTATGATTGCATATTGGGGATTAACTACAGTATGGTACCACATCCCAGCCCCAAACTACTATAGATGGTTGTGTTTATTTTTGGTTTTGTTTTTGGCTTTTCAAGGCAGGGTTCTCTGTGTAGCCCTGGCTGTCCTGGAACTCACTCTATAGACCAGGCTGACCTCCAACTCAGAGATCAACCTGCCTCTGCCTCCCAAGTGCTAGGATTAAAGGCAGTTGTCTGGCTTCTATAGATGTCTTAAAATATACATATAACTAGTTAATAATCAAAATATTAAAAATACTAACACATATGTGCTGGTTAGTTTTTTTGTCCATCTGACACAAGGTAGAGTCATGTTGGAAGAAGGGCCCTCAACTGAGAAAATACCTCCATCAGACTGGTTTGTAGGCAACCCTGTGGGACATTTTCTTGATTGACGATTGATTTGGAAGGCCCCAGCTAGCTATGGGTGGTGCATCCCTGTCAGTTGGTCCTGAGCAAGCCAGCAGAAGCCAGTAAGCAGCCTTCCTCCATGGCCTCTGCTTCAGTTCTTGCTTCCAGGTTCCTGCCTTGATTTCCCTCATTGAGAGACTATGACCTTTAGGATGAAATAAACCCTTTCCTCCCCAAATTGCTTTGGGTCGATATGTTTTATCACAGCAATAGATACCTAACCAGAACAACATGCAATTCATTTAGAGAAATTAGGGCAAGTGCTGGCATGAACATCCTCCTACAAAGGAGGTCCTGGCTCCTGCCTCTGGCCTCTCTCCACTTTGCCCTTCATAGCTCCGAGTGGCCACTGTCATTACTGATCAGAGCAAGAGTGACCTTCCAGGTTTTGTTCTTTTCTTAATATACAGCTGCCCTGTGTAGTCTTGGACGGCCTAGAGCTCACAATGTTGATCAGGCTGCCCTCAAACAGAGGTAATCCTGTTTCTGCCTCAGCAATGCTAGGATTATAGGTCTGTGCCACCACAACTGGATGTTGCTGTTTTTGACACAGAATTTTCATGTGTAGCCTAGGCTGAGCTCGGTTTCCTCCTGCCTCTGCTTCCTAAGTTCTAGAATTATAGGCATGTCTCCACACCCAGAGAAATGCTTACTGTTTTTTACATTTCTTTTTTTTTTTTTTTTTGGTTTTTCGAGACAGGGTTTCTCTGTGTAGCTTTGCGCCTTTCCTGGGACTCACTTGGTAGCCCAGGCTGGCCTCGAACTCACAGAGATCCGCCTGGCTCTGCCTCCCGAGTGCTGGGATTAAAGGCGTGCGCCACCACCGCCCGGCTACATTTCTTTTTATTTATTTACTTTTTATTGTTGTTGTTGCTTTGAGATAGGTTCTCACTATGTAGCCCTGACTGGCCTGGAACTCACAGCAATCCACCTGCCTCTGCCTCTCAGTGCTAGAATTAAACGACTGTACTACAACTTCTGGCAGTAATGATTTTTTTAAAAGTATTTTTAGCTGGATGTGGTGGCATATACCTTTACTCCCAGCACTCAGGAAGCAGAGATAGGTATAAGTGGATCTCTGTGAGTTTTAGGCCAGCCTGGTCTAGTAGTGAGTTCTGGACCAGCCTGGTCTACACAGTAAGACACTATCTTAAAATATATATATATAGCCGGGCGGTAGTGGCGCACGCCTTTAATCCCAGCACTCGGGAGGCAGAGCCAGGCGGATCTCTGTGAGTTCGAGGCCAGCCTGGGCTACCAAGTGAGTTCCAGGAGAGGCACAAAGCTACACAGAGAAACCCTGTCTCGAAAAACCAAAAAAAAAAAAAAAAATATATATATATATATGTATGTATATATATGTATACTTTATGTGTGGGTTCCTACAGAAGCCAGAAGAGGATGTTAGATTTTTTGAAGTTAGTGTTGCTATTGTGAGCCATCTGTGGGTCTGTGTGTGATGGGAACTGGATTTGGGTTCTAGCTGAGCCATATCTCCAGCCCAATAGTGACTCATATCTCCAGCCCAATAGTGACTAAATAAACATTTAAAAGTTTAAAAGTTTAATCTTAAATTAATAATACATACCCTTTTCTCAACTGCCACAAAGCTTGTAAATTGCGTAATCAGAGAATTTTCTTTACTGAGTTCAATAATCAGAGATTTCATGCTTTTTTTCTTCATCTAGGATAGAATGAAACTGTGTTAGTTTGTTTATGTGTACTGAGATTGAAAAGATATAAAATAATCTAAAGTGTTTTTCTGTGACAAATCATTTAATGTATACATTCACTTCCTTTTCTTTCTTCTTTCTTCTTTCTTTAAAAAAAATTTCTTGTTTTGAGACGGCCTTAATATGTACCCCCAGAATTTGCTATGTAGATCAGGCTAGCCTTGAACTCACAGAAATCTACCTGCCCCTACCTCCTGAGTGCTGAGATTAGAAGGTGTGTGCCACCACTCCCAGCTCATCCATTTCTTTTGAGACAGCATCTCATGTATCTTAGGCTGGCCTGGAACTCACCTATGTTGCTACTGATGACTTTGAACTTCTGAACTTTCTGCCTCTACTTCCCAAGTGCTGGGATTATAGGTGTGCACCATCATATTTGATTTATCCAGTGCTGGATACTGAATTCAGAGCCTTGCAAAAGCTAGGTAAGCCCTCTACCAACTGAGTTATATCTCCTGCCTTAAGTAAATAATTTTATCTTTATGTGCATTGGTGTCTTGCCCGCATGTATATCTGTGTGAGGGTGCCAGATCTTGGAGTTACAGACAGTTGTGAGCTGCCATGTGAGTGCTGGAAATTGAATCTGGGTCCTCTGGAAGAGCAACCAGTGTTCTTAACTGCTGAGCCATCTCTCCAGCCCCCTAATTAAATAATTTTATAATTAGTACTTCGAATTAGACACTGAGTCAGGGGTCCTGTCTAAGTATCTTGGGTATGTTTTCAGTGACTTGATATGGCTGGCTTAGCTGAGTCATAGAAGAACATTAGCTACACAGCCCTCTACAGCTTTCAGAGTTCTCTCACATGATGTGAGTCTCCCCAGTCTCTCAAAGCTCCCACTGTGAAGCTGATGAATCATTACTTGTTTAGGATTACTCAAGGCAAAGCTAGTCAGATGCACTCAGAGATAAGTAAGTCAAAGAGAACATAGCGTTAATCCAAGTGGTCACTGAAGGGAGCAGGCAAAAGCACCTTGGCCTAAGTGCTGCCATTTTGATTTCAGACTCCATTTTACCCATAGGGTCAAACAAAGTTCAAGTTCCCAGACCCTAGGAGAGCTGTGAACTTTCCAATAGCCACTAACCTCCTCCTTAAACAATAGAAATGCTCTGCTATGCCCCTTAGTTCCCTAAAACATTATGGCTCTTCTTAACAACAGAAAAAACAAATGAATCTGATTGGTTGGACTGAAAAGCTTGCATTCTGTGTCAGTTGATAATGATGGAACACATAAGGAAAGCCCCTAATCTTTGAATCCTGATTGGTGGAAAAATATAACCGTGATCTGGCAACAGGCATTTGTGGCTTCTTTGTGTCTAAGCTCTGCTTCAACCCCTGCTTGGGGCTGCCAGGAGAAACAAGGCTCCCGAGTCCTTGTCTACAGTCCTGTGATGGTCAGTGGTGCCTACATGGTATGGCATCCTTTTTAGGAATGCCATTGAACACCAATGCTTAAACCTTGTTTAAGAATGCAGCTTGACTGTCACAATAGCTGGCCAAGGGGGCCCCTCTGTCAGGACCCCTCCAGACTATTTCTCATGGGGAGAAAATCACAGAAGTGTCAGAATGCCATTTTCATTAGCTCTGTCATTAGTGAATTCCACAAACCCACTAAGCATCTGCACCCCAGACTGACATTACAGATGCTGATGGCTGCCCTGACGTCACTTTCTTCTTTATTTGGCCACCCCCACTTTGGGTTGATATGAACAAATCAATTTAAGAATGACACAGAACAATGCTTAATGGCTTTCACTGGGAGAACAAACCTCATGTTTGGTTTCATTGTCATGGAGAATACCATCTTCATAATCTCTGATCAGGGCCCGAGCTGCCAGCTTGTGAATCATCTGTGTTTAAGCAGTAAGGGGAGAAAAGGATTAAAATGGCTTTACGTGTGTGTGAGAGAGAGAGATGTGAGTGTGTGTGTGTGTGTGTGTGTGTGTGTGTGTGTGTGTGTGTGTGCGCGCGCCCTCATGTGTGTGGTTCAGACATGCTAGAAAAGTATGTATGGAGGTCAGAGCACAGCCTTCAGGTGTCTGTTCCCCTCTTTTGGCCCTGTTTAAGATTGGGTCTCTGCTGCTGTGGTAGCAAGGCTAGCTGGCCAGCAGGCTTGGAGGGTCTTCCATCTCTGCTGCCTTCTTCCTTCCTCCTTCCAGGACTGTGCTGGGATTGCAGACATGCACACTATTCTGTCTGCCTTTTTCACGTGTGTTCTAGGGGTCCAAACAGAGGTCGTCAGATTTGCACGGCAAATGCTTTTACCCACTGAGCCATGTCCCCAGCTCCCTACCCTACCTAGGCTGGTCGAACATAATGATTCGTCTGCCTCAGCCATTTCTGGGCAGGGATCACAGGCATGAGCCACTGCAGCAAGCTCAAATAGGTTCTCTTCTGCCATGCCAGCAATAACGATCCTAACTGTCGAGCACCCAAGTGAGTTCCAGGACATCCAGGGCTATGTAGAAAGACTCCATCTCAGTCTCACACCCCCACCCCCAACCCCAACAGAACAACAACATGCAGGAAAGAATACCCAAGGGATAGGCAGTATTCTTAGAACAAAAAAAAACAAAAAAAAAAACCGCCGGGGCGGTGGTGGCGCACGCCTTTAATCCCAGCACTTGGGAGGCAGAGCCAGGCAGATCTCTGTGAGTTCGAGGCCAGCCTGGGCTACCAAGTGAGTTCCAGGAAAGGCGCAAAGCTACACAGAGAAACCCTGTCTCGAAAAACCAAAAAAAAAAAAAAAAAAAAAACACCAAAATAACCAACTTATTTATTGTGTTTACTCCCTCCTCCTTTTTTTTTAGTAAATGAGATCATAGGTAGTTTATGGTACACTGTGACATTTACTAGGCTGATGAGATAAAAACCCAGGGCTGATGAAGTAGTTCAATGGGTAAAGGCTCCTGCTGCCAAACCCAAGGACCCGAGTTTAATCTCTGGGACCCACACGGTAGAAAGAGAGAAATGATTCTCACAAGTCCTCTGATGTCCACACGAATGCAGTGGCAGGCAGTGGCACACACACAATAAATAAATGTAACAAAAACATTTTAGGGGCTGGGGATTCAGCTCAGTGGTAGAGCGCTTGCCTAGCAAGCACAAGGCCCTGGGTTCGATCCTCAGCTTCAAAAAAAAAAAAAAAAATTTAAGATAAGAACATAGCTCCACAGGGCTCAACACAGAAGAGAAGGCAGGAAGATTCTAAGAGGCAGCGGTAGTGGAGGGCTGCTGTGAGTCAGCGTTCTATGGCCGTGACAGGGCTGTGGCACACATGAATATGCAGGGGAGCTCTGACTGCACACACAAGACCCGCAAGATCAAGCCAGCCAAAATTCCAGCATGGATGAGGGAGGGCCTCGGGAATGCCCACTCCTGGCTGAGGAGCTATTGGCGACTGACGGCTGCTTCATAAGGAAGAGGATGCTTTCTTCAGGGATGCTGCCCTAGTGGGTTGTTCATGCTCCAGGGGACGGTCCTATACTCATGCACACACGCAGCACTGAGTGGATTCATTGGGTTTAGAGGAGAGCACATGAAGTCGGAAGGGAAAAGTGGTGGTGGGGCCATGGGAAGAGCCGGAGGGAGCGGGGTTGGATTTGACCAAAACACATGTTCATATACGAAATCCTCAAACAGGAAATTAAAAAAATAGATCCAAAAAAAATCACAAGAAGCTGGGCATAACGGTACACATCTGTAATCCCAGCATTTAAAAGGCAGAGGCAGGAGGTCAAGGGCCTTGACTACCTGATGAGGCCAGCTAGTCCTCATGGGAAAGTAGGCTCTGGCTCTCTGCCCGTGCATTATGAGCAAAGTAACTTGTTCGTTGTTATTTTGGATTGAACCCACAGTTTGCCAAATACTAAACATATGCTCTTTCACTGCTCTATGAAATGACTGTAGAATTAAAAGCAAAGCCAGTGAGGATCTCTAAACTCATAGGCCTTACAGAGCCCCCTGACAGTTCTGTGTGGTCAGCCCTAAGCATGTGTACATAAGAGCAACAGTAAATGGGTCAACAGGTTTTATTTATTTATTTGTGTGTGTGTGTGTGTGTGTGTGTGTGTGTGTGTGTGTGTGTGTGTGAGAGAGAGAGAGAGAGAGAACAATTATAGAAGAAGAAGTCATGAACTTGAAAGAGTGGGGAGTTGACACAGAGGAGTTGGAGAGAGAAGGAAGGATAGAAATGATATAAATACAGTACCCATGTATGAAATTCTCAAAAGGATAAAAAAATTAATGAAAAATGCTCTTAGAAAACAAGATCTTTAAATTGTGGTAATTTGGGTCTTCACTGTAATAATCAGCAACAGTAAATGAACCATTTTCCTGAGTTCTGAGAAAGGACTTAGAGAACCTCCAACTCCTATCCAATTTTGACAAGCTGGACAAGCGGGTAACATGAGGACCAAGTCTTGTGATTGGCATCTGAACTGGGGAGTTTTGTGGGGCTGAGCCCTTACCCATGGGGTCTGTGACAACTTCTGTTAGACAGTGGCAGAATGTGGTGGTGTGTGAATGGACTCAAGAGGCTGAGGCAGGAGAAATGCTTCCTACTCAAGGCCATCTTGATCTAGACAGTATCTCAAACAAAACAAAACAGATGATCGCATTTTGTTTGGAGAAAAGGTCTCATGTAGCCTAGGCTGACCTCAAACTTGCTTTGTATCCAAGGAGGACCTCAAGTTCCCAATCTTAATGCCTCTGCCTCCCACGTGCTGAGGTTGTAAGTATGGATACACAATTACACCTGGCAAAAATCTCATGTTTCCTTGAAGTTACTCATAATCATGGACACCTGTAGAGATACACCCAGCTCCCAGAATCCCAGATGAAGACCCATTAAAGGCATGTGTCCCCATCCCGATGGCACAGAGAACCCCCTGACCACCCTTCAGGTGTACTGACACTTCAGCCCAGAAAAACAAAGGAAGTACATGGAGCTCATACGTGAAAACTGAGAGTTGTTACTTTCTGTCCATAGCGTTAAGCGTGTGTGTCCCTGGAAATGGAAGCGAGACTTCCACCTGCTTGGCTAGGCTCTCCCACTGAGTTCTCCCCACAGCCCAGCACTTGAAGATTTGAGTCTTACAGTCCCAGTCGTCTTCTGAAGCTCGGTAGTTGACACCATCGTACAAAATTCCTTCTCTTGGACGAACGCACACAGAGTTGCCTGAGATAGGAGAAACAGGAGTGTCTCATTAGCTTTTCTACTCCCACTGCGCCAGTTAGTGTAACAGCAGCTCTTCCGGTAGCATCCTCCCCTCTCAAGAGAAATCAAGAGCTTCCCCAGTCAGGTATGGGGTGGGATGGGAGTGTGGCAGGTGGGGCTTGGACCATAATGCCAACAGGAAGCCAAGGGGTGGGGTGGGGAGAAGAGCAGCAGCAGCATTATCTTTCCCATGGTGTAAGGAATTATGCATCTCCTTACCTGTGTACAATGAGGAATGAATCCGTAGACAAGGAGTCGGTCATTATGAAACAAGGAAGGCACCTGGACCGGAGCCTGCAGAGGCTCCGGGGCGTCCCTGCTGAGCTGCTGCCACTTGACGGAGACAGAGTGGCAGCCCGGGGACCGGATCCTGGTCATTTGGGCTTCTATCTATAATAAAGAGAAAAAGCGTCTCCTTCACTGTTAACATCTGACAAAACAGGCCGGGGGTATATCTCAGTTGGTAGAGTGCCTTGTACGGATGTTTGAATGGTTTTAATCCCCAGTACCCTAAAACCAACAAACCACAAAAATAGCTACTTAATACTTGAAAGTTTAATTCTGTCTTTGGGATTTTATAGCTTTTTTGGTTTTTCTTTTCTTCCTGTCATGGAGCATATTTCCAAAGGGGGAAAAATTGAGACAGGGTCTTACTATGCAGCTTTGGCTGGCCTGGAACTCACTTTGTAAACCAGGCTGGCCTTAAACTCACAGTGATCCACCTGCCTCTACCACCTGAGCACTGGGACTAAAGGTGCCACCAGCTTAAATATATACATTTGAAGTTTTTCTATTTCAGTTTGTGGTGAAGGCTAACCAGTGGAGGCACTTGCCACACAAGCCTGGCAGCTCTGGAATGTTGCCAGTGGGAATGTGAACTGCGTAGCTGCTGTGGAAAAAAGAGTGATAAATCCTAAGAAAATGAAACAGTTACTGCATGAGTCAGTAATTTCACTGCTGAGTACAAACCCAGAAGTGAACCAATGGAAGGTCCTGACAGGTACTGTATTCCAGCGTTCACATCAGGGCCATTCACAGCAGCATATGGTGGGAATGAGCCACGTCCATTGATAGGTCAACAAATAAAACGAGTGTGTGTGAGATCTGTCTATCTATCTATCTATCTATCTATCTATCTATCTATCTATCTATCTATCTATCACATATCATCTATCTATATACCTATACATATCTATCTATCACATATCTATCATCTATCTATCACATATCTATCATTTATCTATCTATCATCTATCAACTATCTACCTACCTACCTACCTATCTATCATCTATCACCTATCTATCAACAATCAATCCATCTATCATCTATCTATCTATCTATCTATCTATCTATCTATCTATCTATCTATCTTCTGTCTATCTATCTGTCTATCTATGTATCCATCATCTATCTATCATCTCTCTATCTATCTATGATGTAATTATTTTATATGCATATTTGATAAGCTATTACTCATCCCTAAAATGGGTATTGTGGCACACACCTGAAACCTCAACACTGGAGCAATGGAAGCAGTAGGATCAGGAGTTCAAGTCCAGCCTCAGCTCAGCCTGGGTTACATGAGACTCCTTTTTCAAAACCCAATAAAAAATAATAAAATATTTGGCCTTAAAATGAAAATAAATCCTGTCAAAAACATGACACAGATGAGTCTTGTGGACATTATGCTGAGTTAAATAAGTTAGACACAAAAGAACAAATGCCTCATGCCTCTACAAGTATCTGGAGAGAGCAAATTCATAAAGACCGGAAGTAGAACAGACAGTCAGGCGCTGGAGGCAGGAGGCAATCCAGAGTTACTGTTTAGACTTTTGTCAGGGATGGTGATGAAGTTCCGGAAATGGCTGGTAATGCTGGTTACACAACCCTGTGGATAAGTTTATACCAATGAAATGGACTTGTAAATCTCGTGTGTATTTATCGCAGTGAAACACTAGCCACTGGGTGTGGTCACCTCTCTAACACCAGCACTGTGGGGAACAGGGAAGAGGGGTGCTGTAAAGGCATGAAGCACCACCTCTGGCTTGGCCCTTCTTATTATTTATGAAAATGTTCTTAAAAGCTTTGGCCTCCTTGTAGGTCTTGTCTATTCACAAAAAGGTAGAAGTTACTACAGACTTGCAAGAAAACAGGATTTGCACACGTAAACACAGGAGTACAGATAAGATGTTAAAAAAACAACCCCACATACCTGTTTTTTCCAACTCTGTTTGGATTTTGAGTTAAAATATTCAAATACTCCAGCACCATACTGAGACAAGGTCCTTAAGATGTGATGATTTGCTGTAGAACTGATCACATTTCACATATTTTAATTTTTGTTATTGTTATTTTTTTGTTTTATGAGAGAGTGTTTCTCTGTGTAAAAGCCCTAGCTGTCCTGGAACTCTATAGACCAGGCTAGCCTCGAACTCAGAAATCCACCTGCCTCTGCCTCCTGAGTACTGGGATTAAAGATGTTTGCCATCACACCTGGCTTCCACGTTTTTAATTTTAAGACACTTAGGGTTGTCTCTTCAACGGAATAGATGTATAACCTGTTTTCCACCCAGAAGGCTGGGAATGGATGTGGTTAATAGCCTGGTGAACTCTGACTGTCTCTATGCTTGAGGCCACATCTGGCCCCTCCAGACTCTTACAAACAGGATCAGAGGTGGTTAATAGCCTAGGTGACCTCTGTACTATCTGTATGACTGAGGCCACACCAGATCCTCCCCCAAGCCCTTAAGATAACACAGAAGAAGTGTCATGTACTTTGAAAAGAGTTTTGATATAATTATGCCTTAAGCTTTATTGTGCACATGGGGTTGTATTACACCAGGAAACTTTTTTTCCAAATTGTACTTAAATATGCCTAAAATAAAATGCCTGGTATCAGACTCTAGAAGTTTGAACCAATACCAGCTACCAAGTTGTATTGAACCAGACTTCCTTCTTGCCTCAGACGGATGACACTTTGTAGGCCTCCACGGCAAAAATATTAAACAATAAATAAATAAAATCTAATATTCCATACTTAAAAGCTAACAACGACAACCCCAAAAGGTACTGGGCATGATGTCATACTTGGGAGATGGAGGCAGGAGGATCAGGAACGCAAGGGGATCCTTGGTTACATTTTGAGGCCAGCCTGGGCCACACAGAGACCTTTCTTAAACAAAACAAACTGTAAACAAATAAAAAACTCAACAGATATCAGAATGATACTTGATAAAGATAGCAACCTAAAGAGCTAGAATGTAGCTCACATTATAGAGTGTTTGTCCTGCATGCACTGGGTTCAATCCCAGCCCTGAATAAACCAGGTGTACCAGAACACATCTGTAATTCCACCCTTGGGAGGCAAAGGTAGGAGGATCAGAATTCAAGCTCTCCCTCTGCTACTTTGAGAGTTCATGGCCAGCCTGGGCTACATGAGGCCCTGTCACAAAACAAAACATATCAGCCTAGCCAGGCATGGTGGCATATGCCTGTAATCTCAGCATTTGACAATCTGAGGGGAGAGGATCACAAGTTCCAGGCCAGCATGGTCTGCATAGTAATTTCCTGGCTAGCCTGGGCTATTGAGTGAGACCTTGTCATAAAACAAAGCAGTTGATACAAAGGGAAAAAACAAGCACACACAGAGAGTTGCCGGAACAGCAAGAGCTACTTTTAATCACCAATAGCCACGGAGTGTCTTCAGGGGCTATGAAGGGACACGGATGGAATGCTGGGAAGGTATGTGGATGCCCTGGACCCCAGAAAATGGGGGCTTGTAGTCAGAGCTCACTTGTGAGGACTGCACAGCAAGTCTACATATCACCTCACCGATCTGCCTCATGCCCTGCCTCAGAAGAGGGACACCTGGTGTCCTGGGGTGGGAGCTGTGCAGGAAGACTATAGGAGCTTCAGGGGCAGGCTCCAGGTGGGGGGCTCTATATAAATAGTAGGATGCCCCCCCCCCCCGTTCTTTCCTTACACAGATACTAACTACAACTGCCATTACTTATAAATGATCAGCCGATAGCTCGGGCTTGTTACTACCTAACTCTTACACTTAAATTAACCCACTTATCTATGCTTTGCCACGTGGCTCATGGCTTGTTCCTTCATTTTCTATACATCCTGCTTCCTCGGCAGCTGGCTGGCGTCTCTACTGACTCCACCCTTCTTCATCCCAGTATCCTCAGTTTGATTGTCCCACCTAACTTTATCCTGCCTTGTAATAGGCCAACCAGCTTCTTTATTAGCCAATGAGATTAATACATATTCACAGTGTAAGAGGATTATTCCACAGCAACAATTGGCAAGTGTTTCCAACAACTTGTGGAAAGACTGTGACTTCAGGGTTTCAGTGCAAACGTAGGAAACTGATAGCACATGAGCAGGAGAAGGCAGGTGTGAGGCAGGGGTAGCCCTAAGTGCAGTCATTGCCAACCACACCCAAATCAGCCCCAGGGAGCTGTGCCAGGCCCCTAAGGACAAGCTAGTCACCTGAACTCTAATGCAAAACAATAATCCCATGATGTAGGTATTTCATTTTCACCTTCATTTTACAAATCAAACAGCCTGCCCAAGATCCCTGTAGCTGTGAGACCCTGGCACCATGGTCCCAAGCCAAGAGCTTGGCCTCTGCAATGTATAGATTTCATATACTCATACCAGCTTCCAAGCTTGCAAAACCCCCAGACCAGCCAACTAAAGCCTTGCCCACTAGCTGCCTTTGTCACTGCGGTGACCAGATCTCTGGGACTCACCCAACAGCACAGGTGAACAGTCTGGTGTGCTGGGTATTTCTTTTCACAATCTTCAGTGTCAGACTCTCACTCTGGAGGTGCCCATCAGATATGAGGAGAATGTTCCGTAACCCTTCGGATGGGTACAAGAGACTTAAGTAGCGGAGAATTTTCCAGAAGTCTGTGTTCCCCATGGTAGGTGCTGCGGACTGCAGGGGAGGAAGCATCATATCTTAAGGTACATTCATCATTAACTGTGGGGTGAACATGGCAACCCCTACACTCTGGATGTGATGACAAATTAAGGCTCCCTCCAGCCCCCCCCTCCCGTTGAGGATTCACCCCAAACACCCAGGGACTGCTGCAGGAGAAGCTCCTTAGTAAGAGTGCCTATCTGGTTCTGGCAACTGTCCAAAGAGAAACTGGCCCCAGACAAAAATCCTGTACAGCTTGGATAGATTTTGTGCTATAGCATTACACATACGCTGTCACCTGTAAATCTCTTATAGGTCCCAGATCCAAGTCACACTTTGAGCAATTAAACATGTTTTACAGAGACAGAAACTGCAAGCTTGGCCATTTTGGACAAATGGGAGATTTACACAGCAAAAACATTGTCCCAGTTATTTTGAATCGGACCAGTGTTGTTGTTCTTGGGTAGTTGTTAACTCAGGTCCTCCTGCCTGGCTGGCAGTCTTGGTGAACAAAGCTTAACAGAAACGTATCCTTGGTTGTGGTGATATGTAGTGGGTAGCCATTCCAGCTTTGATCTGGAAGTTCCAACCCCCATTGAGACTTCGGCAACTGTCACGCCTACAAGGCGGGGCCAAGGGAGGCACCTGGGGACCCGAGATCTGGTTCGGCGGACGCTCGCTCCGGTCCAGGACCCTGGATGGTGGAGGTGGACCAAGCAGAGCTCCAGAGAACACTGCTGGACTGTGATACACCTTCCCCAGACCCCGCGACCTACCTATCCCTTAATTTGTACGTTACGCCATTAAATAAATCTCCTTTTAACTACGTGGAGTGGCCTTAATAATTTCACCAATAGTAGTATATTGTGTACCCTAATAAAATTTGCCTGAGGATCAGAGGACAGAACAAGCCACTAGATTAAACATAGAGGTCAGGCAGTGGTGGCACACACTTTTAATCCTAGCACTTGGGAGGCAGAGATCCATCTGGATCTCTGTGAGTTCAAAGCCACCCTGGACTATATGAGATTGACTCAGTCTAGGAGAGAAACAGAGCCAGGCAGTGGTGGCATACACCTTTAATCACAGTACTTGGGAGTCACATGCCTTTAATCCCAGCACTTGAGATCTCACGCCTTTAATCCCAGTGTTTGGGAAACACACACACCTTTAATCCCAGCACTAGGAAGGAAGTGATGGCTGGGCAGAGAAAGGTATATAAGGTGTGAGGAGACGGGAAGCAAAAGGCTTTTTCAGGACTGGGGACTGATAGGCTTTCAAACAGGATTTGTGGAATTGTCGAGGTGAGACACAGCAGTGGCTTGTTCCTGCGTCTCTCTGATCTTTCAGCATTTACCCCGATATCAGGCTCCGGGTTTTTTATAGTAAGACCATTTTGGATTTCGAGCAACACTTGGTAACCCTGAGTTCTAATTACGTTAGAGGTCAGCTCTGCTTTTCTTCTCTTTCAGTAGTTCCTAAGAAGCCTGGCTAGTGCACTACTATCTTACAGTCATATTTGAGGCAGTGTTCCTTTAACTAAATTCTACTTTTGTAGATTTCCTAAGCAAGTTTACTGGTAAATCCTTTAGAACATCAGTTTATTACTTCCAGCCTCTCCATCATGGACACCTGCATGCTGTCATTAATTCCTCATTCATTGAAGCAAGCATGTCAGAACCTGGAGACATAGTGTCATAAAAACGTTATACACTCATAGAACGAAGATACTTCTATCCTTTTAGTTTATTCCATGCCCCACAGTAACTATAATATTACCACGGAACATCTATAAACTAGCTTTCAAAGAACTAAGCATCTGTGCAGAGAAACATGCCGTCAAAGCACCCTGGACTTTGCTGGCCTAGGTGATACAACTGTTCATTTTAAAACAATGGACAGAAGAACAGTTTCCAAAATGCTTATGGAATCATACTGAGGGGTAGGAATGAAGGCAATTTTTCTTCCTGGTTGTTTAATTTTTTTATTATATTTTTGATTTGTGTGTGTGTGAGGGGGGAATCACAGGTGCACGTGTAAAGAGGTCACACAACAACTCATGTAAGCCAGTTTTCTCCTTCTAACGTGTGGGTTCTAGGGTGGAACTCAGCCACTGCCTTTACCCCTTGAGCCATCTCACCAGCCCCTTTTTTAGTTTTTTTTTTTTTGTTGTTGTTTTTTGAGACAGGCACAGCTCAGGCTGGCCTCAAAGTTACTAGGTAACTAACCTCCTTGTTCTTGAACTCCCAATCCTCCTGCCTCTGCCTGTTGACTGCTGGGATTGAAAGTTTGACTTTTCCCTTTTCCCTTTTGCTAAATTCCAATTAAAGAAAGGTCAAACCATCCTCACCATCACCATCATCAGAGGCCACTGCTGTGGGATGGATAACTGACATCTCCCACCCCACAAAGGTTTTATTATCTGCCTGTGGTGCTATTGGGAGTTGATGGGACCTAGTGTACTAGGATTCAGATTGGGGTGTGCCCTTGAAGAAGGGGATACTGGGTCCCTGGCCCCTGCCTTTCTCTGCTCCTGAGCCCACAGGTGAATGACCCACCTCCCTCTGCTGTCAAATGACCAATGCCAGAAGGCCAAGCAAATATAGACTGGAACCTCTGAAAGTGTGAGCTAAAGAGACCTCCCTCCTTATAAATTGTTTATATCTCATGCATTTATAGAAAAAGCTGACTCACATCCACCAGTGTGCAAACACCCCGGGATTAAGTCCTGGACAGCACCACTCAAGCTTTGCAGACAAAGACTCTGGGGTGGGTGGGGATAGTTCTCTTACCATAATGAACTCTGTGGCCATTTTATTGCTTGTAATGTACTTAGGATATGAAAATAGCTCCTTGTAACCTGTGTAATAAGAAGGTATGATATATTGCCATTAAACACTCACCAGATTAACCACTAACAAACACCAATGCTACTTTATACCACTACTTCTACCATAAAGAACATTAGATATTTATGTGGTGTAGGTTTCCTTTTCAGAAAACTACGTACAAATACTTTAACATACAAAACCCACTCATGTTTCAAGCATATTCTATAAGCTGTACTATATGAGACGTTCTGAGTCAAGCTCTATGTAGAGATCTCTGCATCATCCATGGAAAGCAAAGCTCAGGACACTTCAGTGGCATGGGTGGCTCAGCCCTGGCAGTGCAGAGTCCCCAGCAAAGTGCTCGCCATCCCGATATGATCCATGTTCCTGGCAGAACAATCCTAGTTTCATTGTAAAAAAAGCTAGATGGACGGCATAGAAGATGAGACTCAACGGGACAGGACTGTCCCCTGACCCTACTCTATGCTCCTTCTTTCATCCCTGAGATGCCTTATTTATTTATTTCTTTGAGACAGGGGCTTGCTCCATAGCTCAGGCTAGCCTGGAATTCTCAATGTAGCCCAGGCTAGCTTTGAACTCTTGTCAGTCCTACTGCCTCCGTCTCTGGAGCTCTGGGATTACAGGTATGAGCCACTGTGCCCAGCTCAAAGGCACCATTAACCATATGATTGGTCACCCTAAGATTATTTGTGTAATCCCTTTACCATTGGGTAATGCCCAACGAGGATGGCATAGCCAAATAACTGTGTTTCAAGCCATCTTAAGTAATTTGGTGCTTAAGTCATTAACCTGATCCATAGATTTGAGCCACCACTCCCAGCTCTGCCCTGTCATAGTCTTGAGTTGTCCCTGCTGTCCTTCCTGGAGGGTGACATTGACCTAGTGACAGCGTTGGCCTGGTGATTCCTGAGCCCATTTCTACTACATTATCTATGAGTGCGCGGGTTGCAAATGTCAGTCTTGACTCTGGACCTTCCTATTAAATAAACCAAGGTTCCTGTGTTTTGTTTAGTAGATGATTACATTGGTCACACTTGTGTCTTACCCACTATAGAGCAAAGCTTAAAATCTTCGGCCTTGGTTAGCTCCATACTTATAAGACTACGATGTAAGGGCTATCATCATGCAGATGGAAAAACCAAGGTACCAAAAGTTTAAGCAAACTTGCCTGAAGTGACTACTGAGCTTATGAACGGGAGAGGTGGGATCTTCACCAAGAGGCTCCGATTTAGCCTTCTGTGCTTCAGATTCATGCTAAGCTGTCTCCCACTCACGTCTGCACATGCTCACGTTAAAGAAGAGATACGTGAAGGACTGGGGACAGTGCACTCACCTGTGCCAAACTGCAGAACATTCACTTTTTGCTCTTTACCCACTAGAGACAGAGCGTACAGGGCAACTTGCTTGGCTTGCACGAATGTCACACCCTCCATGGAACTTGAACAGTCAAGACAAATAATCACTTCATTCTTTTCACGGAGGCCAGGAAGGGTGGCCGCAAGATCTGGTTGAAAGACGAGCATGCAAGCCTAAAAGGAGAAAAAGACACTGGGTCAGAGGTTCTTGGAACTTAAATGGGGAGACACCTACAATTCTGAAAGCTTCTAGGGCCTGTGAGATGGCTCGGTAGGTAAAAATGTCTTCTGTTCAAGCCTGATGACCAGACTTCAACCCCAGAAGCCACAGGGAAATAGAGAACATGCTCAAAGTTTTCTTCTGGCCCTTACAGGCTGGGTTTACACATGTTTACAACACACACACACACACTCACTCACACACACACACACACACACACACACACACACACACACTCCCACACTTAAGAAGAAAACCTTCTGGTAAACTAATGCTACCAAAATAAAACAGATACAGTTTCTCTTTTTATTCTTTTGAGGCAGGGTCTCCATTATGTGACAAAAGATAGCCTAAAATTGCTATACAGTCAAGGGTCACCTTGAACTTTTGATTATCTTGCTTATTCTTCCAAAGCGCTAAGACTACAGGTATATATCACCACTCAAAGCTATTATTTTTCCAATAATAAGATGACCTACTAGGAGTTAAGGGAGGAGGCATCCCAGGCACTCACATAAAAAGCAGAATGTTAGAGATGGAGATGTAAACACATAGGACAAAAACCCAGAGAAATCAAGAGTCTACATGGGGTCAGGGATGCAGCTCAGTGGTAGACTGTTTGCCTAGTAAACACAAAGGCCTTGGTTTGATCTCCAGCACTGCATAAAATGGATGTGGTAGTTCCCTATTCCTCCCATGGGTAGTAGAGGCAGGCAGATCCAAAGTTTAATGACTTTCAGGCCAGCCTGAGCTACATAAGACTCTGGTACTGAAACATAGACCATCTAAAAAAATAAAACAAACAAAAATCACAGGACCTGACCTTGTGCAAATAATGAATGGCTATATCTCTCTCACTCACACACTACTATAAAAGGAACACGATGCTGTAGTGATTGCTCAAATACATGCACAGACCTCTTATTAACCAGTATGTAAACTAGTCCTACTATCTTATTAACCTCTTATTAACCAGTATGTAAACTCGTCCTCCTATCTTTAGGTTTCAGTTTTAAGTTCTGTTTTAATTGTATTTTTCTGTGCATGGGTGTTTTGTCTGCATGATAATCTATGTACCATGTGGATACCGGGCGTCTCTGAAAGCAAAAAGAGGGTGTTAATCCTCTGAACCAGAGTTACAGAGGATTGAGGTCACCACATGGGTGCTGGGAATCAAACCCAGATCCTCCAGAAGAGCAGCTAGAGCTCTTAACCACTGAGCCCTTTAAGCTATTTTTATTACATTTTTCCTTATTTCTAAATTTCTTTCTTTGTTCGTTTATTTAGTGTGCATGTATGTATGGGCACATGGATGTAGACATGAGAGGACAGTTTGTGGGGGCCTGTTCTCTTCTTCTGCCAGTGGGTCTCTGAGATCAAACTTAGGTCTTCAGACTTCCTTCTCAGCCCCAAGGTTCAGTTTTAATTTTAACGGAAGTAGCAATTCTTTGTTACAAATGCACACAATTGGAACCTACATAGGACTAGACTAGGCCCTCTGCATGGGGAGACAGTTGTGTAGCTGGGTCTGTTTGAGGGCCTCCTGGCAGTGTGACAGGATCTATCCCTGGGGCATGAGCTGGCTTTCTAGAGCCCATTTCCTATGGTGGGACACCTTGCTCAGCCTTGATGCAGGGGGGGGGGCTTGGTCCTGCCTCAGCTGAATGTACCAGGCTCCCCATGGGAGGACTTACCCTTTTGGAGGAGTGTATGGGGGTAGGCTGGAGCAGGGAGGCTGGGGGCTGAGCGGGAAGAGGGATGGGAGAGGATCTGTGGTTGGTATGTAAAGTGAATGAAAAAATTTTTAAATAAAAAAAGCAAAGTGCAATTAGAAAAAAACCAAATACACACAACTGTATTACGGTCATAAGTAATTATATATATATAAATATAATTAATTTTTCAAGACAGGGTTTTTCTGTGTAGTCCTGGCCACCCTAGAACTTGCTCTGTAGATCAGGCTGGCTTCAAACTCAGAGATCCACCTGCCTCTGCCTCCCCAATGCAGGGATTAAAGGTGTGCACTACCACCACCGACTAATTTTATTTATTTTTTAAAAACATTTTTGTTGTATTTTGTTTCTTTATTTATTTGTGTGTGTGTGTGTATGTGGGTGGGTGGGTGCATACATGACTCTGTGTGCACATGGAGGTCTGAGGAAAATTTATGGGCGTCATTTCTCTCTTTCCACCATGTGGGCTCCAGGGATCTAAACTCAAGACTGTCAGGCTGGGCAGCGAGCACCTTTAACTGCTGAGCCATCTCTCTGGCCTTTAGTTATTTTTCAGTATCAGCTTTTTTATATATATATTTCTATGTTTGTATGTGTGCGCGCATGCACGTGTATATGCACACACACATGACAAGGCCACATGTGGAGGTCGGAGGACAACTTGCAGAAGTCAGTTCTCTTTCCACCACGTGGGCTCCAGGTAACTGAGGAATACCAGCTGTATCTTGGTAGCTGTGTCTCCTGGTATATAAAATGCCTCATGCAGTGAAACATCCTTGAAGCTATAGTCGGGTTGTTCTGCTACATCAGAGACTAAGGCGCCAAGGCATTCCATGTGCACTAAGGTAGAGTCTGCATCCTTAGAAGACCCCCACCTTGTAACATCACTTGGACTGTGATTATGTACCACTCACCCTCTGGGCTTTTCTAGAAGATCATAGGAAGAAATGCCCCAAGAGGAAGGTCTGATCCACCATGATTTGGGAGGGAAAGGGTCGCCTCACCCCACGAATAAACCACCCACTTTGTAAGTGTTCATGCAGCTTGCTGAAAATCCGTGAAAAAAGGCTGGACTGCTTGCCTTTGGGGCAGCCCACCTCAGCCTCTTTGGAGAGTTTGCTTTGCTTAGCTTTGCTAAACAAACTGGTTAAACTGTCTATGCCTCTAGACTGTCTTCTTTCCTTCAAGGAGACAAGGACCAAGAGCTACCCTCACCCCATTAACACTGGATGGGGTGGCACATGCCTGTACTTCTAGCACCTGGGAGACTAAATCAAGAGGATCACAAGTTCAAGGCCAGTCTGGGATACAAAGAAAGTTCAAGATCAGCCTAAACTACATAGAAAGATCCTGTTTCAAAATACAGACAAATTCTAACTTTAGAAACATATTTATTCATACATTTTTTCAGTATACAGCATCTCTTCTATTACTATTATCATCATCATTATTATATTTTTGAGACAAGGTCTCAGAGAACACACGCTGGTCTTAAATTTGTATGTAAGGATAACATCAAATTCCTGATTTCCCCTTGTCTCTACTTCCCAAGCATTGGATTAATAGGCATGAGGCACTATGCTCAGCTATTTCATGTATGTATGTATGTATATGTATGTATGTATGTATGTACATATGTATGTATGTACATATGTATGTTGGTGTTTTCTTGCTATGTAGTCAAGGCATGCTTTGAACTAGTGGTAATTCTCCTGCCTCAGCTTTCCTAAATGAACTAGCACATCTGGCAGTGTTTCTGACTCCTAAGTAAGAAGGAACGTACCTCACTTTCTTTTTCTGGATGTTTTTCAACCCACATTCTTGGGAGATAGGCATCACGCAAACCAATGTGGAGAGAAAACCCACTCTTGTCTAGGGAGCTGCCCTCCACAGTGCTGATCACAGCTTTACAGTCCGTACTCTGCAAAAGAGAACAGGCACACACACACAGTTCAGAAGGGAATGACAGCATCCTGTCTGTCTGTAATGGCCTGCCAAGCGGTAAGTATCTGCATTAGTTACATAGCTCTACTATGAATCAACACTGCAGTAATACATTCCAAAGTTACTAATGACCACTCTCAGATCGGCTGTCTGAAACTCTCAGGTGGAGTTACACAGTCCAATCTAGTTAAGTCTGAGACAATTCTATATCTAAAGATCATAGATCTGTACGTTTATCTGGATATAGCAGAAAGCATAGCATGTCATCAGAACCTGGAACAATAAAACATAAGATTCACGAGACACCTAGGGATCACACTTTGTAAAGTATGTATTTATAAATATGAAACAGGTTTTGAAGACAGAGATGATAAGTTTTAAAATAATGATGACAACACAGTACACTGTAAAATGGCCACAGGACTCCACTCCGGGACACTGACCATTTTGCAGTGACTTAGGAGCTCCCCCATTTAGAAGTGGTATCTATTGCTGTACTCTTGAATTCGCCGATGGGTTTGACCATGTGACTTACTTTGATCAATACTACTGGCAAAAACTGATGGCAAATATCAGGAGACTGAACAGTATGCCACAGTAAGCTGACCTTGACTTATTACTAACAGGTGTTGGAGAGTATTATTTTAAGATGTGTTACATTTGTTTGTGCTGTAGAACATTTCTTTTAATAATGCAAAAATATGTTGCATTCTTTTATGTTGCATTTGTTTAATTCTGTGAAGCTGTGTTACTTTGCCTGTCTAAAACACCTGACGGTCTAATAAAGAGCTGAATGGCCAATAGCAAGGCAGGAGAAAGAACAGGTGGGGCTGGCGGGCAGAGAGAATAAATAGGGGAATTCTGGGGAAAATAAAAGAAGGAACCAGAGAAGGAAGGGGACTCCAGGGGCCAGCCACCATGGCAAGCCACAAAGTAAGAGACAAAGAAAAATATACAGGAATAGAGAACAATAAAAGCCCAGAAGCAAAAGATAGATAGGATAATTTAAGAAAAGCTGGCTAGAAATAAGCCAAGCTAAGACCAGGCATTTACAATTAAGAATAAGCCTCTGTAAGCCGGGCAGTGGTAGCGCATGCCTTTGATCCCAGCACTCGGGAAGCAGAGCCAGGTGGATCTCTGTGAGTTCGACGCCAGCCTGGTCTACAGAGCGAGATCCAGGACAGGCACCAAAACTACACAGAGAAACACTGTCTCGAAAAACAAAAAACAAACAACAACAACAACAACAAAGCTAAGGTCTCATAATGAAAGAGAATCAATAAAAAACATGTGGGGTCACAAGCAGACTGGGAATAGCAACAAAGCTGTTAGTGCATATTAGGAGGGTGGATCATTGTGAAGTTGTGGTAGGTGATTCAGCCATACAATTGCTAACCCAGGTGAGACAGGCACCTGCCATGTGCCCATTAGCTCCGAGGAGCCAGGGAAGGAAGGTTCACAGCATGGACACACCAGTTACTGAGCAAACCTGGTAAATGAACACTGTACCAGCGCTCAGGCCCCAGGAACCTCTCAAACCAGGTAAACCAAGCAAGGTCATTTGTTCCTCATCCCCCCCAACCCCAAAGGGAAATCGGAGATTTATTACCAAAGAGAATTCAGCCATAGAATCTAGACTAGGAAGCTTTGGGCAAATAAAGCCTAGAGTACAGGGCTGCTTCATGGAGGGGAGAGAAAGGTTATGTCAGCATTTTGAACACCAGCCCCTTATTCATCCTTTACTGCTCATCTGCAAACATCCTGATTTTAACTGGCCATAGTCTTGATCTTAGTCTGAGTGATGACTACAAAGAATTACCCATACTTCTGGCATTTGGGGGAAAGACACAAAGTGGAATGTGGAGACAATAAACAAAAAGCCAGCGTGGGGGGGACAAACTCAAAGAGGGAGATACACAGGAAACAAGAAAAAATATTAAACATAGTTTCAAGCCAGGCACATAACCTTTTTTTTTTTCTTTCCTGAGACAGGGTTTCTCTGCATAACCCTGGCTGTCCTGGAACTCACTCAGTAGACTAAGATCCGCCTGCCTCTGCCTTGAGTGCTGGGATGAAAGGTGTGCACCACCACTGCCTGGGCCAAGGGGGCACACAATTCTGATTCCAGCATTTGGGCAACTGAGGCAGGAGGCTCAGGAGTTCAAGATTAGCGTCTGGTATCAAGGTTATATCCCCAGCCTGGGGGTACTTTTTAAAGTAAATATTATATAGCGGTTAAAAAACACAATGTCAGAGCTGGAAAGATGGCTCAGTGGTTAAGATCATTTACCGCTTTTGCAGAGGGCTCGGGTTTGATTTCCAGCACCTACATGGAGGCTCATAACTATCTGAATTGCCAGCTCCAGGGAATCCAATGCTGTCTTCTGGCCAGAGTGGGCACCAGCACTCAGGTGGCACACATATATGCATACAGGCAGATACTCATTATAGAAAATAAAAATAAACAAATCTTTTTTTTTGTTTTTTTTGAGACAGGGTTTCTCTGTGTAGCCTTGGCTGTCCTAGAACTAACTCTGTAGACCAGGCTGGCCTCGAACTCACAGAGATCTGCCTGCCTCTGCCTCCCAAGTGCTGGGATTAAAGATGTGCACCACCACTGCCTGGCAACAAATCTTTATATAAAAATAAAATGCCATTGTGGTATTGGCTCAATGACAAACATACATACTCCTATCAAAACAGGATGTCAAAAGGCAACTTGCCCCCCACCCCCAATAACAAGGATCAAAGCCAGAGCTTCATACGTGCTGGGCAAACACATCACAACCGAGCTACCTCCCATCCTTACGTGAAGCAGGTGAATCAAGACAAAACAGTGAGAATCATTATTTACAGTCCCAAGGCAACGGCAGAGAAGCAGCTCAAACATCCAAAGTGACAGCTGGACTCCAACCTGGGGAGCAGCAAGGGACACTGGCGGCCGCTGTGGAAGCCGATGTCGAGTTAGCTCCCTTTTATACCACGTACATATATTCTTGATACGATAAAATGAGTGGGAAACGAAGTTCTCCAGAAGTCAAAGGAGGAGTCACTGACCTTTTGTCTCAGTTCGTGTGTGTCACTGGAGATGAAGTCAATGTGGTAGGGCATCTCAATGGACATAGCCAGGGAGAAGCTACCGAAAATGAAGAGGTCATATTAGTACAAGATCTTAAATTCCCACTTGCAGTTGTTTCAAATCATTTTTCTTCTTTCTGCAGCACTGAGAATCAAACCATGCATATGAGCTCACAGTCTAGCACTGAACCAACCTCCCAGCCTCTCCAGCCATTGTAAATGAAAATCAAAGCTATACAGCCCATGCCCATTGCATGAGGTAATCCACGGGATTCATATTGTAGTACTAACCTTTGCTTTGTCCCTATTTCCTTTATACAGACCTTCTCCACTGTATCCTGTTAGAAGAAAAGCATATGTGAATAATAGAATTTCCAGTAAGCTTTTAGGGTACTGCGGTGATCAGCCAGGCACAGCAGACAGCATCGCAAGAGAGTCTCAGTTCCACGCCGTGACACACGGCATTGGGTCAGGAGATGACATTAACTTCTAACATTCAGCTGTGTCAGGAACACCTCTGACCATTACCACAAAGATTTTTTTTTCTTTTTTTGAGGATTTATTTTTTTATTTTATGTGTATAGGTGTTTTGCCTGCATATGCGTGCGGAGTAAGGTGCATGAGTGCAGTGCCTGAGAAAGCCAGAAGAGGGCGCTGAATCCTCTGGTTACAGACAAGTCTTAGCTGTCACAAGGGTGCTGGGATTTGAACCCAGGTCTTCTGCAATAGCAGCAAGTGCTCTTAAACCACTGAGCCATCTCTCCTGAACCTGCCCACCACCACTATATACATATATATGGGCTTTTTGAGACAGAGTCTCACTGTGGTGCTCTGGCTGTCCTAGAACTCACTCTGTAGCCCAGGCTGGCTTTGAACTCACAGAAATCTGCCCACCTCTGCCTCCCAAGTGCTGGGATTAAAGGCGTGCTATACCTGGCTTCCATCAAATCTCATCTTACCCACACCCACCTGAAGGTTCTCATTCAAAGCCTTGTCCTGTTGCCAGGGCGCCACAGTGGCAGGCAGGAAGAAGATGGCCACAGGGCTTTGGATGCTGAGTTCCGTGATGTAGGTGATTTTGATGAGAACCTTCGCCCGAGGGGGTAAGTTTCCAACACTAACAGTGAAAACATCCTGAAATACAAACAGCGACTGAGAAGCATACCCACTCTCTGCTGGTTAATTCCTTGTATCACTAGAGTGACTCAGAGACAACCAGCCAAGTTCTTCCTCAGAAAGTGGCGATATACCATTGCGAGTGTCATGGGGAACTCTGGGGCAATTCACTAGTGATGGGGACGGGGAGAGGGTGGCCACTGGGAAAGTGCTCAAGGGACTCCACACTGCAGGCACACACTTTGCACTTGGCCACCTGGGTGTCTCCATCCAACCCCTCCCTTGAGGGACCTGTGGCTTCTTTGACCTTGGTGCCAATTGGCACCAGCTCCCGAGTGGGTGCGGACAGCAGCATTCAGCTCGCCCTAAGCTTACGCTCACTAAAGGGTAAGCTTATGATCGCACTTTTTAAAGTACTTAACAGTCTTTGAATGAACTGCTGATAATTATTGTAGAAGCCGGCAACCCAATGAGCAGCAAAGATGGAAGAATAAGAAGTATCTTTCATTCCTTTCCCGTTTTCTTTTTTGCTCTCTTCTCTTTCTTCTCTTTTTTCCAGACAGTCCATAGACTGTAAGCTTGCCTCAAACTCACTACACAGCCAAGGATGACCTTGAACTTCCGAGGCCCCGCCTTACTTCTTTCACGCTAAGATTCACAGCTGTGTTGCACCATGCCTGGTTTGTCTGGCGCTGCAGGGAAGAACCCAGGGCTTCATGCAAACACTCTACCACCCGAGCTACCGACACAGGAGAAACCGAGAATAATAAAGTGAATTATGAAGCATCTACTAAGACTGTTCAGGAACTATGAGGTATCACAAAGTCGAATTTAACTAAAGGAGCGCCCCCAGCTCTCTCACTATCAGGAAGGGCATAACTCTGCCAGGCAAACAGGAAACAGGACAACCCTGGTTGACAGCTGTCTGGGAGAAGCAATCCTGGTCTGTCTTGGGATGACTATGGCAGTATTTTACGTTGTAAATCTCCCCTTTGACCAAACAGCCAAACCTTGGAATTTCTGTCTCTGTGAAACATGCTTAATGACTCAAAGTGTAACGTGGGGCTGTGAAACTACATAAGCTGATGTGGGTTCTGTTCAGGGATGGTTCTCTGTTGTGCATTAGCCAGACCGGTCACACACTCCTTACTCACCTCTAAGTGCTGGAGTGATTTCTCACTGGGAAGGCATGTCAATTCTGTAACAGTATATGCCCAGTTCTAGATATACCTTTTCTCCTGATATCTAAGGAACTCATCTCAACATCTCTAAGTACACTTGCCATTCTATCTCTATGATAAAAATTTAACACATTTAGATTAGAAGAGTAGAAGATTAATGATTAATGTAGGATTAAGTGTTAGTACTATTTTGTTTGTTTTTAAACTTATTGAGTCTGTGTGTGCACGATGTATGTATGTATGGCATTAAGTGTGTGAGTATGGATGGGCATGAACTGTGTGTGAATGTGGGCATGTGTGTGCTATGGTGTGGATAGATGAGCACTGCCTTCCATATATGCATGTGGAGGTCAGACGACAGTTGACAGAGGAAATCCATTTTCTTGTGCTACCTTTACGAGGGTTCTGGGGATCCGACTCAGGGTGTCAAGCTTGCACAGCGGACACTTCTACCTGCTACTTCACCAGCCCTAAATTACTGCTTTTGACATTAAGTACATCCACCTGTAGGGAAGAGCTAAAACAACGCAGGGGAATTATTAAAGAATTCACAGTGCCGATCCTTAAAGTGTATGAATGGGGGCCAGAAATGGGTTGGTGTGATGGTAAAGGCACTAGCCAGCCACCCAAGCTGACGACCTGAGTTCAGTTTCCTGGACCTACGTGGTAGAAAGAGAGAACTAACTCCAGAAAACTGTCCTCCAACTTCTGCATGCTGAGTTGTGAATGTGTGTGCGCATGCACAATGAATAAATAAATGTAAAAAAAAAATTAAAGCAACTTATCCCTTAGATCTGCATTAACCTTCAGTGTGTTCTTTCCTCAACCAAACATGAAATTTCTAAAAGCTCTTACAGGAATGCCTTCTGGGTTATAACTTGGTGAAAACTGGACATGTTGATAGGTGAGTTTAGTTCTGGGAAAAACATAAATATATTGTATTTTACCGTTGGGATGAAAATTATGTACTCCAAATGTGTGCCATCAGTTCTGGCAAGCCAGTGCCCACTGGCAGTACCAGCTCTTCCTGATTCTACAGCACCGAGCTCATCTCCGCCTTTGTTTAGACAACTCACAGGGCTGGCTTGGCCTCCTTTACTTCTAAGGGATTTTTGTTAGTGCGTTTCAGACAAGGTCTTGCTAGGTAGCTCTGCACAGCCTAGAGCTCACTATGTAGAACAGGTGGGCCTGGAACTTGTAGCAATTCTCCTGCCTCTAGCTCTCAAGTGCTGAGAATATGGTGTGTGGTACCATGTGTGGCATTTACAAGAGATCTTATAAGCCCGGAGTACTGTAAACAATCTTGGTTCCGATTATGGATTCCTATTTCAAATAATTTCCCATAATATACTGGCTGCTGGATGAATAATGAGCTGTACCGGAGTGTCCTGGTCCATCAAGTAAGCACCGTGGCCTTGGCTGATAGCTTCTCTGTATTCCTGCTGGGCTTCTTCCTTCTCCTTTATCTGGAAAAGACAATTATGATGATGATTTTGTTTGTTTTGATTTTTTTCAGACAAAGTCTCACTTTGTATTAGACTAGCCTGTAATTTACCAAGTACCCCAGACTGTCCTTCAACTTGCAACAATCGCCAGGTGGTGGTGGTACATGCCTTTAATCCCAGGCAGAGCTAGGCAGATCTCTGTGAGTTCAAGGCCAGCCTGGTCTACAGAGTGAGATCCAGGACAGGTACCAAAACAATAGAGAAACCCTGTGTCGGAAAAAAAAAAAAAAAAGGAACTTGCAACTCGGAAAAAAAAAAAAAAAGGAACTTGCAACAATCCTCTTGCCTCTGCTGAGGTCACAGGTGTGAGGTGCCATGCCCAACTTTGGGAAAGACTTTTGAATGTTTATTGTAGGATGTGGTGATATTTTATTTGTGCTGAAATGTGGTATTTTATTTGTATGTTAAAAAATAAAGTTTGCCTGGAGATCAGAGGTCATAGCCATAAACAGAAGTCAGGCGGGGTGGTAGCCCATGCCCTTAATCCGATCACATGGCAGGCAGAGTCTCTGTGTGTTCAAGGACACAGCCAAGTGTGGTAACACACGCCTTTAATCCCAGTACCAACCATAGAGACCTGGAGGTCTGTATAGACAGGCAGTGATGAGGAAGTGATGTGGCTGGGCTTAGAGCCAATGAGAAGGCAGAACAGGAAGGCAATAAAGGTGCAGGTTAGACAGGAAGAGGTTCTCTTGGGAAGCTACAGCGATGTGGTGAGCTAAGGTTAGTTGACGGTTATTGCTCTGATCTCTACGACTTGTACTTCTGTGTTTGGCTCTGTGTTTCTTATTTAATAAGACTGTTTAGAAATTCGTCTACAATAGGAAGAGCGGCTTCAGACTTTAATATGGAAAATGACACCAATGTTTTTTGAAGCCTAGACAAAACTAGGAAACCAAGTCTCGGATGAATGGAAACTTACATAAACGGATCGCCAAAAGTGAACTGCCTAATAAGAGTCTGGGCTAGACTAAAAAAAAAAAAAAAAAGTCCAACTAAAGTGAATCCTCTCTAAGTTAGGACCAAATTCCAGTCAGTAGTTGAAAATTAAAGTCTGGCACTTTGCTCAGACACAACGAAAGGTGTATCTACTTACCTTTTTAGTGTAGTGATTTTCTACTGTACCTGCTTTACACTGTGTTATCCAGGCTGCCTGTAACTCAGTGTGTTAGCAAGACTGTGACTGTGTCCTCCTGTCTGTCACTGTGTCCTCCTGTCTGTCACTGTGTCCTCCTCAGTCTGTCTGTGTGTCCTCCTGTCTGTCACTGTGTCCTCCTGTCTGTCTGTGTGTCCTCCTGTCTGTCACTGTGTCCTCCTGTCTGTCACTGTGTCCTCCTGTCTGTCTGTGTGTCCTCCTGTCTGTCACTCTGTCCTCTTCTGTCTGTCACTGTGTCCTCCTGTCTGTCACTGTGTCCTCCTGTCTGTCACTGTGTCCTCCTCAGTCTGTCTGTGTGTCCTCCTGTCTGTCACTGTGTCCTCCTGTCTGTCTGTGTGTCCTCCTGTCTGTCACTCTGTCCTCTTCTGTCTGTCACTGTGTCCTCTTCTGTCTGTCACTGTGTCCTCCTGTCTGTCTGTGTGTCCTCCTGTCTGTCACTGTGTCCTCCTCAGTCTGTCTGTGTGTCCTCCTGTCTGTCACTGTGTCCTCCTGTCTGTCTGTGTGTCCTCCTGTCTGTCACTCTGTCCTCTTCTGTCTGTCACTGTGTCCTCCTGTCTGTCACTGTGTCCTCCTGTCTGTCACTGTGTCCTCCTGTCTGTCACTGTGTCCTCCTCTGTCAGTCACTGTGTCCTCCTGTCTGTCACTGTGTCCTCATGTCAGTCACTGTGTCCTCCTGTCTGTCACTGTGTCCTCCTGTCTGTCACTGTGTCCTCCTGTCTGTCACTGTGTCCTCCTCTGTCTGTCACTGTGTCCTCCTGTCAGTCACTGTGTCCTCCTGTCAGTCACTGTGTCCTCCTGTCTGTCACTGTGTCCTCCTCTGTCACTGTGTCTTCCTCTGTCTGTCTCTGTCTGTGTGTCCTCCTCTGTCTGTCTGTGTGTTCTCCTGTCTGTCACTGTGTCCTCCTCTGTCACTGTGTCCTCCTCTGTCTGTCTGTGTGTCCTCCTCTGCCACTCTGTCCTTTGTCACTGTGTCCTCCTCAGTCTCTCTGACTTTGGACACTGAAGTAATTCCCTCTGTGGCTCGCAGGTGACTCGGTGGAAGAGGCCTGTGTCACAAGCAGAATGATGGGAATTCAGTCCCTGGGACCCACATGGAGAAGAAATGGCCAGGCAGGGTGACACATGCCTTTAATCGACCTCTGCAAGTTGTCCTCTGACCTCCACACAGGCTGTGGCATGTGTGCATGCGTGCATTGTGCACACAGACAAATAAAAACACAAGAATTCTTTTTAAAAAAAAGAAAGACAAAAAGGAATTAACTTTCTTTGTTTAAATTACCTAAACAAAGACTTTGTAAACAGAGAATGGCGTTGGTTAGGGAGGGACAGTGGAGGCTGCCTGTATGAGGCCATTCTTCAAAGAGTGTTTTGGTTTTAATTTCCCAAGCTTACAGCCATGGGTACTCAGATGATGGAGATTTGGGAACATGGGGACCTGCGCTTTCTCTTCTTACCTCCCCTACTATGTGCTTCCCGTTGATGAATGCCTCGAAGCCACACACGGCTGCCTTGTCATCCAAAGGAAAGATGTATTTGGCCTCAATAGGCACGTGACTTTGATTTGTGTATGTCTGAAAAACAATGACCTGAAAGAGGAAGGGGAAAAAATTCTGCATAATTGATAAAATCACATGGAACATTTGCAAGAACAGCTAGTGAAAATAATTATACACACTTATTTTCTAAAATTTTTTGTTTTGTTTTGGTTTTTTCAGATAGGGTCACATGCGGCCCAGACTGGTCATGAACTTGAACCTGAAGTTGACTTTGAACTCAGGACCCTCCTGCCTTCCTTCACTTCCCAAGTGCTAGGATTACAGGTGTGGATCACTGACCACCATTTAAATCCCTTAAATTTTCAACATGCCCTCCAAATTCACAAGCCTGGTTTCTGGGGTTTCCTACCACCACAAGGGACTGTTCATGCCACATGACCCAGGGCACCAGCTGCATATTTAGGTAGTTATATACACCTGAGCAGAGTAGAAGTCAAAAAGCCCCTCTCATGATAAGAATTTTGCTACCTCCCAAGTGTCATGAGGCTGGGGACATTCCTGGCCCTATGATGGGACCATGCCCAATAAGTCCATAAGAAGCTAAAACTGTAAGTGGAAAATGTGTTTAATGAGTAGATTTTAGAATAATATACAATTGGTCTTCTGTGTCTGCAGATGCCAATTCCATGATGGAATCAACCAACTATAGATAGAAAATTAGGAAAAAAAAAACATGTGTTTGTATTAAATACTTAATTTAAAAAAATTTCCCTTCCATTATTCCTTAAACAAGTGACATATGTATTTCAATGTATATTTCATTTAGTTCATATAATTGCAACCAAATTCTCATTTATGACTTATATTCATTTAATTACCTGTCATAAAACCACAAAAAGCATACCTGGGCTACAAAGTCTATTATTCTTCCTTTGATGTGAACACTTTCAAGAGGGACAGAATTGGCAGATGCGTCCTGAAGGCCAGCTTTGACGTTGATGAAGGGCTTGATGTCTGGTAACTGGAAATCTGCAACTCACAAACACGTCAGCTTTAAAACGGCCACGTCTCTGTTGGTATCACCTTCATCCCTATTACCTACTCCATTGTTTAGACTTTATAGTTAGGAAAAGATGGAAAAATAGTATTATACTCACAGTATTCTGTGAGTTTTTTTTGTTTAAGGTGAGATCTCCCTATGGAGCTAGCCTCGTTTGCTCTCCAACAGGAGAGCTGCCTGCCTCGAACTCACAGAGATCCGCCTGGCTCTGCCTCCCGAGTGCTGGGATTAAAGGCGTGCGCCACCACCACCCAGCTAATCTGCCAAACTTTTAAGAACATTTTCATCTTTGTGTATGGGTGTTTTGCCTGTATCTGTGTCTGTACACTGTGTGTGTTCCTGGCCTGTGGAGGCCAGAGAGAGCATTGTATCCTCTAGAACTGGAGTTACAGACAGTTGTGAGCTGCCATGTGGGTGCTGGGAACAGAACTGGGTCCTCTGGAAGAATAGCTAGTGCTCTTAACCCCTGAACCATCTCTCCAGCTCCCGATTGACCAAATTTAAACCGAGATTAGATATATAATTTGAGATCTATAAGAAGTAAAGAATGATGCAGCAATTAAATATTTCATAACTTAAAAAGCTCAGGCCCAGATGTATCCCCTGCTGAGTTTACCAGACCTTCAAAGAAAAACAAATAGCCATACTTCTCAAACTACTCTATAAAACAGGAAAGGGAAAACACTTCCAAACCCTTATGGACTGTGTATCCTGGTACCAGAGCCACACAACGACAGCAAAGAAAACTGTATCCCAATCTCCCCAATGGACACAGCCACAAAAAATTCCTAACAAAATATTTGCAGGGATGATTCAACCTATGTAAATCAACAAGCATAATCACATCAATGGCCTCAAGAACAGAAAGCACACTGTCATCTGGACAGATACAGAAAAGTCATTCAACAGCACCCAACCCCTTTTTATGATAAAAGTCCATAGGAAACTCAGAATAGAAGGAGCATATCACAACATAATAAATAATACACCAAGTCTATAGTGCCATTATATTAACTAGGCAAAAGCTCAAAGCATTTCCACTCAAGTCAAGAACGAGACAGGAAGTGTCCACTCTCTTCGCTCTTACTCGGTACAGTGCTGGGAGTCACACCCAGAGCATCAGATGGGAGACACAATGAAAGGGATGCAATGGGAAAGAGAAGAGCCAGCGTACCCTTACTGCAGACACTACGGTTCTCTATAAAAACCCCAAATCCCCACCAGAAAATCCTTAGAACTGATAAAACATGCTGAACAAAGAGGCAGGATTAAAAATTAAAATAGAAAAATCTGCAGCTTTTGTATATGCCAATAACAAACAGCATGTTGAGAAAGAAATTGGGGGAAACAATCCCATTTCTAACAGCTTCAAAACCCACTGGAATAAACCTAAGGAAGTGAAAGACCACTAACAAAAACTTTAAAACACTTAGAGGGGGCTGCAGAGAGGGCTCAGTAATTAAGAGCACTTCCTGCTCTTCTGAAGAGTCCCAGCACTCACATGGGGGCTCAAAACAACTGCTTTTAACTCCAGCTCCGGGGATTCTATGTCCTCTTCTGGCCTCTGCGGGCACCTATACACATTAGCAGGGACCTTGAACATGAAGGAAATTCTAATCCTCCTGTCTCTCCGCCTGTGAAGTAGCCCACAAAAGCTTCCTAGTGAGATCTGAGCTTGCTTTACATAGCAGGGCTGCATTAGGGGATGTCTGGACCACATGCATGGTCACCAGGTGTCTGGAATGGTCTGCACTTGGCTGTGCTGGGGGGAGGTCTTTTGCTCCACCCCTTGACATTCCTTTAAAAGTACTTTAGGGGGTTGCGGATTTAGCTCAGTGGTAGAGCGCTTGCTAGGCAAGGCCCTGGGTTTGGTCCTCAGCTCCGACAAAAACAAAAACAAAAAACCAAAACAAATAAAAGTCCTTTAGTAGAGACAGAAGGGGCTGGTGGGTTTTGACCCAGGCCCTCCCGAGCTATCCTGTGTTTCTGTCAGTCTGTCTCCTCTATATTTCTACCTACAAATTCCTCATTTCTCCCTACTCAAGAATGCTCTGGGGGAAAAAGAGGGAGCTGGTCTCCCTCACGCCTGCTGAGATTACATGTAATCTCAAACATTAGTTTTTCTATTTCTGCCTTTAAAAACTTGAGGCTTTGAAGCATCATCTTGAAGTCTAGAATTGTATATTACTTGAAAGACTTACATTTAAACACACACATAGATACAGAGGTCTTGAGACGGTCTCAGTAAGCATAGCGAAATTCAAACTTAGCTATGTGTATTCCCTGATTAGCATTTGAATTGATCAGTCACTATCATTCATTGTGCCAAAATGGCTTTTGGAGCAAAATGAAACTAGAGTTTTCAGTCCAAGGAAGTCTAAATCAAACTACTATAGCATACTGAATAATTATGGGCTGGTGCACATCTTGAATCCCAGAATTTGGGAGGCAGAGACTGAAGGATCTCTACGAGTTCCAGGCTAACCTGGTTTATTTAATGAGTTCCAGGTCAGCCAGGGATACATAGTGAGACCCTGTCTCAAAGCAAACAAATAAAAAATTAATATCCTTTATTAACTGATATAAAAATACAGATATGGCTATTTATCTATAAATAGGCAATGTCTTGTTAGACAGTTCGTTTAATGACTCCTCGTGAAAAATTTAGCAGTATCTCCTTCAACAGATCTGAATGCATACATTTCCAATTAAAAAAATGATTTGGATACTGTGGTGGTTTGAAAGAAAATGACCCCCAAAGGATTGGCACTATTAGGAGGTGTGGCTTTGTTGGATTAGATGTGACCTTGTTGGAGGAAGTGTGTCACTTTGGGGGTGGGCTTTGAGGTCTTCTATGCTCAAGCTACACTCAGTATGGCACACAGTTCACTTCCTGTTGCCTGCAGATCAAGATGTAGAACTCTCAGTTGCTTCTCCAGCACTGTGCCTGCCTGCCTGCATGCTGCCATGTTTCCCACCATGATGATAATGGACCAAACCTCTGAAACTGTAAGCCAGCCCCCTATTAAATGTTTTCCTTTATAAGACACCAATGTCATGGTGTCTCTTCACAGCAATAGAAACCCCAACTAAGAAGGTATAGAGACCTGTTATCCAAACTCTTCATGAGACTGAGGGAAGAGAAATGAAAAATTCAAAGCCTGCGTAGACTACAGAGTGAGTTCAAGGGCAGCCTAGGCAACTTTAAAAACCTTGTGTCAAAAATAAATAAAAATAAAAAAGGCTGGGATGTAACTCAGTAACAGAGCACTTACTTGGCTAGCATGTATAAGGCTCTTTGCTCAATCCTTACCACAGGAAAGAAATAAAGGAAAAAAGGACAAATGAAAAAGCCCTGGGATGTGGGGCTCAGTGGTGGAGTGCTTGTTCAGCATGTCCAAGCATCTGGATCAGTCCCTAGCATCACAACAGACACACACACTAACAAACCCAAACAAACTTGGTTGTCATAGAAGTGCTAGCTTTGGGGGAGGGGTATTGTTGGGGGTGGGGAGGTGGGGGTCTTGCTGTGTAGCCGTGGCAAGCCTCAGATTTGTAGCAAGCATCCTCCCTAAGCTCCCAGGTGCTGGGATTATAAGCATGTACCATCATGGCTGGCTTCTAACATGTTTTCACTGTTTTATTAGGTGATGTTATAGGGGCCATGGTCTTCCAGGAAACTTGTGTATTCTGCTGTTTGATCTAAGTGTGCATTACAATTTGTGGGCCTCTTTCTCTTTTCTCATTCATCCTTATTGCAACATTTAACAAGAACATGTGCTTATGCCCATCTGAGAGGTCAAGTGTCCAAGAAAATGCCACTTGCTAAGTGGGAGTCACAGTCAACACAAGCTTCCTGACTCTCTAGCCACATCTGCTAATTCTACCCACCTTTACTATAGTACTCTGGCCTCATTATATGGATGCCATGGCTTGAATATTGTAGCACGAATCTTAAAGGGTCTTATTAATAAAAACAAACTCGGAGCCAGGTATTGGGGTGAATGCTGGAAGATCAGAGAAGCAGAACAAGCCACAGCTTCCTCAGCCTTGCCAATTCCTCAGCTGATCCTGTTTCCTCAGACTGGAAGCCTCTGAGTCCTCATCCAGAATGAATCTCAGCTGAACTGCTGCTAAAAGCCTAAAAGCTTAACCAGCTTTAGTTCCTGGTCCTCACGCCTTATATACCTTTCTGCTTCCTGCCATCACTTCCTGGGATTAAAGGCTCTTGTTACCACGCCTGGCTTTTTCCAGTGGTGGCCTTGAACTCACAGAGAACCAGACAGATCTCTGCCTCTGGAATGCTAGGATTAAAGGCGTGTGTGCCACCATTTTCTGGCCTCTATATCTAGTGGCTGTTCTGTTCTCTGACCCCAGATAAGTTTATTAGGGTGCACAATACTTTGGGGAACACAATATCACCACAAGATATAGTTCATCTCCTAAAGGTTCATGTGTTAGAAGCTTAGTCACCAGGGTGTGATGTTTGGGGGTGGACGGAACCTCTACAAAGTAGGACCTAGTGGGAGTTGGCTGCTGGTCTCATTCCTACTCTGGCTGATTGTCTCATGAGGTGATCTCTCCCTCTTGCCCATGTTTCTGTTGTGAGAACATCTGCCTTGATGTCCACATCAGAGCCAAGCTGATGGCAGCACCAGGCCCCTGAACCTCTAAAACTGTAAGCCAGAGAAGCCCTTCCTGTTTTGGTTTGTTTTGAGACAGAGGCTTGCTATGTATGTAGTCTAAGAGGGCCTGGAACTCAAGCCCCTCCTGCCTACTGAGTCCAATCCCCAGGGCCTACAGGTGAAAAGAGGAAAATCCTTGCATGTTGTTCTCTGACCTCTACACCTGCATCCACACAGACACACACAAACACATACAACACACACATAAGCAAATATTACAAACATTTTTTCTTTATAACACATCTAGTATTTTGCTATAGCAACAAAAAAACAGAGACCTCTAAAATGAATTGCATTATTAGGCCATCCCCAAGAACAAGGCAACTTAGGCATGCCAGTGACAAGGCAGGGGTTTGAGATCACGTGATCTTTCTTAAGCATCTTGGTTTTTATATGTTCAAGAAAAAAGATACAATGAAAAAAGGAGGTCATAGATGCTGCTTACCAAAAATGAATATAACTGTTTTTGAAAAAAAAAAAATCCATTTTTTTTTTTTTTTTTTTTGGTTTTTCGAGACAGGGTTTCTCTGTGTAGCTTTGCACCTTTCCTGGAACTCACTTGGTAGCTCAGGCTGGCCTTGAACTCACAGAGATCCACCTGGCTCTGCCTCCCGAGTGCTGGGATTAAAGGTGCGCCATCACCACCCCGAAAAAAAATCCATTTTATATTATCTCATAAAAGAGAGCTCAAGGAACTTGTCTTACCTTCAACCTTTGAAACATTTGAAGGCTCAGCTCTGGGTTCCTCTAATTCAGTATTTTCATGAGGATGGAAGTCCTTTACTTGATCTCCAGGAATGCAAAATTTAACAATGTATTTCATTTTAACTTGATTAGTTTTATAAACAACAAATTCGTCATCCTAGAGCAAATGGGAATCGATAAGAGGTAAATAAGCACAAAGAGCAGCCAGATGTTTCCAGAGACGCAGAAACTCCTATTTGTTAATTTAGCAAAGACTGGATTTGGGTGGTGGATGGCTGGGCATGACTTACATGGAAACATATTTGATAAAAATAGAAGCAACCCTCTGGGGCTGGTCTTTGCACATTTGGGGCCCATTTTGTCTGTTTTGGCTTTTTGTTTGTTTGTTTGCCCGACTGATTTGTTTTTAAGCGCTAGGCAAGGGCTTGGCTACTGACCCATTACCCTGGGTCTGCGTGTCTCCTGAAATAAAATACCTCAAAGTCTGTAGGGAGAGACGCCATTTCCGAAACTCCGTGCACACTGTCATAGCCCGGTGGTGCCTCAGTTAAAGAAAAGTCCTTCTTGAATACGTCCATACACTTCCCCAGGGCAACGTCACAGATAACCATGAGTCTGGAACCATCCATCTCTCCTGCGTGTGAGTACTTAATGCTTGTACTGCGTGAAGAAGGAAATAAAGCACAGGTTATAACCGCGACGGCCAGCCTCACTTCATTGTACAAGAAACACAGGTTATAACCGCGACGGCCAGCCTCACTTCATTGTACAAGAAACACGGGTTGGCCAGCTGAAATCCAAAACTGTGAATGAAAATCTGAAATGACTTTGAAATTGAAAACTCTGAGCCCTGGTGTGACACCACAGTTGGAACATTCTACCCCTAACCTCGTGATGGTTGCAATCCGAGGGATGGCACACCAAACATGTTGTATAAAATCACCAGCAGGTAGCCAGGCGGCGGTGGTGGTGCATGCCTTTAATCCCAGCACTCGGGAGGCAGAGGCAGGCGGATCTCTGTGAGTTCGAGGCCAGCCTGGTCTCCAAAGCGAGTTCCAGGAAAGGAGCAAAGCTACACAGAGAAACCCTGTCTCGAAAAACCAAAAAAAACCCAAAAAACAAAAAACAAAAAAAACCCCAAACAAACAAAAAACAACAACAACAAAAATCACCAGCAGGCTACATTTATCAGGTGTAGAAACATAAATGAATTTCACATTTGGATTTGGGTGTTCCCAAAGATATCTCATCATGCATATACAAATAATCTCAAATCTGAAACAAACATCTAATTCCACAGACAAGGGATACTCAAGCCTGAATTGTCGAAAGACTTTCTAGGGGGAACCTTCCAAAGTGTACCACCATTGCAGCATCTCCAAAGACACAAGTTAGACCGTCACTGTGAAAAGTTGGGCAGGTGCACACCTACAGCCCAACACTCGGGAGATGTAGGCAGGAGGATCAGGAGTTACAGCCAGCCTAGGTTACATCGGAAAACCCTGTTGAAGAAGAGAAGAAGAGGAGAGAAGACAAAGAGGAGGAAGAGGAGTGGTTCATTATGTACTTGTTTAAGAACTTTAGTGTGGGACACATCTGTAATTCTAGTTCTTAGAAAGTTGAGGCAGGAGGATCACTCCAAGTTCCAGGCTAGCCTAGTATACATCGTGAGTTCCCAGACAGCCTGCGCTAGACCCCCATGAGACCCTCTCTCAAAAGAATAAAACAAACAAAATCTTGGGTTGAAGTATGATAGTGTCCTTCTTTACGGCAGTTAAAGCTCTTTGTTCTCAGGGACTCAATCTGTGTCAGCTCCTAAAAATATCTATACTGTGCTGCGAGGAATGGCAGAGGAATGAAGAAAAAGAAAAATCTTTTTTTGAATGAAAATAGCTAGTTTACTTTACAACCCCCCAGCCCCCCCTTTTTTTGGTTTTTTGAGACAGGGTTTCTCTGTGTAGCCCTGGCTGTCCTGGAACTCACTCTGTAGACTAGGCTGGCCTCAAACTCACAGAGAGCTCCCTGACTCTGCCTCCCAAGTTCTGGGATGAAAGGTGTGTGCCACCACTGCCCGGCCACAATCCCATTTTAAAGAACAGATCAGAAATGTGTGAGACAGCGGTAAGTCAAAGCCACAGCCAGTTTGTTTTTTTTTTTTTTCCTTTCTTTTTTTAAAATTTTTCTCTCATACATTCCATCCTGACTGCAATTTTCCCTTCCTTCACTCCTCCCAGTCCCCCAAACACCTCCCCTTTCCTCCAGATCCACTTCTCCTCCACTTCCCTTCAGAAAAGAGCAGGCCTCTAGGGAATATCAACCTAACACAGCATAACAAGTTGCAATAAGACTAGGCACAGACCCTCATATCAAGGCTGGGTGAGGCTACCCAGTAGGAGGAAAAGGGTCCCAAGAGCAGGCAAGAGTCAGAGACATTCCTAACCTCACTGTTAGGAGTCACACACACACACACACACACACACACACACACACATACACACAGGACCCAACAAGCTACACAACCACAACATATATGCAGAAGATCTAGTATGTCACCAGACATGCTGATTGTCTCTTCAGTCTCTGTAAAACCTTGTGAGACCTGCTTAGTTGATTCAGTGGGCCGTGTTCTCATAATGTCCTCGACCCCTCTGGCTCCTACAATCCTTCCTCCCTCTCAAAGAAAAACCATTTTGTTAGTTAAGAATGCTGTATTGAAGAAAAGAAAAGAAAAGAAAAGAAAAGAAGAGAAAAGAAAGCTGTGTTGAACTTGCTGCACTAAAGCTCACGAAGATCGTTAAATATTAAGCAAGTAAGCGCTGGCCAAAGGAAAGAAAGGCATCCTATTCTCATAACCTCTGAGTCGACGTGGAGAGTGACATTTCCTTGTGACAACCAGATCAGAGATTGGGACTCAGCAGCTTCTCTCTCTCTCTCTCTCTCTCCTTCCTTCCTTCCTTCCTTCCTTCCTTCCTTCCTTCCTTCCTTCCTTCCTTCCTTCCTTCCTTCCTTCCTTCTTTCTTTCTTTCTTTCTTTCTTTCTTTCTTTCTTTCTTTCTTTCTTTCTTTCTTTCTTTCTTTCTTTCTTTAAGACAGGGTCTCGTCATAGCTTAGACTGGCCTTGAATTCACTCCAGGGCCAGGGCTAACCATTAACTCTGAATCCTCTTGTCTCTACCTCCCTTGTTTGAGGATTATGGGAGTGTGTTACCACGCCTGAGGGGCCTGCTCTTTTTTTCCTGGAGAAGGGGGTCTCACAGCTACCACACTAGCACCCTACCAACTGTATGTATGTCTGTCTGTATGTATGTCTGTAAACATGTATGTATGTCTGTAAACTACATGTGTACCTAGTGCCCATAGAGGCTGGACAGACACTCATGCAGGCAAAACACTTATACATGTGAAAAAATAACAAATATTTTTAAAGATTAAAAAACAAAACAAAACAGGATAGGGCTGTAACTAGTTGGTAGAGTGCTTGGTTAACAGGTGAGACCTTGGTGTCCATCTCCAGTACCTGACAAACCTAGTGTGTGTGTGTGTGTGTGTGTGTGTGTGTGTGTGTGTGTGTGTGTTTGTGTGTGATGGCTGAACACCTGGGCCACGGCAAGACTGTGGAGGTCAGAAGACAATTTTGTGGAGTCACTTCTCACTTTCCACCTTTATATGGATTCTGGGAATTGAACTCAGGTTGCCAGGCATGTGCTCTAAGAGCCTTTACTGGCTTGATGGCCCCTATACTATGTATTTTAAAGAATAACAAGGAGCTGTGGGTGGTGGTGCAACACCTTTAGTCCCAGCCCTTGGGAGGCAGAGGTAGGCAGATCTCTGTGAGTTTGAGGCCAATCTGATCTATATAGCAAGTCCTAGGCCAGCAAGGGTTACACAGGGAGACTCCATCTCAAGAAAAATTAAGTAACAAGGAGACAGAGTCCACTAGATGAGGGGGAGAAAGTAGTGGTCAGCAAAAGCAAGCATGGCTGGTGTGATATTTGAATGAGATGTCCCCCCCAGTGAACACCTGGTCCCCAGGGGACAGCACTGTTTCCGGAGACTCAGCAGTGAGTGGACTTATTGGAGGAAGTGTGTGCTGGGGGCTGGTTTTGAAGTTTCAAAGCCTCATGGCATTTTCAGCGCGCTCTGTTTTGTGTTCAGGATGTGAGGCCTTGGCTTCCTGCTCCTGAAGTCAAGTCTCCACCATCACGGACTCTAACTCCCAGGAACCACTAGCCCAGACAAACTCTTCCTTCTATCGGTCGTCTTGTGGTGTTTTACCGCAGTAACAGAGAAGTCACACACACCGCTGGCCTGCAAAGGCCTGCTCCCTCATGCGTCCTACTTAAGTTCCATGTGCTGAGGCAAGAGCCCCCTGGTGGCCTTCAGGTCCCCACCTGTGATATGAGAGGAGTCTGGGGGTAGAGGAGGTGAGGGATGCTGGAGAAGATCCAGCCCGGAAATATATGTAAAAGCTGCGGTGGGCTGGCAAGATGGTTCAGTGGGTAGAGGAGCCTGCTACCAAGCCCGATGACCCAAGGTGGATCCCGGGGACCTACTTGGTGGAAGGGAAGAACTGACTGGAGGTTGAGTTCACCTCTGACCTCCACAAATACACTGTGGAATGCCCATGTCTCCCCCACCCCCCACCCCCACCCCCCACACACATCCACACATCCACACCCTAAATAAATAGGGCCAGGGGAAAAGAAAAACACTAAGATTTCAAACACAATTTCCCAAATGTTCACCACAGAAGCCATGCTTTTACAGTATGTTGAGGGAACTGACGGCTTTCAATGATGTGTTTATGGGCGAGAGACTCCCTCACTAAAGAAAGAGAAGGAAGTTTGCAGGGAGGCCTCAGTGGTGGGGGATGAGACAGAACATGCTAACCTGAGTGAGTCGCTGAAGTAAATCCCGCTCCCCAGATTTCCAGCATCTGTTCTTTGCACGCCGCGGTCTTCGGCTACTTTAGGTAAAAGCAGCCCTCTGAAAGAGAAAGGCGGGGATCATGATTTACCAGAAGAAAGGACTCTTCCACACAGCCTTTAAAAATCAGTGACCAAGGGCTGGAGAGATGGCTCAAAGGTTAAGAGCACTGACTGTTCTTCCAGAGGACCCGGGTTCAATTTCCAGCACCCACATGGCAGCTCACAAACTGCCTGTAACTCTGCCTCCAGGGGATCTGACACCTCACACAGACATACATATATGCAAAACACCACTGTACATAAATAAAAAAGAATAAAATCATTAAGAAAAAAAATCAGTGACCAACAGCAAATTCCCCTGTCTTTACAAAGCTCAGGTCAGAGTTCAGCTGGCCCTGCATACCTGTAGTCAACCAGTCATGGATTCAAAATATTCAGAAAAAAATTCATCTGTACTGAACATGAAGATTTTTCATGTCATTAGTTTTAATCAACACTTCCTGGCAATAGCTTTCATAGCATTCACACTGTATCAGACATGATTAAACCTTGCAGATCTAATTTAAAGTACATGGGAAAAACCATTTTTGTTCTATGCAGATTCTACACCATTTTATATAAGACCCTTGAGCACTGGGGGTTTCGGCATCTGAGAAAGTTCTGGAAGTAACTCCATAGATCCCAAACACGACTGTAATCTCCCAGAACAGCACATGCCATTAGCTTGTTACAGTTATGGTTGTTTTTCCAACACTGACTTGACCACATAGGCTCCGTGGCCATGGCTCCTGCCTCCTCCAGGCAAGACCCCAGAGTAAGCCAGCCCAATGCTGACTGCTCAGGATCTTATACAGGTTCCCACTGGACTTCAAACATTCAGCATTATCTCAGCATGAAAACATGGCCTTCTCTACACAGACAGGCCAAGACAGGTTTCTGTTCTTGATTACAGAAATATCAATTGTTTGAATTTTGCACCAGAAGATTGAATAGATTTTATAAGATGGCTTTTGGGATTTTGTCCTATAAAGACAATTTTCTATACAATTAATTAATTTGTTTTTTAGCACTTGGGATTGAACCCAGGACCTCACTCATGCTAGGCAAACACTCTACCACTAAGCTACATCCCCAGCCCTTGAGTTTTAGCTTCTTCTTCTTCCTCCTTCTCTCCTCCCCCCCCCTCCTTCTTCTCCTTCTTCTTCCTCTTTTTTTTAGACAAAGTCTCACTAGGTAACCCTGGGAGACCTGGAACTTGCTATATAGACCAAGTTGGCTTTGAACTCACAGAGATCTGCCTGCCTCTGCCTCCAGGATGCTGGGATTATTGCATCACCCAGGTGGTACCTTTCAATTTTCCTAGGTGCTTGATTAAGGGACCAAAATATACTCATAATTCCCCTTGCCCCTGTAACTTCAGCTTCTCCTCCAATATTAAGAAATTATTCAAAGCAACCAGAAAACTAAGGTTGTGATTTGAATAAATAACTCACATTCCCTGGACACACTGACTATGAAATGTAGACTAGCTCTTTTTTATATGAGGTCACTGTGAAGGAGCAACTTATTGTTTTGGTTTTTGGTGTGTGTGTGTGTGTGTGTGTGTGTGTGTGTGTGTGTGTGTATTCATTTGCAGTTTTGTTTTTTGAGCCAGGGTCTTGGTACATAGCCCTGGCTTACTATGGAACAATCTTTGTACACTGTAAATACGTATTACTCTCATTGGCTAATAAAGAGCTGACTGGCCTATAGCTGGGCAGGAAGAGATTGGGTGGGAGAGCCAGACTAAGAGAATGCTGGGAAGAAGAAGTGGGGGGGGTGTATCTGAGGAGTCTCCAGGAGATGTACAGGAAACAGGAAGGACATGAACATGCCCTACTGAGGTAAGGTACTGAACCACATGATAGAACATAGATAAAATATGGGTCAATTTAAAATGTAAAAGTTATCTAGTAACAAGCTTGAGCTATTGGCCAAGCATTTATAATTAATATTAAGTCTCCATGCATTTATTTGGGAGCAGCTGCTGGGACAGGAAAATTCTGCTCACACTGGCTGGCCTTGAATTCATTCTGTAGCCAAGACTGGGACTGAACTAGATGCAATCATCCTGCCTCAGCCTGTTGAATGCACCATGCCCAAATTTCAAGGAGCAGTTTATACCTATGTAGAACACTTAAAAAAACTCACAAATATATAATAGATAATCACAAATACAAAATTTAAGTGAAATATAATTTTCTGTATGTATAAATTTGTTGCTTTTAACTAAAAAGCCCATGTGATTTATTTACTTTGGTATTGTTTAGGGTCAAAGAACACACAATTTAGACAAAAAGTAGACAAGAAAGGGGAATATTTCACATTTACGAGTCTGAAAAACTAAAAACTAAAGATGGCATATCTTACCGGGACAAGATTCCAAGAATGTTCCGTACACGAGATCCATGAAATAAGGGCTGCACATTGCCCAGTTTGCTTAAAAACTCTGTGGCTTCATTCACTCTGCCAACTCTAAATATCTGCAAGACATCTACTGGACTTTCACTGGAAGAATTAGAAGAAAAACCTTGAGGTCATACAGTTAGAAGAAAAGTAAAAATCATTAATAAGTGAAATCTCAAGAAAACTCAGATGTCCATGGTTCAGCAGTTAAAGGCACTTGCCAGTAAGTCTGATGGTCTCCAGAGGGGAGAGCCAACCCTGACAAACTGTCCTCTGATCTTCAAGAGCACACTGTGGCAAGTGCATGCATTTACACACACACACACACACACACACACACACACACACACACACACACACACACACACACACACATTTTGCTTTCTGCTGCTATGATCAACACCATGACCCAAGGCAAGAGGAAAGGGTTTATTGTTTTTGTTTTTGTTTGGATTATAGGTTACAGTCTATCACTGAAGGAAGCCAAGGCAGGAACTCAAGCAGGAAACCTCGAGGCAGGAACTGAAGCAGAGACCACAGTGAAATGCTGCTTACTGGCTTGCTCCCCATGGCCTGCTTTCTTATACAACCCAGGACCACATGTCTAGGGCTGCCACTAACCACTATCCACAGTGGGCTGGGCCATCCATAACAATCATTAATCAAGAAAAATGTCCCAGAGACTTGCCTACAGGTCAATCTGATGGAGGCAGCTCCTCAATTGAGGTCCCCTCCTTCCAGATGACTCTAATTTATGTTAAGACGACAGAGATGGTGGCTGGCAGGCAGAGAGAATATATAGGAGGAGAAATCTAGGAGGAGAGAGCAAGGAGCCAAAGAAGGAGAAGGACTCCAGGGGCCAGCCATCCAGCTACAACAACCAGCAACAGAGGAAGAAACCAAGAAAGGTATATAGGAATAGAAAAGGAAAAGCCCAAAGGCAAAAGGTAGATGGGATAATTTAAAGTTAAGAAAAGCTGGCAAGAAACAAGCCAAGCTAAGGGTGGACATTTACAATTAAGAATAAGCCTCCGTGTGTGATTTATTTGGGAGCTGGGTGGCAGGCCTCCCAAAAGAGCAAAAACAAACAACAACACAACACTGTTACAGATCCCAAAAGACTTGCTTTGTGCTTACCCATGATTACTCTGCAACAGTTCTTTTCTAACCCTGGAAAATTCTTCAGTATTCTGTTCAACATGTTCAATTTTGCATCTCAAAGCTCGGTATTTGGCAAGAGATGGCGGGTTGGGTTTGGATAAGTTAGTTTCACAAACATTCACCATGTCTCTTATTAGCTGTGGGTAAGAAAATGGTACAGAGATGTTAGTAGATACCACATATCAAAGTTAATATCTATATTACATTAGTATTTTCCACAAAGATAAAAATTAGTTTTTTTCCACGAAGTTTTTGATTAACATTTGGTATTGGTAGTACACTAAACTGAAGAAATGCTGGGTGCAAAGCTGGGTGTGGCTCACATCTGTAACCTTAGCACTTGGGGAGAGGCAGGAGGATTGCCATGAGTTCAAGGCTAGCCTAGGTTAAATTCCAGGCTAGCCCAAGTTGCAGTGTAAGACTGTTCTCAAAAGTAAAAATAAAGTTTCTAAAAATCAGAAGGCTTGGTACAACACTAGTTTTCCTGGCTACTTGGGAGACTGAGGCAGGATTACTTGAGCCCAGGAGTTGAAGGCTAGCCTGGGATGCATGCAGAAATCCCCATCTCAAATATAGGTAGATGATAAATAAATGATAGGTAGATAGATAGGTAGATAGATAGACAGATGATAGATAGATGGTAGATAGACAGAGTGACAGATGATTGATTGATAGATAGATGATAGATACAGAAGATAGATGGATAGATAGATGGTAGATAGAAGATAGATGGATAGATGGTTGATAGATAAATAGACAGATAGCTAGCTAGCTAGCTAGATAGATAGATGAGATAAATGAGAAAGAATTGCCTCACTGATAGCACAGTACAACTGTACATTAGCATAGTACTTTAAATTATTTACTTTTCTATTGCTGTGTCAAAATGCCCAACAAAGGCAACTCAAGGATGGATAGATTGCTTTGGTTCCTGTTTTAGGGAGGATACAGCCTGTCATGGCAGAGAAAGCATGGTGGCAGGATTCTGAGACTGCTGGTCACACTGTCTGCAGATGGGAAGCAGAGTGAGAGGGAATGCTGGTGTTGGTACACTTTCTCCTTTTCTTCAGTCTTGGACCCCGGCCCATGGGATGCTGCTGCCCACATTCAGGGTGAATCTCCCTTTTCAGTCACACAATTCTGGAAACGTCCTCAGAGATATGTCGAGAAGTGTGACTCCAAATCTCAACAAATTGACATCAAGAGTGCACACAATCATCACACGCATCACGTTTTGTTTGTTTTGTTTTTTTTACTTCTTTTGAGACAGGGTCTCTCTACATAGCCCTGCTGTCCTAGAACTCACTATGTAGACCAGGTTGGTCTAGAACTCAAAGAGCTCCACCTGCCTCTGCCTCCAGAGTGCTGGGATCAAAGGTGTGTGTCACCTTGCCCAGCACATGCATCATGTTTAAAAGATTTGTTTGTTTTTTATTTCATATGTATAAATATTTTGTCTGTGTGTAGATATGGGTACTGTGCACATGCCTGGTGCTGGTGGAAGTCAGAAGAGGACATGGGATCCCCTGGAACTGAAGTTATGGATGGCTGTGAGTCACCATGTGGGTGCCAGGAACCGAAACTGGGTCTTTGGCAAGAGCAACAAGTGCTCTTAATCACTGAGCTATCTCTCCAGCTCCTCCTCTTTTTTTCTCTCCTGAGACAGGGTCTCATGTATCCCAGGCTGGCCTCAGATTTGCTATGTAGTTGAGACTGCCCTTGAACTCCTGATCCTTCTGCCTCTGCCTCCCTTGAGTGCTGGGATCACAGATGTGCACCACCATGCCTGGCTTTATTCACCGTATAGATTTATTATTATTGTTGTTGTTGTTATTGTTATTATTATTATTATTATATTTTTGTTTGTTTTTTGAGACAGAGTCTTTCTACGTAGCTCTGGATATCCTTGAACTTACTCTGTAGACCAGGCTGGCCTCAAATTCACAGAGATCTGCCTGTCTCTGCCTCCTGAGTGCTGGGATTAAAGGCATGCACCATCACACACAGTTTTATTTTATTTTTTAAAGACTTATTTGTTTTATTTTTATCTGTATGAGTATTTTGCCCACATGAATGTATGTATACCACACACACGTCTGGTGCCCACAGATACCAGAATATGACTGAGTCCCCTAAAACTGTAGCTAAAGATGGTTGTGAGCCACCATGTGGGTGCTGGGAACTGAATTCAGATGCCCTGAACGAGTGGCCAGTGCCCTTCACCACTGGGCAATCTTCCCAGCCCCAATTCAGCATAATTTAAAGCCATGACCCTGCAACACATTTAAACTGAACTCTTTGTTCCAGGGCCATACCTGACAAAGGTCCTCTTTCTGAGCTAACAACCTCAGGTTAATTTCTTCTGATGCCGGGTGCTTGTGAGGAATCAGTCGGTAGAAATCGGCCATCGCCTTTTGCAGCTGCTCTGCTGTGTCTCCATTCTTCAGAGCTGATTTTACGAGAAGGAGAATTCCCTCTGCTTTACTCACCTGCAAACGGAAAAGCACATACTACTATTAAAAATTCAAATCCTGATAATCATAGAAGAGACGTGCATAAAAATACCTAAAGTAGCTGCTGGAGGCATTGGATCTATGAGTTTTCTACAGATTGCGGACTGTGCTACAGTGTGGGCCTTTTGAAAAATAGAATATCTTTTATTAACTCTTTCACAGTTTCAATCCTGTTAGTTTGGGTCTTAACTGTTTTTCTAAGGCCCGTGTTTCAAAGCTTAGTCCCTAGGGAGGCGCTTCAGGGAAGTGGGGGAACCTTTAGAGGAGGAGCCTAGTGGAACCCTAGTCCACTCTTCCCTTTGGTTCCTTGGCCTTGAACCGAGTGGGTTCTGCATCACTATACACTCCTGATACGATGCGCTGCCTCATCAGAAGCCCAAAACAACAGGGTCAGTCTACCACAGCCGGAGATCTACTAAACTGTGAGCCATAAGAAATCTTCTCTTTATAAAAGAACTGTCTCTGGTATTTCCTTATAGCGATGGAAAACTGACTAACACAGCCTCCAGAACCAGTGCTGACCTTAAGGTATGGCTCAGCTGTGAATGATGTTGGGAAGGGAGATGCTTGCAAAACTGGTCTCAGCTTAACTGTGGGGAACAACCAGGGGCTCTTCGCTTCTTTCTTTTTAAGAACAACTTTTAAGTTATCCTTGGACAGTCTTACACATGTATGCAGTTGGATCACTCCTCCTCTCCTCCTCTCCGGTTCCTTCTGGGTCCTTCTTCTTCTCAACACGTCCCCCTGCTACACAAACACCTTCCTAAAAATGACCCACCGAGTTCACTTAGGGTCGCTTGCGTTTGTCTAAGTGCAGGGTTATTCTCTGGATCGTGGGCAACTTATCCGTGGCTACACCTCTGAGGAAAAATGCAGCATCGTGTACTACACACATGTGAACACGAACAGACAGGAACACAAAGGCACCGGTAGGAGACTTGCCTTTTTCATAGAGAAACGTAGAGCGATGTCAACATCGAACCACGGCTGTGTTCCTAATTATGCAAGTGTGTTAGGAACCAAACAGCAGGAAATCTGTTTCTCCCTGAAACAATCAGCTTCATCCCACAGGGAGGGCTGCCTGTGCTATCTTCGTCTGACTACTCATTTGGAAGAGTTGGATCGTTGGGGATATCTTCTGTCAATCATGTGTTTTTTCAATCACCATTATACATGGTGGAAAAGAGAACAGCATGTCCTGGTGTGCTAGAAGCAAGCCTGCCTTTCCTAAGACAGTGAGAAGGTGAAAGGCTGAAGGAGTTGTTTCCATGTAGGTCAGGATCTGGATATCTAAGTGGGGGCACTACCACTCTGTTCCTTGGCACCACGCTTAGGCCCATATTGACCATCACTGAGAACTGACATGACGGAGACATCTGATTCTCTTGATGCTCCGTTTCTTCAGAGAATGAGGAAAGAACAGTGAGGGGTGGGCTTCAGAGTAAACCAACCAGCGCGTGACTGTCAGCACGAGTGTTTACACCAATCCACCAGGAAGTAGGTTCAATTCAATGACACGCCTGACTTACGTCATTCAGGCTTATGCTGTTCACTGGCTTGAGAAGTGTGTGTTCCAGGTGTCCCAGAGCTTCTGCCCAGACCATCTCCACCAAACGGCTCACCTCCTGGCTCAGAGTGCCTGAACTTATGACCTCCTCCAAAAGCAACTGAAACAACAGAGTGACAAAGAATTACCACCAAAAAAAAGTCCTCGTGAGCACTTTGTGTAAGACGGACACAGGAGCTGGCTGTGGGTCAATAGGCAAGCACTTGCCTAGTGTATCTGAGACCCTGGGTTCCACTTCCAACCTCACAAACAACAACCAACAAAACAACAGTATAGACCTGGAAGCGAAGTATAAGGAAAAATGGCAGTGCCCAAGAGAGGCACCCGCTCCCAGAGCCAGACACTATGGCTGGAAACGGCTTGAGTGCCCCTCAAGGCTCGTACGCTGGCAGCTGGGTCCCCACTGTGGAGTAGTGGGGTAGTAGACCTTTAAGAGGTGGAGACTGGCGGAAGGTACTCAGAACCCAGGGCAGAGCTTCAGAGTACATGATGCTTTTCTCGAGGGAGGAGTATGCTCTCCATGGTATTTTTGTTGTTGTTGTTTGGTTTGGTTTTGTTTTGTTTTCAAGACAGGGTTTCTCTGTGAAACAGTCCTGGCTGTCCTAGAACTCACTCTGTAGACCAGGCTGGCCTTGAGCTCTCTGCCTCCCAAGTGCTGGGATTAAAAGCGTGCTCCACCACCGCCCAGCTTGCTCTCCATGGTATTATGTAGACAAGGGGCCTTCCACAGGATGCCATGGGGCTTATACCTTCAAGCCCCTCGATTGTGAGCCAAGTGCTTGATGAGGTTTTTAGCCTCATGTGTCTTGTGGCAGCAGCACAAACATCCCAGGCAACGGGTCCACCCAGGCTTCCTGTCCCCGCTGGGCTCCTGCTCCCCACCCCTCGCTGTCATACACTCCTGGTGGAGGGCCCCACTACCACCTTTCTCCTGTTTTCCTCTTGTCTTTTCCTTTACTCTGTAAGGTGTAGGCCCATCAGTGGCATTAAACACATGCAGTAAGAGTTAAGGAGCTTGGAGTCACAGCCCCAACTATAGTGAAATCTTTCAAAGATGTGAGAGTTTGTTGCTGAGATAAACAATAATCTTGTGGCTCGTCCCACATCCCAACCAGTGGTCATGTCTTCCTTTAAGTTTATTTTTAATTAGCTTCCCTTCTCCTCTGCCAGTTTTTTTTTTTTTTTTTTTTTTTTTTTTTTTGTTGTTGTTCTTTGTTTTTTTCGAGACAGGGTTTCTCTGTGTAGCTTTGCGCCTTTCCTGGAACTCGCTTTGGAGACCAGGCTGGCCTCGAACTCACAGAGATCCACCTGGCTCTGCCTCCCGAGTGCTGGGATTAAAGGCGTGTGCCACCACCGCCTGGCTTTTTTTTTTTTTTTAAATAAAGACAGTATTTCTGTCTGGTGATGGTGGCGCATGCCTTTAATCCCAGCACCCGGGAGGCAGAGGCAGGCAGATCTCTGTGTTTGAGGACAACCTGGTCTACAGAGTGAGTTCCAGGACAGCCAGGACTAAACAGAGAAACCCTGTCTCAAAAACAAAACAAAAACAGGCCGGGCGGTGGTGGCGCACGCCTTTAATTCCAGCACTTGGGAGGCAGAGGCAGGCGGATCTTTGTGAGTTCGAGGCCAGCCTGGTCTACAGAGCAAGATCCAGGAAAGGCGCAAAGCTACACAGAGAAACCCTATGTCGAAAAACCAAAAAAAAAAAAAAAAAGAAGTCAAAACTAGAGAGATGGGTCAGTGGTTAAGAGCCATGGCTACCCTTCCAGAGGGCCTGGGTTTGATTCCCAGCACCCACATGCCGGCTCACAACCTTCTGTAACTCCAGTTCCAGAGGACATGATGCTCTCTTCTGGCCTCTGTCAGTGCATGTAGTGCACAGACAAGCACATAGGCAAAACATCCATACACGTAAAATAACTAAAAAATATATTCAAATTACTGGGTATGGTGGCATATGCCTTTAACTCTAGCAATCAGGAAGCAGAGGCAGATGAATCTATGAGTTTAAGGCCAGCCTGGTCTATATCATAAGTTCTAAGCCTGCCAGACTTACATGGTAAGATCCTACATTTAAAAGAAAAAATCAATTAATCAGCTGGGTATGGTGCCCATCTAAAAATCTCAGCACGGAGAAGGCTGAGGCAGGAGGTTTGTTTGAGTTTGATGCCATCCTGGACTAAAGAGTGAGGAGTAACAAAGTAACAAACCAATCCCAACAATCACAGCACACCCTCCCTCCCAGCTCAGCCAAGGCTTGAGGACACAATCCTTTCAGGCCTCTAGCTTACCGCTTGCAGCTTTTCAGATGCTAACTGTGCTGCTTCAGCCGGGAAGCGTTCTTGGAGCAGAAATCCTCGGCTCTTCAGGTCCTCAATGTAACGCTCATAATATTCACTGGCACCTTCAGAGGTTTGCTTTCCGGCCCTCTCTCTTCTAGTCTGGGAATTACAGTGCACAGAAAGGACACAGGAACTTATGAACACACACATCCTCTGCTTTTCTTTTCCTTCCTTCCTTCCTTTCTTTTCTTTTCTTTTTTTAATCTATTAGGACACTGTATTGAAACAATATTTGCACCTTGCTTTTCTTAAAGCATTATCATGTTGGTTGGAATGAAATGCCTCCCATTGGCTGACCTCAGTGCTTGGTGCCTAGTTGACAGGTGTTTTTGGAGGAGGCTTAGAGGTGTGGCCTTGCTGCGAGAAAGTACATCATGGAGGCCCGGCAGGCTTTGTTTCAAGTTTCAAAAGTCACAGGGCTCATGCCTACTTCCCTTTCTGCTTTCTGTGAGAGGCAGCAGCTCCCAGCTTGCCTTGCCCGCCCGCTGCCACGCTTCCCTGCCATGATATGATAAGACCCTTATTCCCCGGAACTGAAAGTCCAAACCAACCCTCCCATCTCTAAGTTGCCTCGGTCATGATGTTTTGAATCACAGCAACAGAAAAGGAACACTTAAATTGTTCAGTTTTCACAAAGATAGCCTTAAAGGTGGAGTCGAGGGAGCAGAAGCCCGAGTGGGTGGAACAGAGGGAAGAGACTCCTTGTGGGGACGCATTCATTCAAGCGCTCGTTCAGAGCCTGTGGTTTAATGAACTTGGAAGACTGGCATTCCACTCCTTTTTGGAAACATTGAAAGTCCATCAAGGCCAGGGAAGAAAAGGAAAACTACCCTGTAAAGGATGGCCCAGCGGGGGACAGGCATCGGTCAAGACAAAGTGAGCCCCCAGTGAGGAAAAGGGCAGGAAAGCTCCAGTCAGGCAGATGATGTGAAAGGCACAGGCTTCTCCTCAGCCAAGACTGCACTCACATGGGGCATTTTCTATTCTTCTACTTCTTTTTTAAAATCTTATGTATAAGAATGTTCTATCTGCATGTATGCCTTTGTGTCAGAAGAAGGCATCAGATCCCACTACAGATGACTGTGAGCCACCATGTGGTTGCTAGGAATTGAACTCAGGACCTCTGGAAGAGCATCCAGTGCTCTTAACCTCTGAGCCATCTCTCCAGCCCTCTGTTCTTCTCGAAAACCCACCCCATGCCTGAGCAACTCAGCTTACACTGACCCCAGATGATGGAGGAAGATTGGGAGTCCTGATGTCCCCTAGATGTTGGCTAATCCTGAGGTGCACAGCTCCAGACAGATGTCACACTCACAAGACTCTTCACTGTGGGGTGTCTCTGAAACCTGTAGAAATCAGGTATACTCCCAGGTCACTCCATTTGAAAGGTAGAGGCTAGGGTTTGGATCTCAATTGTCCCAGGACCAAAGAGAACCACACGGGCCTCATACCTGCTAGGCAAGACTTCTACTGCTGAGCAACAGCCCTGCCCTTTAAGCTTTTTTTTTTTTTTTTCCTTTCTTTTAATTGTTAAACACGGGTGCTGGGAGCCAAACTCCTCTGGATAAGAAGCAAGCACGTGGTCCCTGAGTCATCTCTCTAGTATCTACCTTTTCTAAGTTAATTATTTCAGGTATTTTGTTAAGTGATGGAGAGTGTCCTAAGGGTGGGATTTTTTGAAGATTTCTCCTAAGATGGCTTCATGAGGCAGGGCAAGCCTCTTCTACAGAACATCTCTCACTACTGCTTAGGTGAGGCTTACTCCTGGCAGGTGGACACCTCAGCAAGCCTCTGCTGGAGGGCTTGGACGTGAGCTTGCTAAGGCTAGTAGGCAACCAAGGTGCACCAGTACGGTCTTCGCAGTGTTATGCTTCTTTCTTAAAGTTATAACACAGTCCATTGTGGACTTTTTTTTATTTTGAATTACTTTTTATCCAGATAACAAAATAACCACATATTTTGGGGCAGAAGGTTAAATATCTCCTACTTGGATACACCTGACCCTGGATTGAGGTTCTAGCTCTGTTTCCATGGAAACCTTATTAAAGGCAGCTATAAGGCTAGTACAGTAATGTAGGCTTGTAATCCCAACATTTGAGAGGTTGAGGCAAGAGTGAGATCCGTCTCAAAATGCAAACCTTCCACCTCTCCCAAAACAGTCGGCTGTAATTGTAGTGATCTCTCTGGTAAATCTGCACCAAGATTAGGTCTTCAGTGAGTGTGTGGTGGAAACCAACGCTTTGGACTTTCTTGAGAGTAATTCATAGAACAGGGTGCATCTCCAGGGTCACCTGGAACCCGTGCTATGAGAGATATGAGCTCCTGAGGGTCAGGGTTTCTCGGATGGTCCCATTTGATGTGTGTGTCTTTACTCCTGAGTGACATCTGGGCTAGGGGCCAGATGAGAAGCTTCTAGAGCCTGTGTGGACCTGTGCGCGGGCCTCTCTCACTGAAGAGTGGACTCTGTGTCCTGCCAGCTGTGTTTTGGCTACAGTAGATCTGCACGGCTGAATACCTATGTGAGAAGGCTCCCCGGTGGGCGATGCTTGGTGCATGCTGTATTTAATCTTTGGGTGTTTGTTCTGGATCTGTTTTTATTTCCGAACTGTTTTAGACCACAGCTGGGCTTCTGACTTGACACTGAACTAGGACAAAGGTTATGGCTTCTGTGAAGCCTTCCTTGTGATTTCCAGCATTCTATGACCATGAGCCCTGAGTATTTCACAGGTACAGCAGTGTCAGAACTGTCACAGTCGGTCCCAGGGATGCGTCTGTTGTGAGGCAGGTGTGGTTCATGGCAGTAATGGTAACACTGTGGAGGCTACTGAAAGAGGAGGGCCATGTTTGAAGCAAGCCTGGAGCACAGAGTGAGACCCTCTGTCTCATTTTTAAAGGTGGGGGGTAGGGGGAGAAAGGAACAAAGGAGGAAAAGGTAGAAGAAGAGAAGGACAGATGGAGGAGGGAATGATGGGCGAGAAGGATCTCTGCTACCTTTTCATCTTTGACGTTCAGCCTCCAGCACAGGGAGAAACAGATCCTGTTGCTTAAGCCACCCAGGCCCATTCTGTTCACTTCTGCAGCCCCAGCTGACTATGCCCCCAGATAAGGAGAAAACGTTCAGCATGTTGGTTGGTGACTTGAGCAAGCCAGCAACAGGAAGACTCTAACTCACCTGCGCGCTGTCAGCCAGGAGGAAGTGTGCCGATATCACAAAGGGACAGTCCCCTGGGTCCCGGGAGCACTGCAACTCTACCACCACAGTCTCCGGGCCTCCGTCCACTCCCACCTGCAAGACAGGGTACATTTTAGAAGCAGAGCTATGGAAACTAGCCACACTCCACATCGGAAGAGGCTGCCTAATATGCCGGAGCAATGCATGCTCATTGGAGAAGTGTATTAGAAAACACAAGAGTATCTAGAGAGTAAAAGTCACCTGAAACCCTATCACAGCAATATAATCACTATCAGTACTTTTGTATATTTTTCTCTGTGTGTTTATAATATGTCACTTTTCACATTATAGAGGGAAATATCCTTTTAAATTTATATTTTATTCCAACATCTAAAAAGTGTTTGAAGGCAAGTGTTAATTTTAATTTGTGTGACTCTGTCAATAAAGTCTTCTGTTTTCCTTGAAAGCAAAAGGAACAATTCAACATGGCATAAATATTTGGTGTCAAATCTATCTTTTCCAAATATGAGGAACAGTTAATAACAGGGTAGAGGTTTATTTCTAATGCCATATTGATGCTTTATATTGTTTCATATCTGTTGTAAGTGGCTAGATTGTATGTAGCTCGGTTGGAGAGTGCTTGATTAGTATGCCTGGAACTTGGGTTGGATCTCAGACACTGCACAAACTGGACGGTGCATAAGTATAATCCCAGCCCTTGGGAGGTGGAGGCAGAAGGATCAGGAGTTCAAAGTCATTTTTCACTATGTAGCAAGTTCAAGGCCAGCCTGGGATGCATGAGATCCTATCTCAAAAAACAAACAAAATATAGTATGAGCAAGAATTACCTTCATTAAAAACACTAAAAAAAATTTCTTTTTCTTCTTTAAAATTTATTTACTTTTTGGGTTTTATTTGAGAGGGGGTTTCATTGTGTAGCTAGGGCTGTCCTTGAACTCATAACCCTCTGGCTTGGCCTCCTAAGTGTTGGGATTATAGGCATGAACTATGACACCAGGCAAAAATTTAAACAAACCTTTCTTTCTTTCTTTTTTTTTTTTGGTTTTTTTGAGACAGGGTTTCTCTGTGTAGCCCTGGCTGTCCTGGAACTTGCTCTGTAGACCAGGCTGGCTTCGAATTCATAGAAATCTACCTGCCTCTGCCTCCCAAGTGCTGAGATTAAAGGCATGCTCTACCACTGCCCAGCAAACAAATATTTTCTAAGTAGTAAAAACCAACTTGTGTTATAGGATATATATTTAGAATATGAACAACTTTTCAAAACAATGAGAAAATCATCAAAAATGAAATTTTTTCAGAAATTATTCAGTTTCTTTTCTCTAAGTAGAAATCAGACTCTTACCTTTTCCAAGATGTTATATTTCACAACTTCAAAGTCTTGAAGAAAATGAGGAATTTCAACATTCTCTGCAGAAACCCTGAAATTTGTATAATTAAACATTTAAAATTGAAATGGAACTTTGGACCACACAGAATCTCCCAACAGATCCCCTAATTCTTTATGATGTACGTAATAAGTCCCCGGTGCCTCCTTAAGTAGTCTAGAAATAGTTAAACAATTATGAAAAATGAGCTGGATTCATCCTCTGCATAACTAATTTATTAGTTATTATTTTCTAATTTTACATATTTGTGGGTGGAGTGTGATCATTTAACCTGTGCATTCAGTGAGGGATGGATGATCAGGGAAATCTCTATCCTCCTCTTCTGAATTCCCAAGCACTAATGCCCAGAACCTTGAGTGCACAGGGAGGACAGGCTACAGAAGCAGAGACACAAAAATCACGGCCACCTTCTCTGGTCACCACGTTCTGGGGCTCTGACTCCAGCAGTGGTTTTCTGGGCTACATCAAGTCCTTTTATAACATAAAGGAGTCCAGTGCATCACCTGTCCTTTGCTTGTTCATTTTGGTTTTTGGTTTTTTTGAGACAGGGTCCCCATAGGTAGCTCAGCCCTGCCTCAGCCTCCCAAGTGCTGGTAACAGACAGGCATCACCACCCTGAGCATATTTGTATTTTTAATACTAAGATTGAAGTTTACAAAATATTTTGCTTACTGAGTGACTTGGGTGTTTTCATTCTCTGGGGTGTTGTCCAAAGACACATCTTCTGTTTCCACCTCTAGAAATAAAAGGAAAACTTGTTGACTGTTCTAAGACTTATAATTAACTGCTAGAATTATTAAGTTCTTTTGTTTGTTTGTTTTGTTTTTTCAAGACAGGGTTTCTCTGTATAGCCCTGGCTGTCGGTGGAACTCACTCTATAGAGCAGGCTGGTCTTGAACTCAGATCTACCTGCCTCTGCCTCCTGAGTGCTGGGATTAAAGGTGTGCGCCACCACCACCCGACCTTGTTATGATTCTTAAATAGTGATATTTGCTCTATAATTCCCCTCACCGGTCAGTGTTCTGGGGACTCAAACTCAGGGCCTTACGCATGCTAGGTAAACACTCTATTGCTGAACCACACTTTCAGCCACAGTTCTGTTTTGTTTTGTTGGTTTTTTGGATACTTTTAAGTTGAAGGTTTCACCCTGTTGCCTGAGCTGGCCACGAACTCTGAGGGTCCAGTGATCATCCTGTACCATCTTACCAGCCCAGCAATGACTTTCTTAACCCCAAGGATTATTCTACTCCAGGTTAAAATTGTACACAGGCCTGGGGATGGCATAGATAGTAAAGCACTTGGCGAGCATGAGGACCTGAGTTTTATCCCCAGCCCCTAAGCAAGATTGAGAATGGCAGGGCAATCTAGGAATCCCAGTGCTGGGGAGGAGGACACAGAGGGACGCCTAGGGCTCCCTCACAAGCCATCTTAGATAATTAGTGAGTCCACACCAGTGGGAGACCCTCTCTGAAAGGAGATGGACAGCATCCCAAAGGACAATACCCATGCTTGTCCTCTGATCTCCACAAGTACACCATGGAGCATACATTTACACACATACACAAAATAAAGAAATTAAAATATAATGATTTTTAAAGAAAATTACACATCAAATATTTTGAGACCATCAGGTTTTTTTAGTCATTTTGAGTCTGACCTCACTAGACTTCACATTGAAAAATCTATATCTGTTGCTAAGCTGGCCTTTTATCCTTCAGGATTTTATTTCCTGTTTCTGTGGTAAAATGAAGCATAATTATTTTGTAGTATTCCTGGACGATTTGTTTTTCCTCATAACATTGCTGACACGTCCACATGTCTACCATGGCATCTATAATCATTAAGTGCTTGGTAGGACGCACTCACCAGCACAGCTCTTTCCACTTGGCGGTGGCATTATAGCCAGTGACTTGGGATCATAATTCTTCACATCCAATAGTCTCCTCTCTTTGACAGAGTCCCAGATGAAATCTGGGTTTGCAATCTGGACATCATTCTTTTGGATGGAGTTCAGTTGACACCGACTCAGGACGATGTCAGCATTGTCTAAGATTACGTGTGTGCACTAAGGAAAAACAGTAAGTTCATTATACAGCAGCAAAACCAAAATTTAACAACAGTATTTGTATCTGTAACTTTAACCCCCTAAAGGTCTTATTTTAAGGTGGTTCATAATGATTTTTTTTCAGATTTTGAAAAACATTAAAATTTACAGTTCTAGAAAAACTTTAAAAATAAACAGGTTGTTGTATCGTTCCCCCCACTCCGCCCCACCCCAACCACAGTTCTAGAGCAAACCTAGAGCCATGATCATGCTGGGAAAGCGCTCTACCACTGAGCGACATCCCCTGCCCTATACCAACAGTGATTACACTTTGGGTACAGATGGTCTACATCACAGGTTACTACCAAGTTCTCCATGCTGTGAATGTACTCATGCATACATCTTTATGGACTTGTCCTGTTACTTCTTGAGGCAGAGGCAGGCAGATCTCTGTGAGTTTGAGGCCAGCCTGGTCTACAGAGTGAGTTCCAGGACAGCCAGGGCTGTTAGACAGAGCAACCCTGTCTCAAAAATCAAAAAACGGAAGGAAGGAAGGAAGGAAGGAAGGAAGGAAGGAAGGAAGGAAGGAAAGAAGGAAAAGGAAGGAAGGAAGGAAAAGGAAGGAAGGAAGGAAAAGGAAGGAAGGAAGGAAGGAAAAGGAAGGAAGGAAGGAAAAGGAAGGAAGGAAGGAAGGAAGGAAAAGGAAGGAAGGAAGGAAGGAAAAGGAAGGAAGGAAGGAAAAGGAAGGAAGGAAGGAAGGAAGGAAGGAAGGAAGGAAGGAAGGAAGGAAGGAAAGGGAGCTACCAAAAAGTATATTTTGCTACTTTGTAGTTCTACTTAGTTTTTTAAAAACTGGGAGTACACACATGTGTGTATGTAGGTGATGTGTTTGTTCATCTGTATGAGAGTGGGTGCACACATAAGCTACACTGTGCATGTCAAGGTCAGAGGACAACATTGGATGCCAATCTTCATGTCTATCTTGTTTGAGATAGGATCTCTTTTTTTTCATTTGCCACAGATAATATATATATGTGTGTGTGTGTGTGTGTGCCACACATATATGCCAATAGGTTACAGGGATTCTTCCGTTTCTACTTCCCATTTTACTGTAGGAGCTCAGGGATTACAGACCATGTTTCTTCATTTACATAGGGTCTGGGGGTCCAAACTCAGATCTTTACAATGGTATGGCAAGCCCTTTGCCCACTGAACCATCACCCCAGTCTCCAATTTTTTTTTATATAGTGTGATAAAGAGTACATGCATATTGTAGAAATCTAAAAAGTAATAATAGGGACCTGCTAACCCTCCCCCATTTCTCCAGTGCCTCCCCCAGAGGTACTACTGTGATTTGCTCCTCATAGATATTTCCAGAGCTTTTCTTTGCAGACAAGGGGTATAACTGAACAAACGGTAGCATGCTTTCATACTATCTGAGCTTGCTTTTCCACTTAAAAAAAGCTTTTCCACTTAAAAAAAAATCTTCAAGTTCATTCCTCATCCTTAGGTATATGTAGATGTTTACTTATTGTTACGTAGCCCAGCCTCATCTGGAACTTGATCCTCCCACCTCAGCCTTCCAAGTGCTGAGATTACAGATGTGAGTTACCACATCTGGCTTTGTATCTCCTTTATCACTGCTGCTGTGCACATTTCAAACATTTATATACATTGGTAAAAATAAATAAATAAAAGTCTGAAAGGTCTCATACACAGTATGTGAGAGTTTCCCAAAGAGCAGAGACCATGGGCAGCTCTTTACCCAGAAGACAGCTTACTTATTACTTGTTTGTTCTTTCTTTCTTTTCTTTCTTTCTTTCTTTCTTTCTTTCTTTCTTTCTTTCTTTCTTTCTTTCTTTCTTTCTTTCTTTCTTTCTTTCTTTTTTTCTTTCTTTCTTTCTTTCTTTCTTTCTTTCTTTCTTTCTCTTTCTTTCTTTCTTTCTCTCTCTGTCTCTCTCTCTCTCTCTCTCTCTCTGTCCTTCCCTCTCTCTTTCCTTCCCTCCCTTTCTTTCTTTCTTTCTTTCTTTCTTTCTTTCTTTCTTTCTTTCTTTCTTTCTTTCCTTCTTTCTTTCTTTCTTTCTTTCTTTCTTTCTTTCTTTCTTTCTTTCTTTCTTTCTTTCTTCCTTTCTTCCTTTCTTTCTTTTTTTGAGGCAGGGTTTCTCTGTGTAACTGCCCTGGCTGTCCTGGAACTTGCTCCGTAGACCAGGCTGGCCTCAAACTCAGAGATCCACCTGCCTCTGGCTCCCAAGTGCTGGAATTAAAGGTGTGCGCCACCACTGCCTGGCTTACTTATTACTTTTCTTTTTTCTTTTTCTTGTTTTTTCAAGACATGGTTTCTCTGTGTAGTTTTGGTGCCTGTCCTAGATCTCACTCTGTAGACCAGGCTGGCCTCGAACTCAGAGATCTGCCTGACTCTGCCTCCCGAATGCTGGGATTAAAGGCATACGCCACCACCTCCCGGCTTACTTACTACTTACTTAACTACATTTCCATCTGTCCACCCATGGAAATGGTGAGGCTGGGAAGTCAGGAAGCCATGTGATGGAAGCATGCACAACTGTGCCTGAATTAGAGGCAAGTGGGGATATTCTCTTTGTGGTACCATGCTGGAATTGAACTTGCCTCCTAGAGTAGATGAGACTCTCTATGGCTAGTACCTGGGATGGACCCAGGGAGAGGCAGCCAGGGTCAGACCTATCAACAGAGGGAAGAGGAAAAGACAGGGCCAGCAATTCTGGGACATAATGCCTTTAGACTTCCACTTTGTCTTCTTAAAAAAGGGGAAATTGCCTTAACATTTTTAAGATAGTGTCCACTTGTGAAACTGTATCTGAATGCTTAGGCCTTCAGTTCACCTCTTGAGAAGCAGTAGCTTCCTTCAGCTCTTATGGGATAAGCTCCCGCCGAAAGGACTAACTAGTTCACATTGCACTTCGGCCCCCAGCGGTCAGGCCTGCGCCAACCCACTGGCCAGTGACACAGCATGCCATTTGCAAGCAGTTTGCAAGCAGGTACAATATGACTTTTCTCTTTTAAGAACAGGTGTGGCGCCAGGCGGTGGTGGCGCACGCCTTTAGTCCCAGCACTGAGGAGGCAGAGACAGGCGGATCTATGAGTTCGAGGCCAGCCTGGTCTACAAAGCGAGATCCAGGACAGGCACCAAAATACCACAGAGAAACCCTGTCTCGAAAAAAAAACCAAAAAAACCCCCCAAAAAACCAACCAACCAAACAAACAAAAAACCAAAAACAAGAACAAGTGTGGCTGGTCTGAAATTCTATTTCCATCTTTGGCTAAACCTGAATGATAGCGGATTCACAGGGCAGGGACAATGTTAGGAAACTCCCAGAGCAGAAGACTGGGCTGGGTCCTCTGGCATCATCAGCTTCTTCTGGTCCATCCCCAGGGGACGATGGCCCAGCGTCTCCTGTTGCCAGTCTTCTCCGCTAACTCTCTAACGAGTCATGTTCCCTGAAAGTTCGTATCAATCAGAGAGTAATCAGTGAGATTTGGAAATACCTGAGGATTTAATAAAAAGGAAAACTTTCCACCATTTTCTTTAATATCAGCTTGCAGCTTTTTCTTCTGTTGACGAGGTAAGTATTTGACTTTCAAGCAGAATATACAATTTGCAAAGATTCCCAAAGTCATCCTGAAAGAAAAGACAGTTTTGAGTCATAGGGTTCTGCTTGCTGTGGTAATTATTTGATCTTTAAGTTTCATATATGTGTATATTATACATGGAACACACTCCCTTTCATATCTCTACCCCTTTTCACTCCTGTTGATCTTCTCTGTCCTCCTACACAGTTTTTCTGCTATATACACACATATATACTACATAGATACACATACATGTATGATCTTAGATATTTATATGAAATTCATCAAGCACAAAGGAGAGAAAACATACTTGTCTTTCTGTGATTGCTTTAATCTACTTGTATCCATTTTTCTGCAAACAACATAATTTTGTTCTTCTTCATTGCTGAAGAAAATTCGATTGTGTATGTACATCACATTTTCTTTATCTGTTCCTGTTGTTGGACACCTAGGTTGGTTCCATAATTTAACTATTGTGAATAAACACTGATGTGCAAATATCTCTGTGATATGTCAACTTGTTTTTTTGAGACACTGTTTTATGTAGTCACTTTGGACCCCTGATTTCACCTCTAAAGTGCTGGGATTACAGGCATGAGTCTCTACAGACAGTTTATACAGCACTTGAGGTTGAAACCAGGGCATGTTAGGCAAGCATTCCAGCAATCAGCTACATCCCCAGCTTAATTATAGATTTAATTATAGACACTTTATCCCCATTTCACAGAGGAGGAACTGTGCCCAAAGTCACATGACTCAGTATAAAAAAGGTACAGGACTGGAATCTAGTTTCAGCCTTCATAACCCCCCACCCCTGCCCCATGCTCCTGTGCAGAACTTCCTATCTTTCCAGAGAATGTGACTCACTGCTTTCTGAGTGAGTCAGACTTGAATGGAGGCAGACTACAACCCTTTCCTTGGGAAAGTGAATTACATGTGGGTGTTTAATATGTGGCAGAATCTGACCACTGCACAGATGTTCTCATTGGCCTGTGTATTCTCTCACAATTCATCTCCTCTGGTTGATGCTTGAGCTGTGCCATAAACACTCAATTCCAGTGTTCAGCAAGATGGGCAGCTCAGCCCACTCCTCACAAGCAGCTACAGGGCAGTGTAGCAGGCTCAGAGGACCGCATGGTAGGGCCTTTGGGGAGTGGAGCTGGGACCCATCAACCTTGTGCATCATTGTAGCTCTGAGATAACAGAGCCAATGCCATGTTTGTATTATCAGCGCAACGATGAACCAACCATTAGCTTTTCCTCCACTGTGGACCAGAGTCTCATTATCAGGATCCTCCCTCAGAAAGGCAATAAAACTAGAGTGAAAAGGTGAACAGAGGCGGAGGGCAAAGGCACCTGCCACTAAGCCTGAACTCTACATGCACATATACATGGAAAGAGAATAAAACAAATACAAACCAACAAGACAAAACAAGGAAGGGTGACTTGTGGTGATAAACTGTGTATGCTAATAAAATCTGCCTGAAGATCAGAGAACAGAACAAGCCACTAGATCAGACACAGAGGCCAGGCAGTGGTGGCACACACATTCAATCCTAGCACTCAGGAGGCAGAGATCCATCTGGATCTCTGCGAGTTCAAAGCCATCTTGGACTACATGAGATTGACTTAGTCTGGGAGAGAAAACAGAGCCAGGCAGTGGTGGCACACACCTTTGATCCCAGCACTTGAGATCTCATTCATGCCTTTGCTTGGGAAGCACACCAGCCTTTAACCCCAGGAAGTAATATGGCAGGGCAGAGAAAGGTATATATGGAGTGAGGAGACAGGAACTGAAGGCTTTTGGGTAGAAGCGTCCCTCTCAGCTAGAGGCTTTTTCAGCTGAAGCCCTCTCCGCTGGAGCTCTCTCAGGCTGAGGAGCTGATGAGGGAAGAGGTGGTGGTTGTGGCTTACTCTGCTTCTTTGATCTTTCAGCTGTCACCCCAATACCAGGCTCCGGGTTTTTATTATAAGACCTTTTGACATTTGTGTTCCAGTGACTAGCCTGGGAGGGGCCTTCAGACAGCCTGTAGGAGAGGGCAGGACCCGTGCAGAGAAAACACCACCGTAGTCTCAGATACCTCCATGAGCTTTCAGTTGCTGTGTGTTCTGTTATTTTTTCCTTTTTTTCATTCTGGAGCATGCTAAGCACATGCCCTAGTATTGGCTGCACCCCCAGCTCCAGGATTATAAATGTTCCTTATTTTCACAGTGCTAAGGATAGAACCTGAGAGCCTGAAACATCTGTAATCAAGTTACATCTCTAGTCTCCTTTGTAGGGTTCCTTTGTTTTGCTCTTCAGATATTTTCCCATTAAAAATGTTTTTTAAATGTTTATTTTTAATATTTTTTAATTGTGTATGTGTGTTCATTGGGTGGGGTGTGTACATATGAGTGAAGGTGCCCTTGGAGACCAGAAATGTTACATTCAACTACAACTGAAATCACAGGCTTTGGAAGCCAGCCAGCTGTCACTGATGCTGTGAACTTAAATTGGGTCCTTTGTAAGAGTATGTACTCTTAACTGCTAAGCCATTTCTTCAGTCCCCTAAGAAGCATTTCTTATGAGTATATCTTAATTACTCATTATAATGGGTCTTGTTATGACATTTTTCTAAGTTATACATACATACATACATACATACATACACACATACATACACACACACACACACACACACACACACACACACACACACACACACACACACACACATATAATTTTTGAGACAGTTTTTTATGTAGCCCTGGTTGGCCTGGTACACATTTTGTAACCCAGTCTTGAACCTGCAACAATTCTTTTGCCTGAGCCTCTGTGTCCGGGGATTACAGCTGCTCAAGCCACAGCTTTTAAGGAGTCACTTTTCAGTGAGCATCCCTGACAGTGATCTTAGAGAAGTGACTCTCCATCAAATGGTGTCACATCTTGTTCCCTGCCCCCTTCCCTGCCTCCTGCCATGAATCAGGGAGCCTGGCTGCGGGCTCTTCCTGTGTACCTTCCACCCTACAAAAAGTATAAAAAGAAGCCACAAGGTCTCTCTCTGGTGTTGGGGCCTGAACACTCTGGAGCCCCAACCTTGATGTTGCCCATGGTTTTAATAACAAACTCCTTAGTCCCCAGGAATTTGTCATAGTGTCCTCTTGAACCACCTGTCCCATCCAAAAACCAACACTAACATGACTAGTCTAGCTTGCAGCAATATTAATATGTTGTTTTTGGAATACTTTTTCGTTTCCATGGCTGATATTATGACCCTAAGAATCCTTTCTACAGGTTCACAACGCATGTCATTGAAAATGCAACCGCTCTGTGCTGACTGGCATACAGGCAAAAACCAGAAATTCAGTCTTTTTTCTTTACAAGACAGGGTTTCTCTGTGTAGCCCTGGCTGTCCTCCAACACAGAGAGATCCACCCACCTCTACCTCCAGAGTTCTGGGATTAAAGGCATGTGCCACTACACCCTGCCAGGAATTGAATGTTTAATCTAAGCTCTATTCAGAAAATCGGCAATCTGGTAATTTGGTAATGAGTTGGCATCTTGTTTTTGTTTTTGTTTTTTCGAGACACGGTTTCTCTGTGTAGCTTTGCGCCTTTCCTGGAACTCTCTTTGTAGACCAGACTGGCCTCGAACTCACAGAGATCTGCCTGCCTCTGCCTCCCAGTGCTGGGATTAAAGGCGTGCGCCACCACCGCCCAGCCATGAGCTGGGCATCTTAAAGATCTGTCTTCTAGCTCATCTTTAGGCAGGCTATGTAGAGAGAAGAAATAAAAGCAGCCCGTCATTTCAAGGTTTAGTTTCTGGTCATACGGTTGATGATGGTGGAGCTCTGCTTCATATCGTCCTCTCCCTGTGAGGCAGGGGAGAGTTCACATACACCAAGGCTACCGGGTCTCACACTCCTCTGGAACTGCCCTTACAATGACATCTAAATTGAAGGTTGACTCAGAACAATTAGCAGTACGCATGTGCAGCGTCCTTCCCTCAGAATGCAGGACAAATGTGCTGCTATAGTACAGAATATGAAGGGCCCCATCAAAAATATGAGCAATTCAGTTACTGGTCAGTTCTGTGGCTCAAGACCATAGAAGCGTTTTTTTTTTTTTTTTCTCTCTCCCTCCCTACCTCGTTTCCTCCTTCTCTTCTCTCTTTTTTCAGTTTTCTTTCTTTTTTTCTTGTAATGTTAGAGAGATCCAACCCAAGGCTTGTGTTTAAAGCCTTTGTCACCAAGGTGCATCTCCCCACATCCCCCACCCCTCGCCCCCAGCACAGAAGCTTTGACTTCTAAAGTAAAAATTAAATGGCATGAGGCTCGAAGGTTTGGTTTGTGCCGACTACCTCACAGTGCACATGATGACCTCCATTTGCCAAAAAGCTACCTGGGCCATTTGTCAAAGATCTGATTGGCAGCTATCACTTTACCTGCCAGGCTCCATTGATCAGTGCCTTTCAAGGATGTGGCTGTGTGCTTTACACAAAAGGAACGGGCCAGCCTGCTACCTGCTCAGAGGGTCCTGTGCAGGGCAGCAATGCTGGAGACGTATGGACACGTGGTCTTTTCCAGTGCTGTCCACTTCCAAACCAGCTGATTGCTTAGCTGTAGCAAGGGAAAGAGGTGGGTTCTCCCAGACAAAGGGAGCCCTAAGTAGGAGAGGCTGGAGAGCAGGCCTCCGGGATACACCTCAAAACTAACAAGACACCATCAGTTAGCTGAAATGATAGCATGCACAATGAACTCAAAGGTCCCTCCAAGTCAGTGCTGGGACGACAGGAAAAAGCTCAGTTCTTGACCTTTAAAGGTCAGTTTGCCGAGGAAGGAATTGATTTAAGAGACATGTTAAATGTTCTTCTTCTTACTACACTTTAATGAATATTTTCATTTTTATCATATTAAAAATACCAAAAGATGGAAATGCTTTTATATTTTCATATATTCATCTAGTTTTGTTTATATTTGTTTTGTCATTATTGGGAAAATCCTTGTTTATTTTTTTCAATTTTTGTTTGTTTGTTTCTCATTCTCTAGCCCATGCTGGCTTTGAACTCATAATGTAGCATAACTTCCCAAGTGCCTAGATTACAGGTGTGAGTCACCACACTTGATTACAGGTGTGGGCCACCACACTTGGCTTCTTTCTTTCTCCACATGTTCCCCATTGTTACACTTCCTTAATATTTTTACTGTTTTATTGTATAGTCAATGAACTTACTACAGAAAAGTCCCCAAATCTGGAGAAAGAAAATGGACAGACAAATACAAAAGGCATCTAGTATCACACACAGACAGGCACGGCCAGAGGAACTCTCCATGACATGGACTAGACAAGATGTCAAAAATACAAAGAAACAATATTAATGGAAAGTGCCAACCCATCTACAGAGACACAGAGCATCATCTCTCTCATCATCAACCCAAAAAGCAGGAAAGAGTAGAGTTGAAAACTCCAATAGCCGAATGTCAGTGACTGATGACCAAGATTACTGTATCCAGCAGCTATCATTTACATTTGACTGAGAAATGAAGGCATCTCAAGAAAAGCACAGTCTAAGTTCATGGCCAACAGGCCAACACCGCAGAAGACACTTAGAGAATGATGTACATACTATCCACAGAGGAGGAAAAGGTATTCTCAACACAAGAGCAGAAGAAATAATAAAATCTGGAAGGCATGAAAGACAAAGCTGGGTCGACACAGTGAACCAGCAAACTCCTAACAGGGACAGGGAAAAGAAAAGGATGAACACGATCCACCCAACCAGAAAAACAACCATACAATGACGAGAAGTAGTACAGCTCTCAGTAACAACCTCAAGTGGAAATGGCTTGACTCATCAATTAAGAGATCCAGACTGAGAGGCGAAACTCAGCCAAGACCAGTCTGGGTTATCAAAAAGTTGCTTCTCTGAAAAGATAAGCAAGACTGACCAACTCCTAGGCAGGCCGACCCAAACTAGAGTTTGTAGAGTGCTTAAGCAAAGTCATGTTTCCCCAGTGTCAGCTAAAACTGGGCATCCCTTCATGACAAAGCCCTTGAGAAAGCAGAGACAGGACTGTACCTCAACACAGTAAGACTAAGTATGACATTGCACTAACTGGGGAATTTCCTCTAAAATTAGAAAGGAGACAAGGGTAGACAATGCCCACTCTTTTCAACAGAGTGCTAGAAGTTTACTGGACTAGTAAGGCTAGAGAAAAGTGAAAGAAACACACAGGGGACAGAAAAAGTCAACTTATCCCTGTTTCCACATGATGTGATCTTTCCTCAAAAGATCCTGAAGACTCCACCAGAATCTTTGCATTGCTGTTTTTTTGTTGAATTTGTTTGGTTTGCTTTAGATTTTTGTTGTTTATTTTTGTAGCTTTGGCTAGCCCAGAACTTGCTATGTAGACCAGGCTGGACTTGAACTCAGAGATCTAGCTGTCTACCTCTATCGCCCAAGTCCTAGGATTGAAGGCATGCACCACCACACCTGACCGGCCTGGTTTAGTGTTGAACTAGGGTCTCATTGTTGTACTGGTACTGGCTGGCCCAGAACTCACTGGTGGAAGCTCAGGCCTCAAACTCATGGTGATCCTCCTGTCGTAGCCTTCAGAGTCTTGGGACTGAAAGTGTGTGCTCCCATGCCTGGCTCCTACCAGAAAATCCTTAGACTTGGTAAACACTTTCAGAAAAGTGGAAGGGAATAAAACCAACAAACAAAGGTAGGCATCCTTTCTACAAACCAACAACAAACTTGTCAAAAAGACCCAAGGGGAAAAAAATCATTTCCAATAGCTTTAAAAAAATCCAACTGGAAATAAACCTAATAAAAGGAGAGGAAATACCTGGGTGATGGAAACTTAAAACACAACTGGGAGAAGAAACTGGAAGGCAAAGCCTCCCATGGGAATGTACTGACAGGATAGTATAAAAAAAAAATAGCTGCATTATTGAAAATGATCCACAGATTCAAAGCAATCCCCATCAAAATCCCGAAGTTATTTTTCAAAGAAGTAGAAAAAGAAAAGTCCTAAAATTCATGTGGGAGCACAAAAGACCCCCAATAGCCAGAGCAATCCTTAGCAGAAAGAACAATGCTCATCTCAGGTTATACTGCACATCATAGTAACCAAACTCTATGGTACTGCCGTAAAAACATTCATATAGATGGATGCAATAGAAGAGAGGATCGAGAGCCCACCTGCCTACAGAGACCTAATTTCTGACAGAAGTTTACAAATCACACTGTGGAGGAAAGGCTGCCTCTCTAATAAATGGTAGTGGGGAGTTTTACCAGCTACATTTCTTCATTTTTGGAAGTCCCAGTGCTGACCCATCAAGAACTGTCTTCCTATTGGTCACCTGCCATCGGTCCCAGAACTGACCGCATCCTACTCTTCTCTTACTGGCTGTTCTCCACCCTTGTCATCATTTCTACAAAGACTAATTCTACTTAGGAACTACGCTTTATTCATATGTCTCGCTAGAATCCAGATCACTCTAAAACACTCACAGATAAAGCCCGGGATTCTAGAAAAGCCTTCTGACACCATTAGCATGACCAGACTAAATGACATCCACAACGCACTTCTGTAATGGGAAGCAGATGTTCTGGATGTATCTCCTTAGCACACAGTGTTAAACCTATGTATCTAAAAAGTACTTCCTGAATAAAGATGGAGTCAAAGGTGATGAAAAATTCTGCAATACGCTCATACTCAGAATGACTTTCTCCCTTAAAACACCACACTTGGTTTGCTGCTATTAATGTATTGTTATTTATAGTCCAGGATCCATAGAAGGCTGAGGTCTACCCACTGCACCCTCTAATGAATCATTCCGAATCCCGGCAGTAACTATTTTACTTATCTGAATGTTTTATAACCCGGCCTTGTGAAATAGGATCCCGGCAGGAAATACCACAGTAGGAATTAAGAGGCCTGCTCAAGAGCCTTGTTTTAATTAGGTTTCTAATTTTTTTTTAAAGATCTATTTAGTTATTATGTATACAGTATTCTGCCTGCATGTGTCCTTGCAGGCCAGAAGGCGGCACCAGATCTCAATAGAGGTGGCTGTGAGTCACCATGTGGTCGCTGGGAATTGAACTCAGGACCTCAGGGAGAACAGTCAGTGCTCTTAACTGCTGAGCCACCTCTCCAGTCCCAGGCTTCTATTCTTGTAATAAAGATCATAACCAAAAGCAACTTGAAGAGGACAGAGTTTATTTCCTTTCACAGATTATAGTTCATCATGAAAGGAAGTCAGGGCATGGCCTCCATACAGAGATTCTCAATCTGCGGGTCGCGACCCCAGAGCCAATTGATTCTTCCACAGAGGGGTCGCCTAAGACCATTGGAAAACAGATATTTACTAGTCATAACAGTTGCAAAATTACAGTTATGAAGCGGCACCGAAAATAATTGTATGGTTGGTGGTCACCACCATGACATGAGGCCGCAGCATTAGGCAGGTTGAGAGCCACTGCCGAGACAGAGGCCCCGGAGGAACGGTTTACCGGCTTGCTTTCAGCTCTGCTCACCTGGGTGCCTGGCACCTACAGCGGGCTCAGCAGGTAGCAATCAAGAAAATGCTGGGCAGACACACCCCAGAGGCCAATCTGACGGAGACAGTTACTCAACCGAGGTTCAGTCTTCCCAGGTGCATCAACTTGCAACCAGGAATATGGCTATAACAAGAGAAGTACCTTCTAGTAGGCCAGAAGCACGAATTCAGCGCAAGGACAAACCTACACGGGCATATTTCCTGCCCTGTCTCTTTTTCTTTTAAATAAACTGTAACACTGCCACAGGCAAGGCCCAGACAGATTAAGAATTTCTCTATCCCCAGTCTTGGCTAAAACTGCAAATTAACCTACCCACCCCCTCCCCTTTAAAATTTATTATTTAGTTAGTTAGCTAGTCGTGCTAGGACCCAGTCAGGTCTGGCTAAATTTCAACTCCAGACCTCAATGAGCCCATTTCTTCTACTACGGTGCTTCCTGCATTCTCCGCAGGATTCACCGAACTATCGTACTTTTGCCTAAGTTTCCTTGGAAATCCAACTTCCAGAGAGTCAAGAAACGGGGGGATCTGCTGCGGCTCTCCGGGAGGTCTGCTCGCGCAGACAAGGTTGACCTCCCGGGCCCACCCGGCCTAAGTGCATCAGCGAAGGTCACGGCCACCCAGCCAGGACTTCCCGGGCCCTAGGAGCGATCCGACGGCCTCCTGGGGCACCCACGCACCTGCTTGGGGGTCCCGGCTGCACGTCCCGGGCGCCGGACGGTCCGCTGCTGGGTGCCCCGAAGCCAGCGTTCCTGCCGCGGCGCTTCCGCTCCGGAGGGGCGCAGCGGGGCGTGGCGGGGCGGTACCGTGCCTGCGCCTCCTGAACCCCGAGCCTGAGCTGCTGTCAGCGGGGTGTCTCGCGACTGTCCCTATCACTTCCGCCTGCCGGAGAGAAGGCGTGTCCCCTGGCCAGCCGAACTCTGCTTCCAAGATCAGCCAAGCCGTCGGGACTTTCAGTTTCGCGTCTTTGAGACTGTAACTGGCCAGTGGGGGTAAATCCAAAATTTGAATCTGGGAGACGTAACGTATGGCGATTTTGACAGAGAAATAATTGTGGATGGGTGCTAGGTAGAGTGCCGGAATCCCAGGACAGGTAAGAAACAAGTTTCCTAAAGGTTTGGAATCAAACAGGAAAATTTAAGGCTGAAGAGGCAGCTCTTTGGTAGAGGCCCCTGGGTTCGATTTTCAGCATCCTCAGAGGAAGAAAATGAGAACTTCCTGAGTTTGAAGCACATAATAGCATCCACCACTAATCCGAGACACTCAAACGGTGAGCTAGAGCTATACAGCTCAGTTGGTTGATAGTCTCGCATGTGTGGGCCCTGTGTGCTAGGATCAGATATGGACTGAATAGGCACTAATAATTTGATTCCTCAGAATAAGATGAACGAAATGAGAATAAAAGGTCTAGAATTGAGAAGTGAGTGTAAAAGGTATGCAGCTGAATCCTAGCGCCATGATTTATGGCTGGGGAGTTGTAGACAAGGTACTTTACCTGGGTGTGGGGTTCAAATTTCATCATACAACCAACCCACTTTATGAGGTTGTATCAGAATCACTTTATGCTTGACGTGACTGCTCGCTCTTGTAATCCTAGCACTGGGGAGGCAGAGGCTGGAAGAACTCAAGTAGAGCTGGCCAAATAGTTCCAGGCTGGGCAGGGCTGCAAGGGAGACACTGTCTTTTTTTTTTTTCCTTTCTTTTTTTCTTTTCTTTTCTTTTTTTTTTTTTTTTGATAAGGTCTTACTGTGTAGCCCTGGCTGGCCTGGAACTTACTATGTAGACCAGGCTGGCCTCAACCTCACGATAATCCATCTGCCTCTGCCTCTGGAATCACCACACCAGACAGAGACACCCTATCTTTAAAAGTGAACTCAACTTATGATTTGATAGACAAATGGAAATGTGTAACACGATCATTACAAAGCACACTGTGTAAAAAGGAAAAATTTGTGACATTACAGGCACTGTGTAAAAAGGTATAATTTGTGATAAAACCCTGTAGGTGTGGAAAAATGGAGATACATAATGAGCATAGTTTTTGTATGTTTTCACATGAGTTGATCATATTTTTATAGGAAAAGACCAAGGCACCAGAAGTAACCTATGTTCAACAATTCTAGGTAAATTTAACATAATTAAAATCACAGAGTTATTGCCAGTGGCCCTAAGGAGCCCATCATGGCGATACCCACCAGACGGCTGGCCTTGGATACTGTAGGAGAGAAAGTGCTGTTGTACGAGACCTTTATCAGTGATGTACTGCAGCGAGACTTGCATAAGGTGCTGGATCACAGAGACCAGGTGTATGAGCAGCTGTCCTTATACCTTCGACTGAGAAATGTTATTGAGCGTCTCCAGGAAACTAAGCGCTCGGAGTTACATATGCAGGTGGATTTGGGCTGGAACTTCTTCGTTGACACAGTGGTCCCAGACATTTCATGCATCTATGTGGCCCTGGGATATGGTTTTTTCCTGGAGTTGACGCTGGCTTAAGCTCTCAAGTTCATTGACCGGAAGAGTTCTCTCCTCACAGAGCTCAGTGACAACCTCACCAAGGACTCTGGGAATATCAAGGCTCATATCCACATGATGCTAGAGGGACTTAGAGAACTACAAGGCCTACAGAATTTCCCAGAGCCATCTCCCCATTGACTGCGCCTTCCCATCTAATATTAAAGAGCCGAATGCCTTGGGGAAAAAAAATCATAGAAAATACCATCCCTGAACCATAATGAACTGAAACTGAAAACCTGGAACAGGGAAAATTGACAGCAGAAAATATATGGCAATTAATGTTTTCACTTACAGTGGAAGAAGTCACAAAGGACATTAGGAACTGTTCTGAGATGAATAATAAAAGAAAAACAACACACCAACATTGGTGGGATATAGTTATTGCTGTTGTGTTTTTGCTCTTTATGGGGGTCTGCCACCCAGCTCCCAAATAAATCACACACACACAGAGGCTTATTCTTAATTATAAGTGCCCGGCCTTAGCTTGGCTTGTTTCTTGCCAGCTTTTCTTAACTTAAATTAGCCCATCTACCTTTTGCCTCTGGGCTTTTCTTTTTCTATTCCTGTATACCTTTCTTGGTTTCTTACTCCATGACTTGCTGTGTAATTGGGTAGCTGACCCCTGGAGTCCTCCTCCTTCTCTGGCTACTTCTTCTCTCCTCCCAGATTTCTCCTCTATATTCTCTCTGCTTGCCAGCCCTGCCTATCCTTTCTCCTGCCTTGTCATTGGCTGTTTAGCACTTTATTAGAAAGCATCAGGTGTTTTAGACAGGCAAAGTTACACAGCTTCACAGAGTTAAACAAATGCAACATAAACAAAAGTAACACACCTTAAAATAATATTCCCCAACACTTTTGTGCTGCACCACAGCACAGAGTAAGGCAGAACTCTCCTTTTTTTGTGTACTTGAACATTCTAGAATTGGTAGACCTGATAAACCTTTGCTATAAAGACTTATTCATTTTAATTGATCTTTTGCTGCAAACTCAAGGCACCAGTAATAGTTAAGTCTATAGGAAAATATAGTTTTATAAAGTCTGTTAGCATCCAACATTGTTGTTAGGAGCTGTGTGTGTTCACATATGTATGTGTGTGCTTGGTAATTGTGGATGTCTGTGTGGAGGCTAGAGGACAAGCTTGTGCTGGGGGATGTCTTTCTGTACACTGTGAATATATGTTGTTCCCATTGGTTAATAAATAAACTGCTTTGGCCTATGGCAAGGCAGCTTAGAGGCAGGCAGGAAAGGAGAGAGACAGGAAGAAGAAAGGCAGAGGCAAGAGAGACGCCAGCCTGCTGCCCAAGGAACAAGATGCCAGCAGACCGGTAACCCATGGCCATGTGGCAACTTATAGATTAATAGAAATGGGTTAAGATACAAGAGCTAGCTAGCAAGAGGCCTGCCATAGACCATACAGTTTGTAAATAGTATTAAGTCTCTGAGTGATTATTTTATAAGCAGCTGTGGGACAGTGGGACTGGGCAGGACTGGAGAAACCTTCAGACTACAAGCTTGGGTGTTGTTCCTCAGATGTCATCCACAGGGACTGGAACTCATTTAAGCATGTTAGATTTGCTAGCCAGTGAACACTAGGGATCTACCAGTCTCTGCCTTTCAGCACTGGGATTACAAACACATACCACTATGCCTGACTTTAAATATATATATTTATGGTGTGTGTGTGTGTGTGTGTGTGTGTGTGTGTGTGTGTGTGTGTGTGTGTACATGTGCATTCATATGGGTTCTCTTCTTTGACATGGGTTTGGGGATGGAACTCAGGTCATTAGGCTTGTAGGGCAAATGCTTTACCCACTGAGCCATTTTGCCAGCGTCCAGCTTTTTTCTTTCCAAAATGCTGGTATTGTGGGTTGAATTCTGGTCTTTATGCTTACAAGGCAAGCTCGGACTGAGCTATCTGCCCATTCCTAGAAACCTCTTTACGGGGCTGGGGATATGGTTGAGTAGGTTGTAGTGCTTGTCTTCAGTCCCTAGCACTGTATAAAAACAGGCTTGGTGGTATATGTCTGTAATCCCTGTAATCCAGAGGCAGAGACAGGAGGAGCAGAAACTGAAGGTTATCCTCAGCTGATTAATGAGTTCAAGGTCAGCCTGGGCTATATGAAACCCTGTCTGAAAAAAAGCAAACAGAAAAAGATTTTTACTGTACTAGTTACTTGTCTTATGGCTGTGACATCATTTGACCCAAGGAGTGTCAGGAAGGAAAGATGTGCTTTGACTCACAATCCTAGGGATACAGTCTGTCACGGCAGCGATGGCTGACTGCAGGAGCAGCAGGTGGCTGATCACATCTTGTCCACAGTCAGGAAAGAAAGAGTAATGTCTGTTTTCCCTTTAATTCAGCCCAGGTCCTCAGCCTGTGGAACACTCCCACCCACGTTAGAATGGGTATTGCCACCTCAGTGAACCTAATGTAGATTCACACATACATGCCCAGAGGTTTGTTTCCATGGTGATTTCTGAATCTGGCCCAAGTGACAACACTAACCATCATGTTCTAATGGAACTTTTTAGAAATCTGAGGTTGATTCTTGTTCTCCCTACAAGTGGAGTTGCTGTGGGTTTTCTTGCGTTTACCTGGGGGCCAGGTACTTTGTCCCTCAGAGTGTTTCCTCTTCATGCTAGAATTGCCCTTTCAAGCCTGGATCTGTCATCTCTCAGCAGTTCTACCACTAGTCTAGAGAAAAAAGGGCCTCTGAACATCTCTTCATACCTGTCTTTCATAATTATACTAAAAAGAGTTGTTGAAGCCAGGCACTGTTCGAACAGGTTTCACAAAGCTGTGTGTGGGAGATTCTGATTGCTTGTGAGAAAACTCCAGAAGAACAGGGCTCAGCCCTCCAAGCACAAAATTGTTCTTGGAACATGCTTTCACGCCCCTCACCGGAGTGTATAGTGGGAGTGGGTTTCCTGAAGATTATCTTACTGCTCAGATGATGTTCCTAATCTCGGGTTGTCCTTGGGATTGTATACAGCCTAACTCATGTGAACATGTACTCATGACTGCATACAGCTTAAACTCATGAGAATTTTGTTCATATGACCTTGCTTAACTCTCAGAATATAAATTGTCTGATGCCCTCAATAAAGTTGGTTATTGCATGAAACGTTAGTTTGCCTCCTTTTTAGGCTCCACTCTCCCAGGTTCACACCGCCAATTAGAATAGTAACAAGGCACGATGGTACAGTCCTGTAAACCCAGCACTTGGGAATCATGGGGACTGTAGGATCAGGCATTCAAGGCTAGTGTTGCTGAAATGGTATGTTCAAAGCTATTCTGGACTATACAAGATCTTGTCTC